GAAGCACCTCCTCACCTGTAAAATGGTCAGTTTTCTAGTGGACAGGGAACACCGTCTCCACGGAAAATGTTTTTAACAGACTACTGTAGGTTCCGTCACACTGAAGAAGATGTCCACACGGCAAATAGATGTTTAGCATCACTAACCATTGGGGAAATGCGCGTTAAATCCACAGTGAGATATCATGACACAGCTATCAGAACAGCTAAAATAAAAAATGACAACACTAGTTGCCAGTGTGGATGCTAGTGTGGATGTGGGGAAACTGAATCACTCCCACAGTACTGGTGAGAATGTGAAATGGCAGAGCCATTCTGGAAAACAGTTAGACAGTGTCTTAAAAAACAAAACAGAGCAGCTACCCTAGGACCTGGCAATTGGAGTCCTGGGCATTTAGCCCAGAGGAGAGAAGACCGACGCTGACACAAAAACCTGTACACAGATGTTTACAGCAGCTTTATTAGTGAACGCCCAAGCCTGCAGACAATCCAGAATTCCTTCAGCAGGTGGTGAAGCAAACTGTGATACAGCCATATCCTGGCATACTACTAAGAGACACAGAGAAATGAACTGTGAGCACCTGTGGCAATCCGGATGACTCTCCCGTTATGTTGATTGAGTGGAAAAAAGCAAATCACAAAAATGTTACATACTATATGATCCCCTCTGTATACCATTCTTGAAATGTCAAAATTATACACATGGAGAACAGATTCGTGATTGCCAGGGATTAAAGAGGTGGGGGAGGTGGAAGGAAGTTTGTGTGGTTGTAAAAGGGTAATAGGAAGGATCCTTGTGGTGATGGAAGTGTCTGGAAGTCTCTATCTGTAGAAAATTGATGTAATCTCTCTGTATTATTTCTTACAGATACATATGAATCTATAGTTATCTCAAAATAAAAAAGATTACTTTTAAAAAATCAAAACGTGCAGGCCAAATCAGGGAAACAAGTATGTCAGTTTGGCAGTTACGACATGAGCCTTAGATCCGTGACATCATAATGGTAGTGCTCTCAGGTTACTGTGGAATCCTCAGGCTTCAAGCATTTTACAGTACTCTGCCTAGTGCTGTAGACTCACTTGATTTTCAGTCCTGAGAACTGAAGACAAAAGGATGTTCACATCATTCAGAAAGTATGCAGAACTTATAGGTGGTCATTCAAGGCTTCACTGCAGAAGGTAGTCTTTTGATATACTATTTTTGAGCCTCAAAACAGACTGACAATAACAGGAAGTGTTGTTCTCTTTTGTTTCTTCTAATACGTGTAAACTAATGAGTAACTTCAGCACCAGCTTCGTGAAAGGCTACTCAGGTTCGTAAGATTCAGTGCTGCTGAGCTGAAGAGAGCAGGGTTTACATTCTCGGAGGAGACACTTTCTTGGCTCCACGAGAGAGAATTTTCCCAGGTCTATGAAAATATCTGTCCTATTTATGAAAGAACTTTTGCATTCTGTTCAATTTAGCTGTTTTACCTATGATGACCAGAAAGTCCTATCAGAGCTCAGTCAGAGCTCAGCCAAGTAATAGCTAAACTCTTGTGTTTAGAAACTTTTTGACGTTTCCAGTATTTTTGCCGATCTTTGAGAATTTTCCCCCCAAGTTTGAATATTGATTTAGATAAGATTTAGATAGATTTAGATAAGTAAATTTCCAGAATCTTCAGTTGTCTTCATTTTTATCTTAAGATGAAAGCAAATTGTAATTAATTCTTCACACACACACCATATCATTTTGTTTTATATTAGGCCGCCAATTGTCCTGTTTGTTGTTGTTGTTTGTTTGCCTTCTTGTAATACACTCTACCTCTTGATCCTCCCCTTCCTAAAAGCTCATGATTAGCTTTGCTGCTTTCTCCACCCCACGTCTAAGTGTTGGCATGCCCAAGGGCTTTGTCCTTGAAACTGTTCTCCATCTGCATCAATTCACCAAGTGACCTCATCTCTCTCTCCTTTTTTAAAATATTTTGTTTATTTATTTGAGAAAGAGAGCATGTGAGAGAGAGAGAGAGAGAGCTCAAACAGGGTGGAGGGGTAGAGGCAGAGGGAGAAGCAGGCTCCCCGCTGAGCAGGGAGCCCGACGTGGGACTCGATCCCAGGACCCTGGGATCATGACCTGAGCTGAAGGCAGACGCTTAACCGACTGAGCCACCCAGACGTCCGACCTCATCTCTTTCAATAGCTTTCTATAACTCAGCGATCCCTGAATGTGAGCTCTGGAGCTCTGCTTTCGGGGTTGAGACTAAATTTTAGTGTTGTGCGAACCTTGACATTTAGCATAAAACTCTATTGTATATTTGACTAGTAACTAGCTGCTCCGTGGTGTTTGGTGGGTTGCAGGAAGAGCTCTTCTGTTGAGGTGGATGCCTGCAGCAAAAGCACTACATCATCTGAGGGTGCCGCCCATACCCTGCTTATCCACGGCCCCGTCGAGCTCAAGAGCGGCTGGAGGAGGCAGAAGCGGCACCTCTTCTTATTCAGCGATTTCTTGCTGGTGTCCAATACCAAGTATGTATACTAAGCAACGTGCCCTTGTGATGATCACGAGGTTACATTTCCATTAACCCTTACCATAAGAAGACATGACATTTTTTTTCTTTTGTTTTTGCCCATGTTTGGATCCTTCATTCATTCAACAAGTACTTATGGAGGTCTTGTTTTGTGCCATACCCCCCTCCCCCCCCCGCCTGCAGAGAATACAGTAGAGAATGTGACAAGCAGTGTGTCTCTTGCCTGGAACTTACAAATGACAAAAATAAGAGGGGTAATTATAGATTGTGATTAGTGCTTCTGATAGAAAGTAGACAGGGGGCCGTGTGGAGATGATGGGAACGTATGCGAGAGGGGTAGTCCAGGAGGGCCTCTCCTAGGTGGCAGCACTGAAACTCGATCTATGGGATGAGAAGCAGCCACAGTCCTAGACAAGGTGCCTGAACCTTCTAGGCTGAGGGATCGGCAGGCTCCGTGGGTGCAACCTGACCCCTGGGGGGAGGGGCTCAGGAAGGCTGATTTGATGGGAGCCGAAAGCATGGGGCATGCGATCAGATGTGAAACTGCGCTCAGGGTCCAGGCACACACGGTCTTCACAGGCCATGGTGAAAAGTGGAACTATTTTGCCAAAGCCTTCTTAACTAGGACTGACCGACTCTGATTTATAGCTCTCGCAAATTTTTCTGACTGTTGGCAGGTAATGGGTGGATGGTTAAGCGAGAGTGGGGGCAGGGAGACTGGTTAGGGGAGGCAGTAGTCCTGATGGCTGCTCCCAAGGGCTCCAGGATAGGAGTGCAGTGAAAAGGAAGGAGGCAGCAGACAGCCTGGGAATGTATGCTGGAGACAGAACTAACTGCGTGCACTTTCCTCTCAACCCTGAACACAAAGGTAACTGATAGCCAGCCTGGAACCTGATGATTGCTCAATAACTGTCCAAAAGCAGGTGGATGGGAGGTCAGCTGTTTACTTGCTCTGTCTCTGTTTTCATTATTCACAAAACATCATGAAAGACAGACTATTCCAACAAACCAAAGATCAAGAAGCTTTTAATCACCAGAAAAAGAACTACGCCCCCTTTATTTTGCTGCCCTCACCAGCTCCCAGTTATGCCATGCCATTAGTAAGACATGCAAGTACTAACTTGGCAAAATGCTGTACTCAATCTGAGTGACATTAATGATAATTTATCAGGGGCTTACTACATGACAGATGTTATGCTAAGAACTTCATGTATGTAATCTTCTCCAACCTCACAACTACCCTGTGAGATGGGATTATTTTCATTTTAGAGAAGACCTCTGAAAATCAGAGGTCTGAAGGTTTTGCCCAGGTCACCATATTAGTGATGAGTAGAGTCTACGTTTGAAATTAGGTCCGTTTCTTTCAAAGTACAGGCTTTTATTCTACGTGTGGTGCTGCTGTTTCTATTATTTCTATTTTTCTGAATTTCATGCAACATTCCATGAACACCTAGATTCTCTCTCATTATTGAAATCAACCTTTCCTTTATGTTGAGTAAACAACTCCAATCTGCTTGGTATCTGGTAAGAAATAGGTCAGAATGCTTAGTGAACTGAGAAATGAAGGTAGTGTAGCTGTCCAAAAAAAAAAAAAAAAAAAAATCAGAGGCAAAGACAGAAATAGTAAAATATATTTGAGATGAGTGATATTGCCTACAGATGTAGCCTTGGAGGTGGTGATGTCATGAGGAGGACAGAGAGAAAAAGACTGTCCAGGTCCTGGCATGAGGTCCATATGACGCACTCTGCTCCTCCTGATAGAGGGCCACATCATTATTTTTTAAAAAGCAGACTAGTTACCATTCTCTTTATTTAACCAAGGTGAGTACAGGAGACTAAAATGTGTGGGATGCATGCTGGGGACCACACAAGGAGCATTACAGATTCCTCGTGTAATTTCCCCACAGCCCTCCAAGGCCAGTATTGTTACCATCCACCGACTGCAGAAATGAAAGTGGGGATGGAGGAAGTCTCAGGAATGGACCTGTCATCCACAGGGAAATGGTGGGAGAGACTCCAAGCCAGGCCTGCCTTCATCCCAAGGCCACACTCTTCCTGCCACACCATGCCACACCTACTCTTGCATGCTCAGCCCGAGACACGCTAACAAACAGCAAACTCCTTTCCTGCTCCTTGGGACCTTGCAGAGCACTCACATTCGATTTATAAGGGGAACAGGTTGTCCTTCACTTTGTTTTCATCTTTGTAATTATTATAGCACTTAGGGAGAGGAGAAGACCTTTCTTTTCTTACTAGAGCCATTTATTGTCCTGGATACTGCTTACCTCTCAGCGGGTTTTACGGAACCTACGGTGTTCTGCTGAAAAGATTTTATATAAAGGCAGTGTTCTTTCCCCATGAGAGAACTGCATCCTTTTAAGAGCTGAATTTTTTATTTTGATTGGTTCACTATTACAAAAGAAGTGCAACATTTTTCCTCTTCACATATTGCTTTTGAGATAGGTCTTTGTGTCTACGCAAGGGTTTTTATGATGTGACAAAATCTACATCAACGTATTTAATAATGTTCTCTTTAAGAGACTCAGCTCCGGAAAGATTATCTTATATACTTTTTACATCCATTTGGAATATTAGAAAATGTAAGTGATCTCAGGTACTTGAATTTGGTTTCTAAAACCAAGGCCCTTGACAGAGAGAGAACACAGATTTTTGGAAGTCCAAGTTCGGGACACCATCAGGGTCAGGTTCCCGCGAGAGCTGTCTTTCCCGCGAGAGCTGTCTTTCCCGCGAGAGCTGTCTTTCTGCTTGCAGATGGCTGCCCTCTCGCCTATGCCCTGTGGGGTTTCCTCAGCGCCTGCACGCACACACACACACACACAGAGCTCTCTCTCCCTCTTCTTACAAGGGCACCAATCCTACTGGATTAAGCCCTTACCCTGATGGCCCCATTTACACTTAGTTACCGCTTAAAAGCTCTCTCTTCAAACATGGTCATATTGGCAGAGAGGGCTTCACGGTAAGACTGTGGGGAGCAGTGGGGGAGGGGACACAATTCTGTCCCTAGCAGTCACGAGCAGCACTTCATGCTGTGGCCGCGTACAAGTTTTTGCCACAGTTTTTAGAAAACGACCATGAGGACATTCCCATAGTAAATATTTGGGTATATTTATGATCACTGTTAATATTGGAAAAGTTTACATTTTTTTCTCTAGAAGGAAACAACTAAAAAGAAATATCTCCTGCATTAACAACCTTGTTTCATCCCTGTCATCCTTGTTCTTGGAGGATTGTGTTATGCCCTGAATCAATCTGTTCAAATTAATAATCTGAATTTAGGGCCTTCGTTTTCCAATTAGCCATAAGAAGGGGTTGGGGTGACCCAGGTTCCATTTTACCTCAGCTCACCTGCAGGCTTCAGCTGGAAACTCTCATCTTTAGGTTGACGCTATAGAAATTAACACAAATTGGGTAAGTAGTTGACTAATTGCTACCTATTTATTCTGTCAAAATTAGTGAATTTTAGTTTGTGTTTAATAATAAAAGGAATTTAAATGTTTGTTTCTTCACAAAGAACTTATATTTCTCTAGTCGTACAAGATGTTAATAATAGTGAAAATTGTTTGGGGATTCTTTTCATACACCTTCAGAAATTTCTCAAGAATTAAGGTCAGATGGAACCTTCCTTATTACTTTTGATATTCATTAGAATACTAAATAAGTTATTTTTCAAAGAAAATTATTACTTTATTTTTAAGAACAGTATCTGCTTGATAAATATTAAGATAATAATACTAGTAGAGGCCCATGAAGAATTTACAAAAAGGAAGGGACTGAACTTAGTTCTTTAGACATCACATTCCTCATATGTAGTTATTAAAGAATATAAAATGAAACAAAAAATGAATTTAAATTAGGTCAAAAGATGAAGATGACTATTAACTCATTATCCGTGAAATTACAAAGAATTACTTACAGAATATAACAGGACCCCCACTCCCAACATCTGTAAAAGGATACCCCTATCTTAGAACAGGGGAAATCCCCCTAGAATCCTGTAAATTTCCACAGTGCACTGGGGCTTCCCTTCTGGTATAAAGGTTGAGGTAGCAGAAAGCAAGAGTGATATCCATCATGTTAATACAAATATAATAAAGGACTATTTTTAGAAATAAAAACCACAGTTCTTTCTCCTCCTCTTTCTTCTCCTCAAGTCAGTTTACATCAGATTAATACTTTCTAATTTCTACTGAGATAATCCAGTTGGGTCAGTGATTGAGAGTGAAGAAATGCAGTAAGACCCTAGAAGAATCCACTGAAGTATGAAGCTTTGTTGTAATAAACTTTAAATATTTCCAAGCTAGTAACCAGCTTTGTTAATATAATGTCTTGAGATTTATCCTCTCACTCCCCAGATAATCCAATGAGAAAGCCTGATGGCTCTGGGGATCGAAGTGAGGCTGAGTGAGGGTAGGAAACATGAGAAGGGTAGTTCATGGAACGATAGGTCAGCACCCACAGAGGCCAAGTGGTTACAAACATGGGCTCAAGAGTTAGGCTGTCTGGGTTCAAACTCTCTTGCCTTTGGCAATTTAGTTGACCTTTCTGTGAGTTTCCTTATTTGTAAAATGGAGCTAATAAAGACCACCTAGTGTAGTTGTTTGAGGATTACATTTTTTATATTTGTATTTATAAAATGTTTAGAACAGTGCTTGGCATATGATAAGTGCTCCAAATGTGATAGGACAGTCGAAACCATGCTCTGGGCTTTGGGATAACTCCTTGGTTTGGCGTAGATAATCTTGGTGCTTTCTTGAACTAAGGAGAGAATTACTGAAATGCCTTTTTCCAGGTCAATGTATTTGGAAGTTCCCACACAGTACCTTGGGTGTCTGTATACACACAGATACCTACATTAGAAAAAAAAAAAAAAAATCTTAAAAACCAACAGATATATGTCTATCTTTCCCATTAGCCATATGTTTTTACCTTGACAATGCCTTTGGAGTTACTATCTAGAAAAATGATTTTATCTGATATCTGATAATGATTTTATCCGATGACTTTATTCATTGTGTCATAAACTTTGAATCTAGATTATCCTTCAAGTGTGCTTCCAGCAAAATTATTTTTATTTCATAAAACCCATTGGAGAGTCTTAGCTTTAATTGTTCCATGAATCACTGGAGTCATAGGGATTTTTGCACATGAGGTGTCTTTGATCTCATTTTAGTTTAGTGTTTCCACATGTGTTTCTGAATAGTAAGGAGTTCCAGAGTGGTGTGTCCAAGTTCCCTAAGCATCCCTCAGAGGGCTTATAACTATTTAAATCCCAAGCCCACCTGAGAGTTAAAGTTGTGAATTAACCAAATTAATCAATATGGTGGTTTTCATGTTAGAGATCAAAGAAGATTAGGCAGAAATTGTCAAAAAGCAATTTCACCACTGACAAAGTTGATCACCTTCTGACTCCTCAGAGAAATGGGAAGTATCCATCACTCACATATAAGACCTCCTGACCACTGATCTGGGATTGATTGATGGATGGATTGATGATTTTTAAATTGGGCTCAATCTGTAGGCTAACAGTTTTTCAGTTTTAGCCAGAATCTAAGGGAAAATGATATGGATAAAATTTTAAGAAGGGAAATTGAAAATAACCTATGCTTTAAAGGCTAGAAAGTATTTTTTTAAAATTAAGGTTGAAAATAACTTTTAAATCTTTCTGATCCCAAAAAAAAAAAAAAAAAAAATCTTTCTGATCCAAGTTTATTTTTTGTTCTTGGTTTGTCTCTCTCTCTCTCTCTCTCTCTTTTTTGAAGATTTATTTATGTATTTATTTATTTTAGAGAGAATGAGCGTGAGCGGGGGGAGGGGCAAAGGGAGAGGGGAAGCAGACTCCCCACTGAGAGGGGAGCCTTACATGGGGACTCGATCTCAAGACCCTGAGATCACCACCTGAGCCGAAACCAAGAGTTGGATGCTTAACCGACTGAGCCACTCAGGCGCGCCCCCTGGTTTGTGTCTCTTAAGCAAAAAATTGTATGACTATTTTTATAAATCGTGTATCAGGTAGCTTTGTTCAGCCCCTCAAATACTTTTTGAAGTAAGCAAGTCATAAATGAATAATTAACTATAATAATAACCATAAAACTATATATAATAAGAAACAAATTCTAACAATAATAAATGAATTAATGGTTTTCTTAAAAAGCTCTGGAATATATAGTCTTTACTCAACACTCAACATTCAGAAAAATGGCCACTTGCTGCCATTTGAGGAAGTGTTTTCAGGGCCTTCCTAGGGCCAGACTTCGCTCAACACACACTTTGTAAAGGTCATGTCACCATTTGCTGTGCTGGGCACAGAGGGTAATAGAGACAAGGGAGGCATGCTGTGCCCTGGAGCAGTGAGAACTGGTCTCTGATGAGCACAGCTGTTCCCATAACATTTATGAAACAAACTAACAGAGGTCTTGTTTGGGTATCTTTCTAGGTATAAGAAAAAACTTAAGATAAAAAAGAAAATACCACTGAACACCATGTGGACTGCCAACTGTATGGACAGAGTGGAGGATGCCAACATCTGTGCTGGGAGGTCCTTTATCCTGGGCTGGCCCACGGTGACCTTTGTGGCCACCTTCGGGTAAGACCGACCGTTTGGTCTTGTATTTACATGGGTTAAAAAGGAAAACATTTTAATCTGATTATATGTCAAGCCAGTGACTCCCTTTTTGACTTCCCATAATGACACTCATTTGCCTTGTACTTTCCCCCAAAAGGTATGTACACATGGGAGCAAGTAGATAACATAGAGTGGGAACTATTGGAGTAATTTCTTTTGGTTTTGATCAGTGGTTTTTCCCATGGGCTCTAGGAGCCACTTGAGGAATTGGGTGTTTTAGGCATATGGAAGGAGAATCAAGAGAGTGAGGTTCTAGAACCCCTCTCCAATATCCTGCCCCCTAATTCCCAGGGGGTATGTGTGTTTCTAAATCACTGGCATATTTTTCTTGAGCAAGTACTATTAAAGAGTCCAATTAAATTTGAAAAATTGCTCTTATACTCCCAAGGTCATTCCTTTAAAAATAGTATGGAATTATACAAATAAATTAATCATGTCATTGAATATGAGGTTGCCTGAATTGCTGTGTACTGATTATCTTAGTTGGTGTCTCTAGAGAGGTGACCATCTAAAACAAAAGTATGATTGCATTGAGTAGAGGTTAGTTGTGCAAGACACATTCTTAGGCTGACACGAGGATGGGGAATGTGACTCTCTACCCCGGACATCCTGAGCAGACACTCCTGAGTTTACAGGGGTGGTGCAACACTTACATCTGCTGTTTGAAACAACCACACCCCAAGTCTCATTCTTGTTTTGCACAATGAGTGTTCATCACATGCACTTAACACCCTTCTTTCTTCTCCTCACCCCACTCCACCAAAATGTCCCACGTCATCACAAAGGGAAGACAACGAAAATGTTTACAAGTTGTTAATTTATGAAGCCCTATAATGCAGCGTTGACTTAAGGAGAAATTTTCAAAGCTTATTGGGAAGAAATATGTATTTATATGCTCTCCACATGTCTTCTTTTCCACGACGTATTTCTGTAAAGATTCTCAGTTCCTCTTGCTTCCTGTCTTCTCCATGTTGCAAATGGAAGGAAACAGTTTCAATTGGGAATGTATAAAGTCTTTGACAGGGGAGTTTCCAAGAGACTTTTTTTCCCTAACAAGGAGGAAAATGTGGAAGCCAGGCTTATACATGCTATATTAGTTAAAAAGCTGTGTAAACATATAGAAGGCATTTATAACAATTCCTGGCACCTAGTGCTTTTGCTATTTGTGATTATTACTGTTCTGCAGATCAGCATGGCTAACTAGAAGCTGTGTCCATGCGCATAGGCAGGCTGGGACGCTAAGTGGGCGTTCCATTTTCCAGATGGGACAAATCCTGAAACAGCGATGGAGGGGTTGGGGAGCAGTGTTGCTGGGAGGAGTATAAAATGTGGCAGCCACTGTGGACAGTTTGATGGTTCCTCAGTAAGTCAAACAGAATTACTATACGACCCAGCAATGCCACCCCCAGATAGATACCCAAGAGAAACATAGGTCCACACAAAAATTGACACACAAACATTCATAGCAGCATTGTCGACAATAGCCAACAAACAAACAAACAAACAAAAGTAGAAACAACCCAAGTGTTTATCAACAAATACACAAAATATGGTACAGGAGCTAGAAACAGGAAGGAAGGAAGAGTGACTGCTTCGTGGACACAGGTTTGCTTTTGGGTGAAAAAATGTTCCAGAACTAAACAGTCACGGTAGTTGCACAAAACTGTGAATGTACTAAAGGTCACTAATGGTCAATTTTATTTTGTGTAGTTTACCACGGTAAAAAAACGCTAGTAAGTGGTAAGGCCATGTATGCATGAGGCTTAAAACATTCGCAACTTTGGGTATTAAATGCTGTGAAAACTTTAGTTGAGAAAAGACTAACCTTTAGTAGTTTAACACTAGCTGGATTGATCTTGCTCAGAGGATCACAGTAACGAAGAATGTTTTCTAGAAACTAATTTAACACATTCCAATCTGCTATGTGTATAAAGAAATAAAAATATTACAGGTGTTTTTTCCTAAAAAGCTATTCTTGTTTCTGGGCCAAGATAGTTCCATCCAAATGCCAAATTCCTTAAGTATGATTTAATTTGAATAATAATGTTCTTTATATCTGAATAGCACTTGCAGCTGCAGGAACACTCGGGGTATAATTAACCCTTTTCCAGTTCTGGAAACTGAAGATCAGCGCAGTTAAGCAAAGTGCCCATGATCACATAGCTTGCATCACATAGTTACAATTAAGTGTTCAGATTCAAAACCAACTTTTCTCCCACTTTAGGGTCTACTTCCCATTGCTTTAATACGCTCATAAAAGAGTGGGGTCCCTCCAAAGCGCAACAATGAGGACAGTATGATATTAATACATGCATCCACATCCTTAACAACTGGCTGCTGATATTTTTTTTCTGGAATGGTGATCTTATTTTGCTAGTATAAATATTGTATGTATCTTAATTTTTTCTTCCCATTTTTTTTAAATCGCAGTTCTTCGGAACAAAAGGAAAAATGGCATTCTTTCCTTCAAAGGTATCTTGTCACTATACATATTATACATCTTTAACCCATGAGAAAAGAATAAATCTCTTCAAAGCAGTGCCCCCACACACTATGCTTCCCCTACTTAGTAGAAATTGTTAGACTATCCTCAAATAATTTCTTATTTAGATGTACCCTGGCTGCTATTGCAAATAATCTGCTCTTATTTACATGCACATATTGCTTATTTTTGATGAAATTCTGGTTATCACTCTCATCTTCCCCTTCTCTCAGACCTAATGATTGGAGCTAACATTATTCTCAAAAGATACATATTAAATTTTCTTAAGTGCAATTTACTCTCCTGAGTGATGCTCAAAGCACCTTCTCATTCCTACCCTTGAAGGTGCTGGGCCCTCCAGTCTAGGCAGGAAAGCTTTGATGACTGGATCTGCTACTCACATCTTACATGACAAGAGCAACCTGTTGTTTTCTGAGTCATGTCTTATTTTCCTGAAATAGTTTTGCATGTTTTCTTCCAACCCATAATTTGATGTTGCTGAGTTTATTTACATGCATTTAAAAATAACAGAGTATGTTGAAAATTTTAGCCACATAGATCAATTTGAAAGTAAGCTAATAGCTAATTCATCCTACTCTATTTGGGGTTCTTATTGAATTTGATTAGGTATATCAGTCTGGCCAAAGAGAAGGACCAGCCCAAAAGCATTCCTCTCAGAATCTTCACTGAGGACATCAAGAACTGTGCCTGTGTAAGTGTTTTTAAGACCAAAAATTAAATTCCATGTTCCTGATTCAGATAGAATGAAAGAGATGGAGATGGAGATGGAGATAGAGAGAGGGAGGGAGGGAGGGAGGGAGAGATGGAGAGGTAGGAAGGAGAGAGCAAAAGATAAGAAGAGAGAGAGTATTTAGAAAAGTACCATGTGGGAAAATGTATTTTCCTGTCTACACGTGTCTTTGTATACATAAAGAGTGAATCCTAAGTAATATGAAGCGAGAGGAATCCATGCCACGGTACTTAAGCATGGAAAGAATATTGCATGTTAAATATCCATAATATTTCCCTGGCTCTTTCTAATAGCAACAACACTGGCTTCTAATAAGGTGATTTTCACATGCAGGTATTTCCTACTAGAATTAAACATTTTTCCCAATGGTTACTACTTATGTACAGAATGGTTTGGATTGTTTCCACAGTTCTCCACCCTCCCCCCATTGACGCTTTATTTGGTATAACTGTAAACTCACAGAAAAGTTGTAGGTATAAAAATAAAACAAAAAACACCCCATGCACCCTTTACCTAGATTCAGCTATTAGTAACATTTTACTCCACTTGCTTTATCATTTATTTTCTTTCTCTGTCCCTATTATGTGTATGTTATACTTATTTTTGAGGGTCATACAAATGCCATGGCCCTTTATCCTTAAACCTAGGTATTTCCCAAGAATAAAGATATCCTCTTATATCACCATCACACAGTTATCACCTTTAGTAAATTTAACATCGGTGTAATACTTTACTCTGCCTTCCATGTTCCCATTTTGTCAGTTGACCTCAATAATGTCTCCTTTCCAGTACAGGATCTCCTCAAGGGTCAGGTATTTCACTTAGTAGTTATATCAACTGCAGAGGGGTTTTGAAAGGTCTTTTGATCCAAGGAATATCAGGGTTGAATTGAGCTCAGAGGGATGACACTTTTAAGGGATCAGCATATTTCTATCTCATTTTCTTTTGGCTGTTGGGGGAAAAAAATCAAAACAGTTGCCCATTCTTGATATAAAATTTGATTTCTGAAATTGTAGTGCAGTAGCCAAGACATTTGCAATGATGAACAAGATACTTTGGGTATCTTTAAGTGACATTTTTTTTTTTCCTGTTATACTTTACAGTAGCTCTAGGTCACACAAAATAGTATTTGAAGGTGGAAAAAGTGGTAGTTATTCCTGGCCAAAGCAAAAGCCATGCAAATATTTTGATTGGTTTCTAAGCACCAGGTAGATGCATTGCATGAAGGAGATAAGGCCAGAGGGTTCTCTAGCAGCAGAGCACACTCTTGTCTCTGCCTGCTTTGATTTCAGCTGTGGCAGTGGGTTACACTCAGAATTTTCCATGGAAAATTACCTTGAAATCTTTAAAAATCAACTTTATTTATGTATAATTTACACAAAATAAGCATTTCTAATGTTCTTCACTTGTTCCTGAACATCCAAGTTTCCCTCTAACACTGTTTTCATTTCATCCTAGAGAGATGATCCTTAGCATTTCTTGTGCAGACCTGGTGCAAACAGATTTTCTTAATTTCTCTTATCTGAATATGGCTTTATTTCACACTCACTCTTGAAGGATATTTTGAGGGATGTAGAATTTTGTTCGCAAACCTTTTCCTTTCAGCTCTTTAAAGATGTTCCACTGTCTTTTTGTCTTTGTGCTTTCTGATGAGTAGTCTGTGATCAATCAAACATTAATCCCCTATAGGTGATTTGTCATTTTTCTCTAGCTGCTTTCAAGAGTTTCTCTTTATTTTTGGTTTTTAGCAGTGTGGCTATGAAGTATCAAAGCATGGTTTTCTTTGAATCTGTCCTCTTTGGCATATTCTGAACTTCTTGAATTTATAAATTTAATTTCACCAAATTTGGGAAATTTTAATCATGATTACCTCAAATATTTTCTTCCCCATTTTCTCTCTCCTCTCCTCCTGAGAGTCCAGTTATATGTATATTAGACCCTTTCATATTGTTCATAGATCCCTCAGACTCTTAATTTTTTCAATCTTTTTTTCCCCTTTTCTTCTTCAGACAGGATAATTTCTATTATCTATTTTCAAATCACTGACTTCTTTTTGTCATCTCCATTATGCAATGTAGCCTAGTCAGTAAATTTTTTCTTTAAGATATTTTTCAGATAAAAAATTTCTGTTTTTAAATATTTTTAGTTTCTATGCTAAGATGCCTCTTTCGTTTATTGTGAACATATTTTCATTTGTATCATTGAGCATTATTGTAATAGCTGTTTTTGGCTAACAGTCTGAACATCTAGATCATCTCAGGGTTGGCTTCAGCTCTTGAGAATTGATCACATATTCCTTGTTCTTCCTATATTAAGTAACACTTTGACTCATATAAAAAAAAGTAACATTTCTTTTTCTTTTAAATTATTTCAAAAAGCAGCTTATTTTTCTGAAGTCATTTGTTTACAGAGAGCTCTATCTACTGGAATTTATCTGTTTTGGAGAACCTACAACATGCAGGAAAATATACATACATCTCTGGAATTACTATTTTGAACATAGTATGTTCCTTATACCATGAAAACCATTATCTTGCAGACCAGATAAATTAAAAAGTGATTATTAGTATTTCAAAAGAGATTTTTTTTTCTTTAAAAAGATTTCATGGGAGGGATGCCTGGGTGGCTCAGTCAGTTATGCATCTGCCTTCGACTCAGGTTATGATCCCAGGGTCCTGGGATGGAGTCTTGCATCAGGCTCCCTGCTCAGAGGGGAGCCTGCTTCTCCCTCTGCCTTCTCTTCCTGTGGCTCCCCCTGCTTGTGCTCTCTCTCTGACAAATAAATAAACAAAAATCTTAAAAAAAAAAAAAAATTTTGTGGGAAAGATTTTAAGTTGTACTGAAAGGCTTTCAGACATCTTAAAAAAAATAGCAGAGCCATTACTTCTAACTAAATTTCAAGCTAAGACCCAGTCTTGAATCCTCTAGACAATTTAACATAGGAAGCCCCTCCTAGACAATTTAACATAGGATATCCTTGAGTTTGGGTGCTCTGAGTCCTACTGCTAGGTTCTGAACACTTTTTTTTATAATCCTTAAAGCTCAAGTAGTTTGAAATCAATGAACACTTTTGTTTATAAAAGTTCGATTATCAAACAACTTTTGGGCCATCTGTCATATCAAGCAATTGCATTTCAATTCATAAGAAGAAAAATACAATGAAAGAACAAGTTTCTTTTAACTTTGTTTTTAATATTTTTAAGGACTGTGAGTGTCCACTTCTGTTGCTTGTCTTCTTCATGCACTGTTTCTCAAAGAACACAGGCCTCATTGCCTAATAATGTTATAAAAAGTGTATGCGTGGTTGGTTACATATTGTCCTATTTTAAAATGTCTTTTGGAATTCGGGTAGTTTTATAGATATCATCTCAGATTCCTATCCATCCCTTTCAGATAATTTTCAATAACTGTTTTCCTTGTTGTATGGAGCAGTTTCTCAATATAAGGTGTGATAGAGAGATATTATAAGTAACTACTCACTGTCAGAGTTGCGAATGGAATATAAACTTCTAAAATTTTCAGTCTCATTTCCTAGACTCATTGGTTTTATTTGTCTCAACAGATTTCAACAATGGAAATCTTAGTAACCATGATGACACAAAGACAGTACTGACTAAATAGTAGTTTAAAAAAAAAAAAATGTCTGTCACAGACGGTTCTTATTCTGATTTTGCTGAAACTGAGTATGTAATTGCGAAGAGAGAAAAGTATCTAGCTCCTCCTTTTTAAACTATCTCCCCTCTCTATTTTGGGAATAGCCTTATGGAGCTGAGGGTCAGTTCATGTCCCCTCGTGGAATTCTGTTTTTCTCTTTCTTGCTTAAGCTGCTATATTTTGTAAGCCACAAATCCTTGAAGGGAAATATATGTTTCACTGAAATGTTTCCTACTAGCTTCATGTTATGTAAAGAAATGAAAATATAATCAAGGGTGTGTGCTCTACATATGCTTTACTTTGTCATTAACTGAAAACAAGCTTTGCCTTTAGAGTATGGATAATAATTTGACAATAATTATTTGGTCACCTGCTTTAAATTTTTAAAAATTTATAGCAATTTTTCTTATTTCTTTTTTACAGTCTGTAACTGTAACAGTAACAAATTCAGACACAGTGAATGACATTATCAACATGTCACTACCAATGCTAGGAATAACTGTAAGTTCCCTTGCAAACTATTTTTAATTTAAAAACCATCTTTGACTTTTGAGATTTGTGTGTGTGTGTGTGTGTTGTGTACCTCCCGTTATAAGACAGCTGATTATTATACATATCATAGTCATATTTTGTCCCCCAGATTTAGAAATTGAAGGCAGCAAAGCTATATTATTAGCCTATACATGGGTGCTCTTCTTGTCTTCCCATTTTAAATTTTCTGCGAATTCAAAATCATAGCATAAAATTGGGCTATAATTTTAGAGTGCTAATAACAACATGCAGTTTATTGTATATATTTTATACACAGACAATAAAATATTTCTAAGTTTCTAAATATTTCCTCCTCTATTGGACTCTTCTGTCTGTGTCTTCGTTCCTGATTCCTCCCCATCCCTGTTTACCCTGGTCATCACCCAAGGACTCAATCCCAGTTAGATGAATCCTAAATTATATGTTTTGTTGTACATTTTGACATAAAGACCACATGGCTAGAAGCTACCTCCTCTTGATGCAGTTCCTTGGGATGAGGCGGCTCACACCCCTTATGAACTGGTAAAGAGGACAAGTTCTGAATAAGACCATGATCTGGGGGCAGTTGCGTACATATCACTTTCATCTTGTTTTGGTTTTAACGGCCTGTTCCTTTATGTTTTGATGGTGCTGGTGTGAGTTGCTGGATTTTTTTTTTTTTTTTTTTTTTGATGAAAAACATGGACATATTTGAGGATGAGGTTTTCTAAGGGAAAAGAGCGGGAGAGTGATAGTCAGATGGACAGAACTGAAGGGAGCACTTGTAAAGCACAGCTTCTTATATAAAATCCTCTATAAATGCAAAAATGTCTTGCTATTATGACATGATATAATTACAAGATTCTTACTTAAATTCTGTCTGACCCAATGGTATAATAAAGCCCCTTAAAAATTCAGAGCAACTGGAATTTAGCATAAGAAATCAATGATTTCTGTACAAACAAAATTTAATAATATATCTGAAATAAAATTGAATTTATAGGTACTGAGTAAAGCACATATCTACATTGATTTCTAACCTGTATGATATATATACCCTAAATAGGAATTAAGTCTTAGAAAGAGAGTGAGTGGTTTTAGGGATGAAGTTGAGGAGATTGATTAATGATGAGGCTCATTTTATTTCATGTTTGTGATTTTCCTTTGCATAAAGTGATCAATCTCAGCACACAAAGAATTTCTGTTTTAATGAAGAATTGGGGTTATTTGGCTTTATGTATGCCTGATTTAAGGGATCCCAGCATAGCATTTCCAAACCCTACCCTACCTTACTGGCTCTCACGAGTTATTTGCAATACAATTTTGAGCAGATTTAGCTATGTGTGTGTGTCTGTGTGTCTGCGTGTGTCTGTGTGTGTGCTGTGTCCATACCTATGACCTTTCTTCATAAGGGCAAGACCATGATTTTGAATCAGGAGTCCAGGGCAAGCATAGTACCTATCACCAACAACTCCACGTCAAACATTTTTTGCTTTAGTCTCCTGGAAGACTCTCTAAAATAGTTCAGCGATCTTTATAATTTAGATGTGTTTGTTTCAAGTAGGACTTCCAGGTTTACTGGGCGGTAATTCTGCTGGGAGTAATTGTTTTCTGCATCTGATATGTTGTCTAGGTTAGAGTCCTTGTTCTTTCTCTCCCTGAAGTGGGGCTTGCCTGCACCAAAGCCAGTGGCTGACTTCAGTCCACTATCTCCTCAAGGCCTCTTGGGCGTTTGTCTCCTTTTGCCCAGGGCTGCTGAGCTATTGATGCCTTTCAAGTTACTTTGCTCAGGAATAGTCATAGCAGGGTATATGGCTCTCTGGACAATATGCATGTCAGGGCAGGGACATTTGGCGGCAAAAGCCAGCATTATCCAAGGAATCTAGAGACAGCGGAAGGCAGGACTCTGAGATTAGAAGTTTCCTCCTTAGCGAAGGGGCACAACTGTGATTTCTTAAGCCATGGGCCACCCACACCGTGAGGGGCTGATTGTACTGTGGTTTCCTGGCCTTTATCAAAAATGACAAGAACCTGGGACGGTCCACTGGAGGCTATGAGGGAACAAGTTAACAAGTACTGTAGCTACCTCCATGGACCAAATGGCATTTATACTGGCCCCAATTCTTCCTTTCTGGAAACAGAGAAATGCAAAGGAAATGTGTTCTTCAAGTACTGTGAAAGATTTGTTATGATGCATAGTTCTTTTTGTTTCCAAGGGCTCTGAGAAAGACTACCAGCTGTGGGTGAGTGCTGGCAAGGAAGCGTCCCCACACCCACTCACTGGTAAGTGTCAGGGAAAATCTAAGATGGGATTGATTAGGTTCAAAATTGTAACTCTACATCTCAAAGTAATGGTTGTTCTATCTTCAGCTTAAATACCCTTAAAAGTGAAAATCACATGCAATATTCACTCTCACGTTTATTAAAGAATTACCAGGTGCTTACTTTTTCCCAGGCACTGAGGACATCTCTTCATTCATCAGCTTAAGGTCTAGTTAGGGAGAGAAATGTAAATTTTTCGTTTCTACTTCATTTTACCTGACAAACAGAGCTGTCTTAAAAATTTTTTTGTTTATTGTTTACTTACTTATTTACTCACTTAGGTATGAAAGCAAAGAATTGGAATTTCTTTTTCCCATCCATTTATTTTTCATATTCCAGTCTTGAATTCCAGTTCCTAACAACTAAATAGCCTCTATTTTGTGAGAATCCGCTAAAATCCAATCATGTCTCTGAATCCAGGTATAGGTATGTATTTAACACCTGCTCTGTGCCCAGAAGTTTTCTCAGCATCATAAAGAAAATGAGATAATCACATTTAAACTCCTCAAGTCTTCACTGACTAAACTACCTGCACTTTGCTGTTTCTCAGGCTTTTTCCATCACTGTTCTTAAGGTTATTGATAAACAGATTACACCTCTCCTAAAGTAGTTATCAGCACAAGTTCTCTAAAAAAAAATCTTTGGATTAGCAAAATTGTTCAGTGCTTACCAGAAATAGAAGGATTAAAAAACCAGAGAAAAAAGAGAGGATCTGTAGCAGACCTTGAAGTATAGTAATGTATGGTAATGGTGACAATGATTTCTGCTAGAAATCTTAGAGCATTCCTTCTTACATGCATTTTTCAAAATCTTTTTAATAATCCTGTGAGGCGGGATGCCTGGGTGGCTCAGTTAAGTGTCTGCCTTTGGCTCAGGTCATGATCCCAGGGTCCTGGGCTCCTTGCTCAGTGGGGAGCTGCTTCTCCCTTGGCCTGCCGCTCCCCCTACTTGTGCTCTCTCTCTCTCTGACAAATAAATAAATAAAATCTTAAAAAGAAAATAATCCCGTGAGGCTATTACTCTTTTTCAAGTTATCTAAAGAATATTTTCAAGTGATCTGGAAATCTAAATAACCAATTTCTTTCTACGAAATGTATATTCCCAGTCTTAGAATACAGAGAGTCACCAAGGGCATAGCTGAGGAAAAAAATCCCCCCCACCATTTCATGTTTCATATTAATATTGACATCTCTGTAAAAGTCGGCCAACCACAAAAAGGAAAAAGTCAAATACTTAAATATATTTATTTTAATAAAGTGATTAATTTAGGTAAAACAATAGAGATGATAACTTTTTAGACTTTGAGCAGCTTCACACACCAAGGCAGCTCTAAGGAATCCGGAGAGCCTGTCATTCATGATGATCCATTGGCAGCATTCAAAATGCATTTTTAACCAATGCTCTCAATTCTCAACTGCAGATTATCTCCTGGTTATCTTTGTGATTTGGTTGTATTGCTGTCGTAGAAGCTTCTTTTTCCTTAAAAGAGGGAAGTCACTGTGATTCTTGTGAACACATCACTGACACTGCATCCATGACAGATGAGAAGGAACAGCAAAAGCTCCCCAAGTTACATTCAATAATAAATCAGAAACGACAGAAAGAGAACTTCCATTCTGTTCTTAAAAAATGAGATCCATATCCTATAGCACAGGGTCTTTGAGAATTCTATAGAGAGGAAACAATTTAAAGCATACAAGAACAAAACAAATCACTTGGCAGGCAACTCTCACTGACTCTGGGTGCAGTTTTCCACTCTGTAAACATCGTTTTGCACTTTGCTTCTGGGTTCCCAACACTGTGCAGCCTTCCCTCTGATCATCACCTGGCAGGACTCCCCTTGGAGGAAGGGCAGCAGTGGGAGGGAAGTATAAAGCATAAAAGCAACCCATCCCACTGCCCTTGAGTAGCTCTGCCTCTAGAAATTGACAAAACGAAATGAAAAAAAATCTGCTCAACTGACATTATGTGAGAGAGAATAGCAATTCTTAATATATATGTTCAATTATTTAAAAAATATTACCCACCAATGCATATTAATATATTTACTCTGATCCTTATAAGTTTGTGTGAGGGCAAGCATTTCAAAGGATGAATGTAAGGCTCAGAGGGGTCAAGTAATTTGCCTAAGATGTGCAGATCTCGTTAGTGTCAAGGCAGAAACTAGAAGGCCTTAAATATTCTCAGATGGAAACACAGCAAAAGTCAGCATTGTGCAATGCACTGATGAATCTTTGTATTCCAAGTAAAGTAACATGCTTTAAATTTTTTTTCTCTTTTAAAAATCTTTTCCTTGGGCACCTGCTTTTTGCAAGGTGTCTCCAACAAGAGCGAATATGATGCTCACTCAGGAGGCACAGAGTGAGTGCCAGAAGCCCCAGGAGAATAGCAGCATATACCAGTGTGATGCATACACTCATGGGAAGGGGGATTTGATCAGAGCCATCACCATCAACCTGAATCTATATTTTTTCCATATAGGACATAAACATCCCTATGGAATTAAAATGAGCCATCTTCCATCTACCACACTGCTGCCGCAGACACCAGAGGACTCCATCTCTCCTTCCACCCTCCAGGAGTCCCTCCTTCTGGAGCAGGGGTTCGCAGAGATGCAAGGCCAGTTCATCCTGAAGCTCAGGCACCCAACGCAGAATGAGCAAGGGAGAGGTGAGCCCCTTCCCTTTCTTCAGGTGTCTTCTCTTGGCTCATGTCTCCACTCTTGCCCACAAATTGAGGACACAGAGCTCACTCTCTCTGTGGGGGGTGGGGAGGAACAGTAGAGGCAAGAACCCCCAAACTGCACAGAATCAAGCTTAGAGAAACCCAAAGGTCTTAAGACCCAACTCACTTCGAGGAAGGTTGTGTGCTTGTTTTAATTCTCCTAGGTAGACTGTTAACTCCTTTCTCTGTATCCCCAGAACACTTTCTACATATAATTATGTGAGTATACATCTGTGTGTCTTCTTAGAGCACAAGCTGTTTGTGGCCTGAAAACAGGTCTTCCCTATTCCAGGGTTTTATCTAGTATCTCAGGCCATCACAGGATGGAATCAAATGACTGCATGGCTTAGACGCACCTGGAATGGAAGAACTCCAGTGGAGTAAAGAGTTATGGAACTGAATTGGATTTATTCTGGGCTTAGGCTGAAGTGGCCTTGGGCTTACAGTTAGAATTCAAGTCTCAATTCTGCCCCCACTTTCCATGTCTGCTTCAGACACAGGTCAAGGCTGGAGCTAGACTGAATGTTTATGGTCAGGGCTTTTTCATCTTCCTTCTTGCTATTTTTTTCCCTACCATTCCAGTATTCTCCCATTGATATTTTTTTCTCTGATGAAAATGTGTTATTCATCTGAGAAGTATTGGGCCAAAATAGAAAGTATTTTATTGTTATGATTGTTATTCTATAAGCACAAGGTTTCAAAAATTTTATTTTTTAATATTCATACCCTAATTCAAGCATTAGGAAACATTAACCCAAATCTTGCCAGGACTGTTTAAGAAAGAATAGGTTTCCATGAAGTTAGCTTGTTTAATCATTCCTATATTTTTCATGGCTATAGCATATATTTTTATTAGTAATAGAGGCAACATGACCTCTAACAGCAAATAATGTACATTATAAAACATCCAGCTAAGCCTGAAAATACCTTGGAGAAAGTATAGGACTCAATGTGTACTTATTTTCTGTATATACTCATAGAGTAGCTAGATATATAGCTTTGTACCAAGGGATACAACATTCTTCTTAAGAGCATTCTTCTTATTAAAGCTGAAGAATGGAATATATTTGGGTAGTTTTAGAAATAATAAAACTAGGGGAAGAGTAGGGAACCCAGGTTGCATACAACAACTCAACTTACATATTAACACGTATCTTCAGCAAATGCATACATTTTGATGTACAGGAATCTCCTCCTGGATTTAAGAATGTGTTTGCTTTCTTTCTTCTCTCCTTTTAAAATGGTAGGTGTATCAATTTCAGGGCAGGAAGAAAGAGCCTTAGTTAAGTAAAGTGGTAGCCATCCTTCATGATTGCCTACCTTCTAGAGGTTGCAAAATCAAATAGAGAATGGGAGTGATGTCTGCTTTGGAGGGGGAAGAGACTGATGTCTAGACTGCCTGAGGCCTTCTGAGCAAGGAAATTACTTTTATCAAGGCTGCCATGAGCCATGCCTTGTGCTGAGTAGTACATTACATTTAGTTCAACGAGTTGTAGGCAGCAGCATTTATGTTAAAGTGAAGCAAACCAAAGCTTCAGAATCTTTGAGTAATCTAACTAGGTGGCAGAACCAGGATGCTTCTGGTTCTTAGATCCTGGTCTCTCTGGTCAGGTGCCATGAGTGTTGCCACCCACGTGAGTGGATACGGTGATGCACTCACTACATCCCAGAAAAGCCCAGTGGACAGGTGTTTATGGGTGTTTGGTGAAATGTTGCTCATTTGTTTATCCTTCTACAGCTTGGCTCCTCTGTGGACTTTTAAAGAATTCAGTTATTTAAGCAGATTTTGGAAGCAAATGTTAAGGTATCTTCTAAGGAAAACATTCATAGCTGAGCAGTAGAAACTTTCAACTCAGCTTTTCACTGCAGATCACCTTTTCTTTGTAAAGCTCTTCTTCTGCATTCCTTTGATAGAGAATGTTGGGTAATTCAAAATCATCTCTGGAAATTGGGGATAAATCAGGCATTCATAATCTCTCATTGTTTTTCTTTTTGTATGTTTTCTTTCAAGCCTTGTACTGGTATGGTGTATATACATGTATGTTTGAGTATGTGTGAGGAATTGGGTGCAATTCATTGTGGATTAGACTCTTTTCAGTAAATATCAAACATAATTTACAAAAAAAAAAAAGTCATCTCTGGGTAGCTTGGTGGGGTATCACAAAAAAACACAGTCACCTGGAATCTTACCACATAGCCAGCATGTAATGACTATTTCCCAAGAACCCTGACTGCAGGAAGTCATCCTTGGGGATGGCCCAGAGCAGAGACACCAGAGGCTGCCTGAGAAGTGGGGTCAGGCGGATCATGTCATGAAAGGCAGATCCTTTTGATCATAGAAAGATGAGCACTCAGGGGCACCTGGGTGGCTCAGTCGTTAAGCGTCTGCCTTCAGCTCAGGTCATGATCCCAGCGTCCTGGGATCTAGTCCTGCATCGGGCTCCCTGCTCAGTGGGAGTCTGCTTCTCCCTCTCCCAATCCCCACCTGCTTGTGTTCCCTCTCTCGCTGTCTCTCTCTGCCAAATAAATAAATAAAATCTTAAAAAAAAAGTTGAGCACTCAGAAAGCCAAAGAGGAAACTTAAGGCTGGGAGGAGACTCACTGTGAAAGCAGATGATTAACAAACTCAGCTTGATTTGAATATCAGATCTTTTGAGCTTTTAAAATCAGATCTGACACTGGATGAATCCACTAATCATACTTACCAATAGGAAACAACAAGTTAAGTGCCTCATGATAAAGCCCAACGGGCAGTAGATGGGATTGAAAGCATTGACACTAAATCTGATCAAGTCTCTAGGTTTAACCATCAGTTTGCAGGATCTGGGGAAGAACTCTTAACACCGTAAGAATGCTATTGGCCAATTTCAAAACATGGAGAATTCTACACAAAAAATGCCTCAGTTTCCCTCTTCTAGCCATTGCAGTGAATGTACCGTAGAGTGGGAATGGTGAAAATAAGGTTAAGCGGGGTGCCTGGGTGACTCAGTTGTTAAGCGTCTCCCTTGGGCTCAGGTCATGATCCCCGTGTCCTGGGATTGAGCCCTGCATTAGGCTCCATGCTGGGTGGGAAGCCTGCTTCTCCCTCTCCCGCTCCCCCTGCTTGTGTTCCATCTCTCACTGGCTCTCTATCAAAAAATAAATAAAATCTTTAGAAAAAAAAAAGAAAAGAAGGTTAAGCAAATAAAACAACTACTACTACTACTAATTTCACTTCTTCCTTAGATTACGGGCAGAAGACACTTAAAAGCCGTTTTTTCAGAGACTGGGCCTGTTGTCTGGGCTCCAGCACTAGCCAGCACAGCCAGTGCACAACCCCACCTTCTTCAAAGCCAGGACAGCTCTTTGGAGTTTCCCTCATGGATGTGTGTGATAAAGACAACCTGCCGTTGCCAATTCTGGTAGGTCATCTCCTTTTGGTCTTCTATAGCCCTCCTGAGGAGTGGAAACTCTGAGAGGCTACGTGTCCTCATCCAAATCTATCCCCAAATGGAGAAGTCTTTTGACAGCCCCTGACTTTGGCTGAGAAGCTCTGTTAGTGTTATTTCAAAGAATAGAATCTGATTTAGGTCCTGCAGAGTCATGAGGCAAATACAAGAGGAAAAGACATTCTTCTCCATTCCACTTGGGTCTTGTTTCCACAAAGACATGCGGAGGCTTGTTCAGATCAGTCAAAATGGACTCTGTATGTGAGTCTCTGAGAGTCCACCTCATCTTCACACTCTCCCTTCATTGCCTTCCTGCACTCACATGAGTCTCAAGTCTCCTTCAGCGGAGTCTACTCAGTCTAACAATTGTAAACATCTGACATGAGCATAGACTCATCCTCTGGCAAATAGGAATCTGTTAATCCTAACAGAATATGTCAAATGAAAGCCACAGAGTTTGGCCTGTGTTATCTCAAACTGCTGTAGTGAATTGTCAGTGTGGACCTTCACTGAGTATTCGGTGTCTCTGCAAGCACTGTACGGGATGTAGGGAACGTTCTGCTAGCTATGAAGAAATGTATTATACTAGCTAGCATGTTACCTGCTAGCTACTACCCCAGTTCCTTGCATCACAGCAAATTTAGGGGCTAGCTAGGATTATCATCCTCCGCACTGCCTAAACGAATCAGAAAAGCCTCAGTACAGGATGTATGTGCCCCAGCTCTCACAATAGATAAGTAGCATAATAGACTTCAGATCCGTTGGATTCCCTGAGTCCAGCCCTTATTAAATTTCTACACAGCAGGGAGAGGACATGAAGATACAGCAAAAGACAATGAAAGACTCATGAGAAGGGAGGGTAATCAGAGAAGGGGAAGAGAGTTTCTGAGCCTGACTTTAAAAGAGGGAATGATATAGAACAAGTAGGAATGGAGTATACAGTCACTTAAAGAGAAATAAACAAATGGGAAATGAGTATTTCCTAAATAGACTTCCATACTTGGGGAAGAGCATCTACGTAAGGGGATAATGAGAAAAGAATGGTAAAGTAGGAAACAGACGGTGATTGCGCAAAGGCCTTGAAGCAGAGAAATTTGATTTAAGAGTGGAAACTCAATGGAAAGGAAAATCTGATTAAAAGAAGTGTTTAAAATGTTTCAGTGTATGACTGTAAAATGGATATTTGGGTAGAAAGTATATAGAGAGACACTGAAAAAACAGCCATCTAAATTGACTTTAGTCCTTTCTGCACGAAAACAGTATACCATTGCATTCCCCTCCTCTTTCAAAACGGAGGCAAGCTTGAGCTCTGCGTTTGGGGATATGAGATGCGATATAATTTCCTTTTCTTCCTACAGGATATGCTTTCCTTTATTAATCAAAAAGGGCCACTCACAGAATGCATCTTCAGCAAATCACCCAATATAAAATCAACTAGGGTCATAAAGGAGAAACTAAATTCTGGGGTCAAAGTGGACCTGTACAGCGAATCTGTTCATGTGGTCGCATCCGTCTTAAAGGTAGGGAAGGTTCTAGCATTATCCACACATGAGTAACTGACGCTATGATTGGTGTCTTTCATCATGACTGCTCAAGAACCATAATGGGCATAATAGATTAAGAACCTGACAAGCTGGTAAACGCTTGATAAATCAAAATTTAAGGAAGCTACTTTAGGAGTTAAAAGCCCCATATGTTAGAAATACTTTCTGTTTTCACTACACACCGCCTACCCCGCCTTCACTCCTGAAGTCGCCATGCAAAATACTAATACTGAAATGACTTCTAGTCATGATAATAAATTTCAAAATACACACCAATACATACACACTGTTTACTCATGCAAACATCCTCCCCACCCTCCTAGTGAAGGCAAACTTTCCAAAAGAAATAGAACAGGGAAAGAATTTAATCCATCCACCTTGGCACTTGTGAACAGCTCTGAACAACCCTATGTTAACGTAGTAATGACTACAGTCTTAGAATCTCAGTCACATTTGGTCTTCCCTTGTTCCCCGTTAATGTTCGAAGATGTGCTAAATAGCAAAGTCCAGAAATGACTTCGGTAACCACTCCTACACTGGGGCCATAGTGATATCCAGTAGTAATATACATATAGGCATCAGGAGACAGGAGAAGAATGCTGATACATTAGGTAGCAAGATGAGTGTTGCCCTCTGTAAGGTGCGCACATGGAATCCATTTTCTAGCAAGAGTTAGGAGGTTCTTTCCCGATTCCGTGTTATAAGCACCGACTAGGGAGAGGGTGAGCACTTGTGGGTATAGTGCTTAGACATTTCTAAAGTTTTCTCTTCCTGAAGTTGACGGATCTTGGTGGAGAAACAGACTCTGCAACCTTGGACTTGATAATATTGTCAAACTAACTGGGAATTGACCTAATCTAGAAATGAATCTATCCTCAGGACCTCAGTGAGTCTACCATTAGACTCTCGACTTTTAGACAGTTAAGAAAAGGAAAAATGAAGCAATTGTGAGAGTAGCTTTCTTCCAAGGAGCACACCTACCCCGAGTGAGAAGACCTAGTTCTTTCCTAATATGTGTGCAAAAGCCCACCTGTTTGTGTTTTGATTGTTTCAGGCCTTTTCTTGCTAGAGTTAAGAGCTAGCACTGTGTCTAAAACAAGCAACATGGGTAAGCGTATTTCTGTCCAAGAAGCTAATAGGATTTAGGATGGTCTATAGCCAGACGCTGTCAGTTTGTGGTACTTTGCAAAAAAAGCACACAAAGAAAATAAGTTCCAGATGATAGAAGGGAGCTTTATCTCCATTTCTACCACAGCCTAAGCTCTGCTTTTATGCCTCTAAGATTTAGGGGGAGAAAATCCAAGCACCTGCTGCTGCGTGTGAAAGTCAATAGAGAGTCAGAGCCGAGCTCCATGTGGGTCACAGTTTGGGTATCTGTGAAGGAAGTGGGGGCTGAACTGAATTTTTTAACTACATATTTTCTCTCTAATATTTCCAATACATATTTTCTATAATATATATACATATTTATTTTTATCTCCATAAGGATTTCCTAAGAAATATCCCAGGAAGTATATTTTTGTTCAATCTCTATGACAAATGGCTCGGTGTTATTGATCAAGGGAACGAAGAGGAGAAGATGACTGCAGCGCGGAGGTAATGATGCAATAATTACTCTACTGTGGTCACATCTCCAAAATACAGCGAACATAGTATTAGCAAAATATTGGCTTACGTTTTGCAGCTTTGCCCACTAAAATCATGACCAATGTCAAAGAGTTTCAATTCTTCACAGCCATGGGGGTCAGCTTCAGAATAGAGGTACGCCTTAGGGCTATTATTGTTCTTCCTCTGATCTTATTAATGTGGACTCCTTGGCCATTTGACACCTTCTGGATCCATGAAACTTGTAGACGAAATTCCCTGGTTGAAGACACATGAAAGAGCATCAACTGCCAGGGCTATGACCTTAAAAGTCTGTCAAACATTTAACTAACCAGAGAAGTTTTTATCTGGCTCAGGAACTGAATTCAGTGCACCAATTTTGTCTACATTCATGCCTGGAACTCTGCTACAGCGGGTTGTGTGCTAGATATACAAGGTTGTATCCTTTTCCCTGTCTCTGTTTTTCCAATCTCCTAAGTGGAATCACTTGCCTAATTTAAAAGTGTGTTTTCTGACCTTAGGCTTTTAGCCCAGCTGCCAAGAGCAAATGTTGTTCTCTTGCGATACCTTTTTGGAGTGCTATACAACATCGAGCAACATTCCTCATCCAATCAGATGACAGCTTATAATTTATCCGTTTGTATAGCCCCAAGCGTTCTTTACCCACCTGATTCCGACAGCTTGGAATTGGAAGACAACTTGATAAAAAAGGTAATGAGAGCTCTCATTTTTGTCCCCCAGGGGGTAGAATCCCTACTTTGACCCGGACATGTGCAGTAGTAACTCTGACAAAAGGAACTTTGTGAAGTGCACATTTTCATTAGGCCCCTGTGGAGTGGCAGAGTTCTTTATCCTACTCTGGTGGGGTCTGGGAAGGGGTGTTGTTAAACGGAAAACTCAGAGCGGTCGAGTCACTTCTTCCCGCTCCAGGAGACTAAACCTAGACTGACTAAACGAGAGAGAAAAGAGTCGTGTGATACGATAGAAAAGAACCTGGGCTTTGGAGCTTCACTAGTCAAGGTTCAACTCTCAGCCTAATCCCTGAGGGACTCGTAACCTTGGGCAAAGCCATGGTTTCCTCACTACACAATGGCGACAACAGCCAGCTCCTCCGGTCATCACTGGCACATCCTAGGTGGCTTGGGCAATATGAGCCCGCATGGCTCCAAAGACATTGGCCTTCCTCTGCCAATTGTGGCTCTTCTAGTAAAGTACTCGGCTACTATTTCACCTCTGCTATGTCAACAGAAACTAGCAAGAGATTCCAGAACATCCTAATAAGATGACAGGTCTTCCCCAAGCTCACCCAGAGAGAGCCTGTATGAGGCAAAGCCATGAGTGTGAAGGGACTGAAGTTAGACAGACAGATACGTTTTCTCTCCAGTTGTGTGGGTTTTCCCTCACAACCCCACAAAAATCTGTACTTCCCAACTTTAAGATACTTCTTCATTTAAGAAATGGTTTTCTTAAGTTTTTGTTCATACTTTATAAAGTTTCATAAGATGGTATACATCAGTTACAGCTCAATAAAACTGGAAAAAAAATTTAAAAACAAAAAATAAGTAAACTTTAATAAGGTAGGCTACTTTGAAAATTATCCTAGTTTTATTTATTTTTTGATATGTATTTATTTGAGGGAAAGAGAGAGCGTGAGCGGGGCTGGGGCAGAAGAAGAGGGAGAGGGAGAGGGAGAAGCCCAAGCTGATTCCCCGCTGAGCACAGAGCCCAAAGTTGGCTCCATGTGGGGCTGGATCTCACCATCATGAGATAGTGATCTGAGCCAAAATCAAGAGTCAGATGCTCAACAGAGGGGCCCCAAAAATTATCCTAGGCTTAATGATGTAACCACTGATACCAAAATGTTACCTATTAAACTAGGCCACATATTAAAACTTTAGCCTACTGATTAGCAGTATTTTAAAATGTGTACCCAAAGTACACGGAAAAGTATCACTCTTCCTAAGTTATTTCTTAGAGAATTCTGGTCTCTGTTTTTTCTTTTATTATTTTTTTTAAGATTATATTTATTTTCTTGACAGAGGCAGACACAGCGAGAGAGGGAACACAAGCAGGGGGAGTGAGAGAGGGAGAATCAGGCTTCCCGCTGAGCAGGGAGCCCGATGTAGGGCTGATCGCAGCACCCTGGGATCATGAGCTGGGCTGAATGCAGACGCCTGACCGATTGAGCCACCCAGGCGCTCCTGGTCTCTATGTATTTTTGTCAATTGTGAATTTTTCTGGGAAATCTTTCACATTCTTTCTTAGATCCAAGGTCTATAGACATAATGTGATTTATAACTATGCCCTATGGAAAAGAGCACCCCATTTTTGTCTTTTTGTGTTACAGATTTCTCTTGTACAATTTCTCATTGAAAATTGCCTTAAAATATTTGGAGAAGACATCACTTCCCTCTTGGGAGAGAACTCAATGAGTCGTGGTAACAGCGAGCAGGCTGCAGGTACCGGGAATAATTTATTTGGCTTTAGTGAGAAGCAGACAGCAAGGCTGCCAGGGGTCATGGGAGATGCTTAGACAGAGCTGTTCTGGAGCCCAGAGCATCGCCAGGGCAAGGATTTCCATGTGCTCCTTCTCCCGAAGGCTGGCTCACAGGTCAAGGGAGGTTCCACACTGTTGTGAGACCAAAGAAAGGATAAGATGAGGTCTCTGACTTCAAGAAGGTTTCTAGTGTAGATCATAACGGAATTAGGACTCATCATGGTATGCCACAGTGTTTGGGAACTTTTTCTCACAAAATTTAAATGGGTGCTATATATATATCTATGTAGTTATATATATTACATAATTATATACTGATACTATATAAATATATAAACATAATGTATATATTTATGTATATTACATGAGCGCTGGTTGAAGCCAGAGAAAGGGGCTTTTCTTCCCCTCCCTCCTCTTTTGGCTCAGGGTCTCTTGAGGCACCACAGGATTCCAGTGCCCTTTGAAGCGGGTTGAAAAGAATTGGCATCTTTGAGAAAAAAGGACTTGACTTGATGTCAAACAACCTCTCCAGAGTGTAAATTCCTGTACCCCCACTTACCAGCTATATTATCTTTGGCCAGTTATACCAGCTCAGCATCAGTTTATTCATCTCTAAAATGTGGATAAAAATAATGTCTAAATTTTAGAATTGTTGTGTAGAATAAATAAGATGATGGATGTAATCCAAAAAAAGCCATTAATAGCACTAGGAGAAGTGCCCCTGAGTCTAGATGTAGTATGATTTGAGCCTAGCTAATCAGACCTAACTGGCAGCAGTCCACCTTAGAAGGTAGACTTTCGATTCAGAACCTGGAGACACGTATCATCAATCCCTCCATATTTTTGACATTTCTTCTTTTCATGACACGTACCACATGCTTTGAGGAAAGTTTTAGGAAAATACAAGTCATCAGGAATTAAGATGAGTCTGGGGCACCTGGGTGGCTCAGTCGTTAAACATCTGCCTTCAGCTCAGGTCATGATCCTGGGGTCCTGGTACCGAGCCCCGCATCAGGCTCCCTGCTCCAAGGGAAGCCTGCTTCTCCCTCTCCCCCTCCCCTTACTTGTGTTCCCTCTCTTGCTGTCTCTCTCTCTCTGTCAAAAAATAAATAAAATCTGTAAAAAAAAAAAAAAAGGAAAAAGAAGGTTCAACATATTAAACAACAACTACTACTACGAGTACTCTCACTTCTTCCTTAGACTCCAGCCTGAAGACTGTGAAAACCCGTTCTTTCAGAGACAGGGTGTTTTGTCGGGGTTCCAGCACTTCCCAGCACAACCAGTGCACAGCCCCACCTTCCGCAAAGCCAGGACAGCTCTTTGGAGTTTCCCTCATGGATGTGTGTGATAAAGACAACTTGTCCTTCCCAATTCTGGTAGGTCAACTCCTTTTGGTCTTCTAGAGCCCTCCTGAGAAGGGGAAACTCTGAGAGGCCAAGCGTCCTCATCCAAATCTATCCCAAAAATGAAGAAGTCATTAGACAGCCCCTGGCTTTGGCTGAGAAGCTCTATAACTGTTATTTCAAAGAATAGAATCTGATTTAGGTCCTGCAGAGTCATGAGGCAAATGCAACAGGAAAAGACATTCTTCTCCATTCCACTTGGGTCTTGTTTCCACAAAGACATGCGGAGGCTTGTTCAGATCAGTCAAAATGGACTCTGTGTATGTGAGTCTCGGAGACTCCACCTCATCTTCACACTCTCCCTTCATTGCCTTGCTGAACTCACATGAGTCTCAAGTCTCCTTCAGCGGAGTCTACTCAGTCTAACAACTGCAGACATCTGACACGAGCATAGACTCATCCTCTGGCAAATAGGAATGTGTTAATCCTAGGAGAATATGTCAAACGAAAGCCACAGAGTTTGGCCTGTGTTATCTCAAACTGCTGTAGTGAATTGTCAGTGTGGACCTTCACTGAGTATTCGGTGTCTCTGCATGCACTGTACGGGATGTAGGGAACGTTCTGCTAGCTATGAAGAAATGCATCATCTTAGCTAGCATGTTACCTGCTAGCTACTTACCCCAGTTCCTTGCATCACAGCAAATTTAGGGGCTAGCTAGGATTATCATCCTCCGCACTGCCTAAACGAATCAGAAAAGCCTCAGTACAGGATGTATGTGCCCCAACGCACACAATAGTTAAGTAGCATAATAGACTTCAGATCCGTTGGATTCCCTGAGTCCAGCCCTTATTAAATTTCTACACAGCAGGGAGAGGACATGAAGATACAGCAAAAGACAATGAAAGACTCATGAGAAGGGAGGGTAATCAGAGAAGGAGAAGAGAGTTCCTGAGCCTGACTTTAAAAGAGGGAAGGAAATAGAACAAGTAGGAATGGAGTATACAGTCACTTAAAGAGAAATAAACAAATGGGAAATGAGTATTTCCTAACTAGACTTCCATACTTGCGGAAGAGCATGTATGTAAGGGACAAATGTGAAAAGAATGGGAAAGTAGGAAACAGACGGTTATTCCGCAAAGGCCTTGAGGCAGAGAAGTTTGATTTAAAAGTGTAAACTTAGTGGAAAATCTGATTAAAAGAAGTGTTTAAAATGTTTCAGTGTATGACTGTAAAATGGATATATGGGTAGAAAGTATATATAGAGAGACACTGAAAAAACAGCAATCTAAATTGACTTTAGTCCTTCCCGCTCTAAAACATTGTACCATTACATTCCCCTTTTCTTTCAAAACGGAGGCAAGATTGTGCTCTGCGTTTGTGGATATGAGATGCCATATACTTTTCTTTTCTTCCTACAGGGTATGCTTTCCTTTATTAATCAGAAAGGGCCACTCACAGAAGGCGTCTTCAGAAACTCAGCCAATATAAAATCCCGCAGAGTCCTAACGGAGAAACAAAATTCTGGGGTCAAAGTGAACCCGTACAGGGAATCTATTCATGTGTTCGCATCCGTCTTAAAGGTAGGGAAGGTTCTAGCATTATCCACACGTGAGTAACTGAAGCGATGATTGGTGTCCTTCATCATGACTGCTCAAGAACCATAACGGGCATAGTAGATTAATAACGTGACAAGCTGAAAAACGCTTGACAAAATCAAAATTTAAGGAAGCAACTTTAGGAGTTAAAAGCCCCATGTGTTACAAATACTTTCTGTTTTCACCACACACAGCCATCCGCACCTTCACTCCTGAAGACTCCATGCAAAATGCTAATACTGAAATGACTACAGTCATGATAATAAATTTCAAAATACGCACTGACACAAACACACTGTTTACCAAAGCAGACATCCTGACCACCCTCCTAATGAAGGCAAACTTTCCAAAAGAAATAGAACAGGGAAAGAATTTAATCCATGCACCTTTGCACTTATGAACAGCTTTGAACAACCCTATGTTAATGTAGTACTGACTACAGTCTTAGAATCTCAATCACATTTGGTCTTCCCTTGTCCCCCATTAATGTTCGAAGATGTGATAAATAGCAAAGTCCAGAAATGACTTCGGTAACCACTCCTACACTGGGGCCATAGTGATATCCAGTAGTAATATACATATAGGCATCAGGAGACAGGAGAGGAATGAGAATACACTAGGTAGCAAGATGAGTGTTGCGCTCTGTAAGGTGCACACATGGAATCTATTTTCTAGCAAGAGTTGGTAGGTTCTTTCCTGTTTCTGTGTTATAAGCACTGACTAGGAGGAGCGTGAGCACTTGTGGGTATAGTGCTTAGACATTTCTAAAGTTTTCTCTTCCTGAAGTTGACAGATCTTGGTGGAGAATCAGACTCTGCAACCTTGGCCTTGATAATATCATGGCAAACTAACTGGACAATTGTCCTAAACTAGAAATGAATCTATCCTCAGGACCACAGTGAGTCTGCCATTAGACTCTCGACTTTTAGACAGTTAAGAAAAGGAAGAATGAAGCAATTGTGAGAGTAGCTTTCTTCCAGGGAACACACATACCCCGAATGAGAAGACCTACCTCTTGCCTAATGTGTGTGCAAGAGCCCACCTGTTTGTGTTTTGATTGTTTCAGGGCTTTTCTTGCTAGAATTAAGAGCTAGCACTGTGTCTAAAACAAGCAACATGGGTATGTGTATTTCTGGCCAAGAAGCTAATAGGATTTAGGATGGTCTATAGCCAGACCCTGTCAGTTTGTGGTACTTTGCAAAAAAAGCACACACAAAAAATAAGTTCCAGATGATAGAAGGGAGCTTTATCTTCATTTCCACCACAGGCTAAGCTCTGCTTTTATGCCTCTAAGTTTTAGTGGGAGAAAATCCAAGCATCTGCTGCTGCATGTGCAAGTCAATGGAGAGTCAGAGCCGAGCACCGTGTGGGTCACAATTTGGATATCTGTGAAGGAAGTGGGGGCTGAACTGAATTTTTTAACTACATATTTTCTCTGGAATATTTCCAATACATATTTTCTATAATATATATACATAGTTTTTTTTATCTCCCTAAGGATTTTCTTAGAAATATCCATGGAAGTATATTTTTATCTGATCTCTATGACAAATGGCTCGGTGTTATTGATCAAGGCAACGAAGAGGAGAAGATAACTGCAGCCCAGAGGTAATGATGCAATAATTACTCTACTCTGGTCACATCTCCAAAATACAGCCAACATACTATCAGGAAAACATTGGCTTACGTTTTGCAGCTTTGCCCACTATAATCATGACCAATGCCAAAGAGTTTCAATTCTTCACACCCATGGGGGCCAGGTTCATAATAGAGGCACACTTTAGGGCTTTTATCATTCTTCTTCTGATCTTATTAATTTGGAATCCTTGGCCGTTTTACATCTTATGGGTACATGAAACTGTTAGAGGAAATCCCCTGGTCCAAGACAGATGCAAGAACATCAGTTGCCAGGGCTATGACCTTAAAGGTCTGTCAAACATTTAACTAACCAGAGAAGTTTTTATCTGGCTCATGAACTGAATTCAGTGCAACAATTTTGCATACATTCATGCCTGGAACTCTGCTACACCGGGTTGTGTGCTAGATATACAAGGATGTATCCTGTTCCCTGTCTCTGTTTTTCCAACCTCCTAAGTGGAATCACTTGCCTAATTTAAATGAGTATTTTTCTAACCTTAGGCTTTTACCCCAGCTGCCAAGAGGAAATGTTGTTCTCTTGCGATACCTTTTTGGAGTGTTATACAACATTGAGCAACCTCCCTCATCCACTCAGATGACAGCTTATAATTTATCAGTGTTTATAACCCTAAGCGTTCTTTACGCACCTGATTCTGGCACCTTAGAATTGGAAGACAACTTGATAAAACAGGTAATGAGAGCTCTCATTTTTGTCCCCCAGGGGGTAGAATCCCTACTTTGAACCGGACATGTGCAGTAGTAACTCTGACGGATGGAACTTTGTGAAGTGCACATTTTCATTACGCCCCTGTGGAGTGGCAGAGTTCTTTATCCTACTCTGGTGGGGTCTGGGAAGGGGTGTCGTTAAACGGGAAACTCGGAGCAGTCGAGTCACTTCTTCCCCCTCCAGGAGACTAAACACTAGACTGACTAAACGAGAGAGAAAAGAGTCGTGTGATACGATAGAAAGGAACGTGGGCTTTGGAGCTTCACTAGTCAAGGTTCAACTCTCAGCCTAATCCCTGAGGGACTCGTAACCTTGGGCAAAGCCATGGTTTCCTCACTACACAATGGCGACAACAGCCAGCTCCTCTGGTCATGACAGGCATATCCTGGGTGGCTTGGGCAATATGAGCCCCCATGGCTCCAAACACATTGGCCTTCCTCTGCCAATAGTGGCTCTCTAGAAAAGTACTTGGCTACTATTTCACCTCTGCTACATCTTATGGAAACTAGCAAAAGATTCCACACCATCCTAAGAAGATGACAGGTCTTCCCCAAGCTCACACAGAGAGAGCCAGCATGAGGCAAACCAATGTGTGAGAAGGGACTGAAGTTAGACAGACAGATACATTTTCTCTCCAGCTGTGTGGGTTTTCCCTCACAACCCCACCAAAATCTCTGCTTCTCAACTTTAAGATTCTTCTTCATTTAAGAAATGGTTTTCTTAAGTTTTTGTTCATACTTTATAAAGTTTCATAAGATGTTATACATCAGTTACAGCTCAATAAAACTGGAAACAAAATTTAAAAACAAAAAACAGGTAAACTTTAATAAGGTAGGCTACTTTGAATATTATCCTAGTTTTATTTATTTTTGGATATGTATTTCTTTGAGAGAGGGAAAGAGAGCGTGAGTGGGGCAGGGGCAGAAGAAGAGGGAGAGGGAGAAGACCAAGCCGATTCCCTGCTGAGCCCAGAGCCGAAAGTTGGCTCCATGTGGGGCTGGATCTCACCACCATGAGATTGTGATCTGCGCCGAAATCAAGAGTCCGACGCTCAACTGAGGGGCCCCGAAATTTATCCTAGGCTTAAAGATGTAACCACTGATCCCAAAATGTTAGCTATGAAACTAGGCCACGCATTATAACTTTAGCCCACGGATGAGCAGTATTTCAAAATGTGTACCCAAAGTACACGGGAAAGCATCAGTCATTCTAAGTTATTTCCTAGAGAACTCTGGTCTCTATGTTTTTGGTTTTTTTTTTTTAAGATTTGATTTATTTACTTGACAGAGAGGGAACACAAGGAGGGAGAGTGGGAGAGGAAGAAGCAGGCTTCCCGCTGAGCAGGGAGCCAGATATAGGGTTGATCCCAGCACCCTGGGATCTTGACCTGAGCCGAAGGGAGATGCGTAACTGACTGAGCCACCCAGGTGCCCCTGGTTTCTACGTATTTTTATCAACTCTGAATTTTTCTGACAAGTCCTTCCCGTTTTTCCTTAGATCCAAGGTCTATATACAAAATGTGTTTAAAACTATGGCCTATGGAAAAGAACACCTCATTTTTGTCTTTTTGTGTTACAGATTTCTCTTGTACAATTTCTCCTTGAAAATTGCCTCAGGATATTTGGAGAAGACATCACTTCCCTCTTGGGAGAGAACTCAATGAGTCGTGGTAACAGTGAGAAGGCTGCAGGTACCGGGAGTAATTTAATTGGCTTTAGTGAGAAGCAGACAGCAAGGCTGCCAAGGGTCATGGGAGATGCATAGACAGTGCTGTTCTGGAGCCCAGCGCATCGCCAGGGCAATGATTTCCATGTGCTCCTTCTTCCAAAGGCTGGCTCAACAGGTCAAGGGAGGTTCCACACTGTTGTGAGACCAAAGAAAGGATAAGATGAGGTCTCTGACTTCAACAAGTTTCTAGTGTAGATCATAAAGGCATTAGGACTCATCATGGTATGCTACAGTGTTTGGGATTTTTTTCTAACAAAATTCTAAAAGGGTGCTATACATATACATACATATATATTTATATATATATGTATATATGTAATAATGAATCAGAAAAGGCTCAGTACAGGATGTATGTATATGTATGTATATATTTGTATATATATGTATATATATATGTAAAACACATCATACATGTGTATGTAGTTATATATAATATATAATTATATACTTATAGTATATAAATATATTATCATAATATATATATTTATGTATATTAGAAGTACTCTGGTTGAAGCCAGAGAAGGGGCCTTTCTTCCCCTCCGTCCTCTTTTGGCTCAGGGGCTCTTGAGGCACCACAGGATTCCAGTGCCCTTTGAAATGGGTTGAAAAGAACTGTCATCATTGAGAAAAAAGGACTTGACTTGATGTCAAACTACCTCTCCAGAGTGTAAATTCCTGTGCCCGCATTTACCAGCTATATTATCTTTGGCCAGTTATACCAGCTCAGCATCAGTTAATTCATCTCTAAATATGGATAAAAATAATGTCTAAATCTTAGAATTGTTGTGTAGAATAAATAAGATGATGGATGTAATCCCAAAAAAGCCATTAATAAGACTAGGAGAAGTGCCCCTGAGACTAGAGCTAGTATGTTTTGAGCCTAGCTAATAACAGCTGTCAGCAGTCCACCTTGGAAGGTAGACTTTCGATTCAGAACCTGGAGACACGTATCATCAATCCCTCCATATTTCTGACATTTCTTGGTTTTATGATGCTTACCACATTGCTTTGAGGAAATCTTTAGGAAAATACAAGTCATCAGGAATTAAGATGAGTCTGGGGCACCTGGGTGGCTCAGTCGTTAAGCAACTGCCTTCAGCTCAGGTCATGATCCCGGGGTCCTGGGATCGAGCCCCGCATCGGGCTCCCTGCTCTGAGGGAAGCCTGCTTCTCCCTCTCCCCGTCCCCCTGCTTCTGTTCCCTCTCTCGCTGTCTCTCTCCCTCTGTCAAAATATAAATAAAATCTGTAAAAAAAAAAAAAAAAAAAGGAAGAAGTTTCAGCGTATTAAAAAACTACTACTACTAGTACTCTCTCTTCTTCCTTAGACTCCGGCAAGAAAACTGTGACAAGCCGTTCTTTCAGAGACAGGGCCTTTTGGTGGGGCTCCAGCACTTGCCAGCAGAACCAGTGCACAACCCCACATTCTGCAAAGCCAGGACAGCTCTTTGGAGTTTCCCTCATGGTTGTGTGTTATAAAGACAACCTGGCCTTCCCAATTCTGGTAGGTCATCTCATTTTGGTCTTCTATAGCTCTTCTGAGGTGGGGAAACTCTGAGAGGCCACGTGTCCTCATCCAAATCTATCCCCAAATGGAGAAGTCATGAAACAGCCCCTGGCTTTGGCTCAGAAGCTCTATTACTGTTATTTCAAGGAACAGAATCTGACTTAGGTCCTGCAGAGTCATGAGGCAAATACAACAGGAAAAGACATTCTTCTCCATTCCACGTGGGTCTTGTTTCCACAAAGACATGCGGAGGCTTGTTCAGATCAGTCAAAATGGACTCTGTGTATGTGAGTCTCTGAGAGTCCACCTCATCTTCACACTCTCCCTTCATTGCCTTCCTGCACTCACATGAGTCTCAAGTCTCCTTCAGCGGAGTCTACTCAGTCTAACAACTGCAAACATCTGACACGAGCATAGACTCATCCTCTGGCAAATAGGAATCTGTTTATGCTAACAGAATATGTCCAATGAAAGCCACAGAGTTTGGCCTGTGTTATCTCAAACTGCTGTAATGAATTGTCAGTGTGGACATTCACTGAGTATTTGGTGTCTCTGCAAGCACTGTAGGTATGTAGGGAACGTTTTGCTAGCTATGAAGAAATGTATCATATTAGCTACTTTGTTACCTGCTAGCTACTACCCCAGTTCCTTGCATCACAGCAAATTTAGGGGCTAGCTAGGATTATCATCCTCCGCACTGCCTAACCGAATCAGAAAAGCCTCAGTACAGGATGTATGTGCCCCAGCTCACACAATAGATAAGTAGCATAATAGATTTCAGATCCGTTGGATTCCCTGAGTCCAGCCCTTATTAAGATTCTACACAGCAGGGAGAGGACACGAAGATAGAGCAAAAGACAATGAAAGACTCATGAGAAGGCAGGGTAATCAGAGAAGGACAAGAGAATTTTTTAGCCTGACTTTAAAAGAGGGAACGAAATAGAACAAGTACGAATGGAGTATACAGTCACTTAAAGAGAAATAAAAAAAGGGAAAAGAGTATGTCCTAAATAGACTTCCATACTTGCGGAAGAGCATCTACGTAAGGGAATAATGAGAAAAGAATGGTAAAGTAGGAAACAGACGGTGATTCCGCAAAGGCCTTGAAGCAGAGAAGTTTGATTTAAAAGTGGAAACTCAATGGAAAGGAAAATCTGATTAAAAGAAGTGTTTAAAATGTTTCAATGTATGACTGTAAAATGGATATATGGGTAGAAAGTATATAGAGAGACACTGGAAAAACAACAATCTAAATTGACTTTAGTCCTTCCCACTCTAAAACAGTGTACCATTACATTCCCCTCCTCTTTCAAAACGGGCAAGCTTGTGCTCTGCGTTTGTGGATATGAGATCCCAAATACTTTTCTTTTCTTCCTACAGGGTATGCTTTCCTTTATTAATCAAAAAGAGCCACTCACAGACGGCGTCTTCAGAAACTCAGCCAATATAAAATCCTGCCATGTCCTAAAGGAGAAACTAAATTCTGGGGTCAAAGTGAACCCGTACAGCGAATCTGTTCATGTGGTTGCATCCGTCTTAAAGGTACGGAAGGTTCTAGCATTATCCACACGTGAGTAACTGAAGCGATGATTGGTGTCCTTCATCATGACTGCTCAAGAACCATAAAAGGCATAATAGATTAAGAACCTGACAAGCTGTAAAATGCTTGACAAAATCAAAATTTAAGGAAGCTACTTTAGGAGTTAAAAGCCCCATGTGTTAGAAATACTTTCTGTTTTCACTACGCACCGCCCTCCCCACCTTCACTCCTGAAGAGTCCATGCAAAATACTAATACTGAAATGACTTCTAGTCATGATAATAAATTTCAAAATACGCACCGATACATACACACAGTTTACCCATGAAAACATCCTCACCACCCTCCTAATGAAGGCAAACTTTCCAAAAGAAATAGAACAGGGAAAGAATTTAATCCATGAACCTTGGCACTTATGAACAGCTCTGAAAAACCCTATGTTAACGTAGTAATGACTACAGTCATAGAATCTCAGTCACATTTGGTCTTCCCTTGTACCCCATTAATGTTCGAAGATGTGATCAATAGCAAGGTCCAGAAATGACTTAGGTAAGTAACCACTCCTACACTGGGGCCATAGTGATATCCAGTAGTAATATACATATAGGCATCAGGAGACAGGAGAAGAATGATGATACACTAGGTAGCAAGATGAGTGTTGCCCTCTGTAAGGTGCACACATGGAATCGATTTTCTAGCAAGAGTTAGGAGGTTCTTTCCTGATTCCGTGTTATAAGCACCGACTAGGAAGAGGGTGAGCACTTGGGGGAGAGTGCTTAGACATTTCTAAAGTTTTCTCTTCCTGAAGTTGACGGATCTTGGTGGAGAATCAGACTCTGCAACCTTGGCCTTGATAATATCATGGCAAACTAACTGGACAATTGGCCTAAACTAGAAATGGATCTATCCTCAGGACCACAGTGAGTCTGCCATTAGACTCTCGACTTTTAGACAGTTAAGAAAAGGAAGAATGAAGCCATTGTGAGAGTAGCTTTCTTCCAGGGAGCACACCTACCCCGAGTGAGAAGACCTAGTTCTTTCCTAATATGTGTGCAAGAGCCCACCTGTTTGTGTTTTGATTGCTTCAGGCCTTTTCTTGCTAGAATGAAGAGCTAGCACTGTGTCTAAAACAAGCAACATGGGTATGTGTATTTCTGTCCAGGAAGCTAATCGAATTTAGGATGGTCTATAGCCAGACCCTGTCAGTTTGTGGTTCTTTGCAAAAAAAAAACCACACACAAAAACTAAGTTCCAGATGATAGAAGGGAGCTTTATCTTCGTTTCCACCACAGCCTACGCTCTGCTTTTATGCCTCTAACTTTTAGCGGGAGAAAATCCAAGCACCTGCTCCTGCGTGTGCAAGTCAATTGAAAGTCAGAGCCGAGCTGTGTGTGGGTCGCAGTTTGGGTATCTGTGAAGGAAGTGGGGGCTGAACTGAATTTTTTAACTACATATTTTCTCTGGAATATTTCCAATACATATTTTCTATAGTATATATATATATATTTTTTTTTTCTTTTATATCCCTAAGGATTTTCGTAGAAATATCCAAGGAAGTATATTTTTATCTGACCTCTATGACAAATGGCTCGGTGTTATTGATCAAGGCAACAAAGAGGAGAATATAACTGCAGCCCAGAGGTAATGATGCAATAATTACTCTACTCTGGTCACATCTCCAAAATAAAGCCAACATACCATTAGGAAAACATTGGCTTACGTTTTGCAGCTTTGCCCACTATAATCATGACCAACGCCAAAGAATTTCAATTCTTCACACCCATGTGGCCCAGCTTAAGAATAGAGGCACGCTTTAGGGCTATTATTGTTCTTCTCCTGATCTTATTGTGGACTCCTTGGCCGTTTGACACCTCTGGATCCATGCAACTTGTAGACGAAATTCCCTGGTTCAAGACACATGCAAGAGCATCAACTGCCAGGGCTATGACCTTAAAAGTCTGACAAACGTTTAACTAACCAGAGAAGTGTTTTTCTGGCTCAGGAACTGAATTCAGTGCAAGAATTTTGTCTACATTCATGCCTCGAACTCTGCTAGAGCGGGTTGTGTGCTAGATATACAAGGATGTATCCTTTTCCCTGTCTGTTTTTCCAACCTCCTAAGTGGAATCACTTGCCTAATTTAAAAGTGTGTTTTTCTGACCATAGGCTTTTAGCCCAGCTGCCAAGAGCAAATGTTGTTCTCTCGCGATACCTTTTTGGAGTGCTATACAACATTGAGCAACATTCCTCATCCAATCAGATGACAGCTTATAATGTAACCGTTTGTACAGCCCCAAGCGTTCTTTACCCACCTGATTCCGGCAGCTTGGAATTGGAAGACAACTTGATAAAAAAGGTGATGAGAGCTCTCATTTTTGTTCCCCAGGGGGTAGAATCCCTACTTTGAACCGGACATGTGCAGTAGTAACTCTGACGGATGGAACTTTGTGAAGTGCACATTTTCATTAGGGCCCTATGGAGTGGCAGAGTTCTTTATCCTACTCTGGCGGAGTCAGGGAAGGGGTGTCGTTAAATGGGAAACTCGGAGCAGTCGAGTCACTTCTTCCCCCTCCAGGAGACTAAACACTAGACTGACTAAACGAGAGAGAGAGGAGTCGTGTGATACGATAGAAAAGAACCTGGGCGTTGGAGCTTCACTAGTCAAGGTTCAACTCTCAGCCTAATCCCTGAGGGACTCGTAACCTTGGGCAAAGCCATGGTTTCCTCACTACACAATGGCGACAACAGCCAGCTCCTCTGGTCATCACTGGCACATCCTGGGTGGCTTGGGCAATATGAGCCCCCATGGCTCCAAACACATTGGCCGTCCTCTGCCAATTGTGGCTCATCTAGAAAAGTACTCGGCTACTATTTCACCTCTGCTACGTCGTATGGAAAGTAGCAAGAGATTCCAGAATATCCTAATAAGATGACAGGTCTTCCCCAAGCTCACCCAGAGAGAGCCAGTATGAGGCAAAGCAATGCGTGGGAAGGGACTGAAGATAGACAGACAGATACGTTTTCTCTCCAGCTGTGTGGGTTTTCCCTCACAACCCCACCAAAATCCCTGCTTCCCAACTTTAAGATACTTCTTCATTTAGAAATGGTTTTCTTAAGTTTTTGTTCATACTTTTAAAGTTTCATAAGATGGTATACATCAGTTACAGCTCAATAAAACTGGACACAAAATTTAAAAGCAAAAAATAAGTAAACTTTAATAAGGTAGGTTACTTTGAAAATTATCTTTGTTTTATTTATTTTTTGATATGTATTTATTTGAGAGAGGGAAAGATAGAGCGTGAGCATTGCAGGGGCAGAAGAAGAGGGAGAGGGAGAGGGAGAAGCCCAAGCCGATTCCCCGCTGAGCACGGAGCCCAAAGTTGGCTCCATGTGGGGCTGGATCTCACCACCATGAGGTCGTGATCTGCGCCGAAATCAAGAGTCAGACGGCCAACTGAGGGGCCCCGAAATTTACCCTAGGCTTAAAGACGTAACCACTGATCCTAAAATGTTAGCTCTTAAACGAGGACACTCAGTATAACTTTAGCCCACGGATGAGCAGTATTTTAAAATGTGTACCCAAAGTACACGGGAAAGTATCACTCTTCCTAAGTTATTTCTGAGAGAACTCTGGTTTCTCTGTGTTTTTTTTTTTTTTTTAAACTTGTATTTATTTACGTGACTGAGAGAGACACAGCGAGAGAGGGAACACAAGCCGTGTGAGTGGGAGAGGGAGAAGCAGGCTTCCCGCTGAGCAGGGAGCGCGATGTAGGGCTGATCCCAGCACCCTGGGATTATGACCTGAGTCGAACGCAGACGCTTAGCCGACTAAGCCACCCAGGCGCCCCTGGTTTCTACATATTTTTATCAACTCTGAATTTTTCTGAGAAGTCCTTCACATTTTTTCTTACAGCCAAGGTCTGTATACAAAATGTGATTTATAACTATGCCCTATGGAAAAGAGCACCCCATTCTTGTCTTTTTGTGTTACAGATTTGTCTTGTACAGTTTCTCATTCAAAATTGCCTCAGGATATTTGGAGAAGTCATCACTTCCCTCTTGGGAGAGAACTCAATGAGTCATGGTAAGAGCGAGAAGGCTGCAGGTACCGGGAGTAATTTAATTGGCTTTAGTGAGAAGCAGACAGCAAGGTTGCCCGGGGTCATGGGAGAGCTGTTCTGGAGCCCAGAGCATTACCAGGGCAAGGATTTCCATGGGCTCCTTCTTCCGAAGGCTGGCTCACAGGTCAAGGGAGGTTCCACACTGTTGTGAGACCAAAGAAAGGATAAAATGCGGTCTCTGACTTCAAGAAGTTTCTAGTGTAGATCATAAGGGCATTAGGACTCATCATGGTATGCTACAGTGTTTGGGAATTTTTTCTAACAAAATTCTAAATGGGTGCTATATATCTATCTATATATAGAACATCACACATATATATGTAGTTATATATATATATATATAATATATAATTAGATACTTATACTATATAAATATAATCATAATATATATATTTATGTGTATTAGATGTGCCTTGGCTGAAGCCAGAGTAAGGGGGCTTTCTTCCCCTCCCTCCTCTTTTGGCTCAGGGGCTCTTGAGGCACCACAGGATTCCAGTGCCCTTTGAAACGGGTTGAAAGAACTGGCATCATTGAGAAAAAAGGACTTGACTTGATGTCAAAAAACCTCTCCAGAGTGTAACGTCCTGTGCCCCCATTTACCAGCTATATTACCTTTGATCAGTTTTTCTAGCTCAGCATCAGTTTATTCATCTCTAAAATGTGGATAAAAATAATGTCTAAATCTTAGAATTGTTGTGTAGAATAAATAAGATGATGGATGGAATCCAAAAAAAGCCATTAATAGGACTAGGAGAAGTGCCCCTGAGACTAGAGCTAGTACGATTTGAGCCTAGCTAATCACAGCTACCTGGCAGCAGTCCACCTTAAAAGGTAGACTTTCGATTCAGAACCTGGAGACACGTATCATCAATCCCTCCATATTTCTGACATTTCTTGGTTTTATGATGCTTACCACATTACTTTGAGGAAATCTTTTGGAAAATACAAGTCATCAGGAATTAAGATGAGTCCGGGGCGCCTGGGTGGCTCAGTCGTTAAGCGTCTGCCTTCAGCTCAGGTCATGATCCCGGGGTCCTGGGATCGAGCCCCGCATCGGTGTCCCTGCTCCGAGGGAAGCCTGCTTCTCCCTCTCCCCCTCCCCCTGCTTGTGTTCCCTCTCTCGCTGTCTCTCTCTCTGTCAAAATATAAATAAAATCTGTAAAAAAAAAAAAAAGGAAAAAGAAGGTTCAGCGTATTAAACAACAACTACTACTACTAATCTCACTTCTTCCTTAGATTACGGGAAGAAGACTGTGAAAAGCCGTTATTTCAGAGCCAGGGCCTTTTGGTGGGGCACCAGAACTTTCCAGCACAACCAGTGCACATCCCCACCTTCCGCAAAGCCAGGACAGCTCTTTGGAGTTTCCCTCATGGATATGTGTTATAAAGACAAGCTGCCCTTTCCAATTCTGGTAGGTCATCTCCTTTTGGTCTTCTATAGCCCTCCTGAGGAGGGGAAACTCTGAGAGGCCACGTGTCCTCATCCAAATCTATCCCCAAATGGAGAAGTCATTAGACAGCCCCTGGCTTTGGCTGAGAAGCTCTGTTACTGTTATTTCAAGGAACAGAATCTGACTTAGGTCCAGCAGAGTCATGAGGCAAATAGAACAGGAAAAGACATTCTTCTCCATTCCACTTGTATCTTGTTTCCACAAAGACCCACCGAGGCCTGTTCAGATCAGTCAAAATGGACTCTGTCTGTGAGTCTCTGAGAGTCCACCTCATCTTCACACTCCCCCTTCATTGCCTTCCTGCACTCACATGAGTCTCAAGTCTCCTTCAGCAGAGTCTACGCAGTCTAACAACTGCAAACATCTGACACGAGCATAGACTCATCCTCTGGCAAATAGGAATCTGTTAATCCTAACAGAGTATGTCAAATGAAAGCCACAGAGTTTGGCCTGTGTTATCTCAAACTGCTGTAGTGAATTGTCAGTGTGGACCTTCACTGAGTATTCAGTGTCTCTGCAAGCATTGTACGCGATGTAGGGAACGTTCTGCTAGGTATGAAGAAATGTATCATCCTAGCTAGGATGTTACCTGCTAGCTACTACCCCAGGTCCTTGCATCACAGCAAATTTAGGGGCTAGCTAGGATTATCATCCTTCGCACTGCCTAAACGAATCAGAAAAGCATCAGTACAGGATGTATGTGCCCCAGGTCACACAATAGATAAATAGCATAATAGACTTCAGATCCGTTGGATTCCCTGAGTCCACCCCTTATTAAGTTTCTACACAGCAGGGAGAGGACATGAAGATACAGCAAAAGACAATGAAAGACTCATGAGAAGGAAGGGTAATCAGAGAAGGAGAAGAGAGTTTCTGAGCCTGACTTTAAAAGAGGGAAGAAAATAGAACAAGTAGGAAAGGAGTATACAGTCACTTAAAGAGAAATAAACAAATGGGAAATGAGTATTTCCTAAATAGACTTCCATACTTGGGAAGGAGCATCTATGTAGGGAATAATGAGAAAGAAATGCTAAAGTAGGAAACAGATGGTGATTCCCCAAAATCCTTGAAGCGGAGAAGTTTGATTTAAAAGTGGAAACTCAATGGAAAGGAAAATCTGAATAAAAGAAGTGTTTAAAATGTTTTAGTGTATGACTGTAAAATGGATATTTGGGTCGAAATTATATAGAAAGACACTGAAAAAAAAAACAATCTAAATTGACTTTGGCCCTTCCCACTCTAAAACAGTGTACCATTACATTCCCGTGCTCTTTCAAAATGGAGGCAAGCTTGTGCTCTGCGTTTGTGGATATGAGATGCCATGTACTTTTCTTTTCTTCCTACAGGATATGCTTTCCTTTATTAATCAAAAAGGGCCACTCACAGAAGGCGTCTTCAGCAAATCAGTCAATATAAAATCCTGCAGAGTCCTAAAGAAAAAACTAAATTCTGGGGTCAAACTGAACGCGTACAGCGAATCTGTTCATGTGGTCGCATCCGTCTTAAAGGTAGGGAAGGTTCTAGCATTATCCACATATGTGTAACTGAAGCTATGAATGGTGTCCTTCATCATGACTGCTCAAGAACCGTGATGGGCATAATAGATTAAGAACCTGACAAGCTGAAAAATGCTTGACAAAATCAAAATTTGAGGAAGCTACTTTAGGAGTTCAAAGCCCCATGTGTTAGAAATACTTTCTGTTTTCACTACACACCGCCCTCCCCACCCTCACTCCTGAAGACTCCATGCAAAATACTAATACTGAAATGACTACTAGTCATGATAATAAATTTCAAAATTCGCACCAATACGTACACACTGTTTACCCATGCAAACATCCTCACCACCCTCCTAATGAAGGCAAACTTTCCAAAAGAAATAGAACAGGGAAAGAATTTAATCCATCCACCTTGGCACTTATGAACAGCTCTGAACAACCCTATGTTAACGTAGTAATGACTACAGTCTTAGAATCTCAGTCACATTTGGTCTTCCCTTGTCCCCCGTTAATGTTCGAAGATGTGATAAATAGCCAAGTCCAGAAATGACTTAGGTAACCACTCCTACACTGGGGCCATAGTGATATCAGTAATAATATACGTAAAGGCATCAAGAGACAGGAGAAGAATGATGATACACTAGGTAGGAAGATGAGTGTTGCCCTCTGTAAGGTGCAAACATGGAATCGATTTTCTAGCAAGAGTTAGGAGGTTCTTTCCTGATTCCGTGTTATAAGCACCGACTAGGAAGAGGGTGAGCACTTGTGGGGAGAGTGCTTAGACATTTCTAAAGTTTTCTCTTCCTGAAGTTGACGGATCTTGGTGGAGAATCAGACTCTGCAACCTTGGCCTTGATAATATCATGGCAAACTAACTGGACAATTGGCCTATACTAGAAATGGATCTATCCTCAGGACCACAGTGAGTCTGCCATTAGACTCTCGACTTTTAGACAGTTAAGAAAAGGAAGAATGAAGCCATTGTGAGAGTAGCTTTCTTCCAGGGAGCACACCTACCCCGAGTGAGAAGACCTAGTTCTTTCCTAATATGTGTGCAAGAGCCCACCTGTTTGTGTTTTGATTGTTTCAGCCCTTTTCTTACTAGAATGAAGAGCTAGCACTGTGTCTAAAACAAGCAACATGGTATGTGTATTTCTGTCCAAGAAGCTAATAGGATTTAGGATGGTCTATAGCCAGACCCTGTCAGTTTGTGGTACTTTGCAAAAAAAGCACACACAAAAAATAAGTTCCAGATGATAGAAGGGAGCTTTATCTTCATTTCCACCACAGCCTAAGCTCTGCTTTTATGCCTCTAAGTTTTAGCGGGAGAAAATCCAAGCACCTGCTCCTGCGTGTGCAAGTCAATGGAGAGTCAGAGCCGAGCTCCGTGTGGGTCGCAGTTTGGGTATCTGTAAAGGAAGTGGGGGCTGAACTGAATTTTTTAACTACATATTTTCTCTGGAATATTTCCAATACATATTTTCTATAATATATACACATATTTTTTTATCTCCCTAAGGACTTTCTTGAAAATATCCCGGGAAGTATATTTTTATCTGATCTCTATGACGAATGGCTCGGTGTTATTGATGAAGGCAACAAAGAGGCGATGATAACTGCAGCCCAGAGGTAACGATGCACTAATTACTCTACTCTGGTCACATCTCCAAAATACACCCAACATACTATCAGGAAAACATTGGCTTACGTTTTGCAGCTTTGCACACTATAATCATGACCAACGCCAAAGAGTTTCAATTCTTCACGCCCATGGGGGCCAGCTTCAGAATAGAGGCACGCTTTAGGGCTATGATTGTTCTTCTCCTGATCTTATTAGTGTGGAGTCCTTGGCCGTTTTACACCTTCTGGATCCTTGAAACTAGTAGACAAAATTCCCTGGTCTAAGACAGATCAAGAGCAACAATTGCCAGGGCTATGACCTTAAAAGTCTGTCAGACATTTAACTAACCAGAGAAGTGTTTATCTGGCTCAGGAACTGAATTCAGTGCACCAATTTTGTCTACATTCATGCCTGGAACTCTGCTACAGCGGGTTGTGTGCTAGATATACAAGGATGTATCCTGTTCCCTGTCTCTGTTTTTCCAACCTCCTAAGTGGAATCACTTGCCTAATTTAAAAGTGTGTTTTCCTGACCTTAGGCTTTTAGCCCAGCTGCCAAGAGCAAATGTTGTTCTCTTGCGATACCTTTTTGGAGTGCTATACAACATCGAGCAACATTCCTCATCCAATCAGATGACAGCTTATAATTTATCTGTTTGTATAGCCCCAAGCGTTCTTTACCCACCTGATTCCGACAGCTTGGAATTGGAAGACAACTTGATAAAAAAGGTAATGAGAGCTCTCATTTTTGTCCCCTGGGGGGTAGAATCCCTACTTTGACCCGGACATGTACAGTAGTAACTCTGACAGATGGAACTTTGTGAAGTGCACATTTTCATTAGGCCCCTGTGGAGTGGCAGAGTTCTTTATCCTACTCTGGTTGGGTCTGGGAAGGGGTGTTGTTAAATGGAAAACTCAGAGCGGTCGAGTCACTTCTTCCCGCTCCAGGAGACGAAACCTAGACTGACTAAATGAGAGAGAGAAGAGTCGTGTGATACGATAGAAAAGAACCTGGGCTTTGGAGCTTCACCAGTCAAGGTTTAACTCTCAGCCTAATCCCTGAGGGACTCATATCTTTGGGCAAAGCCATGGTTTCCTCACTACACAATGGCGACAACAGGCAGCTCCTCTGGTCATCACTGGCACATCCTAGGTGGCTTGGGCAATATGAGCACCCATGCCTCCAAACACATTGGCCTTCCTCTGCCAATTGTGGCTCATCTAGAAAAGTACTCGGCTACTATTTCACTTCTGCTACATCATACGGAAAGTAGCAAGAGATTCCAGAATATCCTAATAAGATAACAGGTCTTCCCCAAGCTCACCCAGAGAGAGCCAGTATGAGGCAAAGCCATGCGTGAGAAGGGACTGAAGTTAGACAGACAGATACGTTTTCTCTCCAGCTCTGTAGGTTTTCCCTCACAACCCCACCAAAATCTCTCCTTCCCAACTTTAAGATGCTTCCTCATTTAAGAAATGGTTTTCTTAAGTTTTTGTTCATACTTTATTAAGTTTCAGAAGATGGTAAACATCAGTTACAACTCAATAAAACTGGAAACAAAATTTAAAAACAAAAAATAAGTAAACTTTAATAAGGTAGGCTACTTTGAATATTATCCTAGTTTTATTTATTTTTTGATACGTATTTATTTGAGAAAGGGAAAGAGAGAGCGTGAGCGGGGCAGGGGCAGAAGAAGAGGGAGAGGGAGAGGGAGAGGGAGAGGGAGAAGCCCAAGCCGATTCCCCGCTGAGCACGGAGCCCAAAGTTGGCTCCATGTGGGGCTGGATCTCACCACGATGACATCGTGATCTGCGCCGAAACCAAGAGTCAGACGCCCAACTGTGGAGCCCCGAAATTTATCCTAGGCTTAAAGACGTAACCGCTGATCCCAAACTGTTAGCTCTTAAACTAGGCCACGCATTATAACTTTAGCCCACGGATGAGCAGTATTTTAAAATGTATACCCAAAGTACACGGGAAAGTATCACTCCTTCTAAGTTACTTCTGAGAGAACTCTGGTTTCTATGTGTTTTTGGGGTTTTTTTGGGTTTTTTTTAAGCTTTTATTTACTTGACTGTGAGGGACACAGCGAGAGAGAAAACACAAGCTGGGGGAGTGGGAGAGGGAGAAGCAGGCTTCCCACTGTGCAGGGAGCCCGATATATGGCTTATCCCAGCACCCTGGAATTACGACCTGAGCCGAGTGCAGATGCTTAACCGACTGAGCCACCCAGGCGCCCCTGGTTTCTACATATTTTTATCAACTCTGAATTTTTCTGAGAAGTCCTTCCCATTTTTTCTTAGATCCAAGGTCTGTATACAAAATATGATTTATAACTATGCCCTATGGAAAAGAGCACCCCATTCCTGTCTTTTTGTGTTACAGATTTGTCTTGTACAATTTCTCATTGAAAATTGCCTCAGGATATTTGGAGAAGACATCACTTCCCTCTTGGGTGAGAACTCAATGAGTCATGGTAACAGCGAGAAGGCCGCAGGTACCGGGCGTAATTTAATTGGCTTTAGTGAGAAACAGACAGCAAGGTTGCCAGGGGTCATGGGAGATGCTTAGACAGAGCTGTTCTGGAGCCCAGAGCATCGCCAGGGCAAGGATTTCCATGTGCTCCTTCTTCCGAAGGCTGGCTCACAGGTCAAGGGAAGTTCCACACTGTTGTGAGACCAAAGAAAGAATAAGATGATGTCTCTGACTTCAAGAAGTTTCTAGTGTAGATCATAAGGGCATTAGGACTCATCATGGTATGGTACAGTGTTTGGGAATTTTTTCTATCAAAATTCCAAATGGGTATAACATCATACATATATATGTAGTTACATATATATAATATATAATTAGATACTTATAGTATATAAATATATAATAATATATATATTTATGTATACAAGATGTGCTCGGGTTGAACGCAGAGCAAGGGGCCTTTCTTCCACTCCCTCCTCTTTTGGCTCAGGGGCTCTTGCGGCACCACAGGATTCCAGTGCCCTTTGAAACGGGTTCAAAAGAACTGGCATCATTGAGAAAAAAGGACTTGACTTGATGTCAAACTACCTCTCCAGAGTGTAAATTCCTCTGCCCTAATTTACCAGCTATATTATCTTTGGCCAGTTATTCCAGCTCAGCATCAGTTTATTCATCTCTAAAATGTGGATAAAAATAATGTCTCAATCTTAGAATTGTGGTAAAGACTAAATAAGATGATGGATGTAATCCCAAAAAAGCCATTAATAGGCCTAGGAGAAGTGCTCCTGAGACCAGAGGTAGTATGATTTGAGCCTAGCTAATCACAGCTACCTGGCAGCAGTCCACCTTAGAAGGTAGACTTTCGATTCAGAACCTGGAGACACGTATCATCAATCCCTCCATATTTCTGACATTTCTTGGTTTTATGATGCTTACCACATTGATTTGAGGAAATCTTTAGAAAAATACAAGTCATCAGGAATTAAGATGAGTCTGGGGCACATGAGTTGCTCAGTCGTTAAGCGTCCAGCTTCAGCTCAGGTCATGATCCCGGGATCCTGGGATCAAGCCCCGCATCGGGCTCCCTGCTCCGAGGGAAGCCTGCTTCTCCCTCTCCCCCTCCCCCTGCTAGTGTTCCCTCTCTCGCTGTCTCTCTCTCTCTGTCAAAATATAAATAAAATCTGTAAAAAAAAAAAAAAGGAAAAAGAAGGTTCAGCGTATTAAACAACAACTACTACTACTAATCTCACTTCTTCCTTAGATTACGGGAAGAAGACTGTGAAAAGCCGTTATTTCAGAGCCAGGGCCTTTTGGTGGGGCACCAGAACTTTCCAGCACAATCAGTGCACATCCCCACCTTCCACAAAGCCAGGACAGCTCTTTGGAGTTTCCCTCATGGATATGTGTTATAAAGACAAGCTGCCCTTTCCAATTCTGGTAGGTCATCTCCTTTTGTTCTTCTATAGCCCTCCTGAGGAGGGGAAACTCTGAGAGGCCACATGTCCTCATCCAAATCTATCCCCAAATGGAGAAGTCATTAGACAGCCCCTGGCTTTGGCTGAGAAGCTCTGTTACTGTTATTTCAAGGAACAGAATCTGACTTAGGTCCAGCAGAGTCATGAGGCAAATACAACAGGAAAAGACATTCTTCTCCATTCCACTTGTATCTTGTTTCCACAAAGACCCACCGAGGCCTGTTCAGATCAGTAAAATGGACTCTGTGTATGTGAGTCTCTGAGAGTCCACCTCATCTTTACACTCTCCCTTCATTGCCTTCCTGCACTCACATGAGTCTCAAGTCTCCTTCAGCGGAGTCTACTCAGTCTAACAACTGCAAACATCTGACACGAGCATAGACTCATCCTCTGGCAAATAGGAATCTGTTAATCCTAACAGAGTATGTCAAATGAAAGCCACAGAGTTTGGCCTGTGTTATCTCAAACTGCTGTAGTGAATTGTCAGTGTGGACCTTCACTGAGTATTCGGTGTCTCTGCAAGCATTGTACGGGATGTAGGGAACATTCTGCTAGCTATGAAGAAATGTATCATCTTAGCTAGGATGTTACCTGCTAGCTACTACCCCAGGTCCTTGCATCACAGCAAATTTAGGGGCTAGCTAGGATTATCATCCTCTGCACTGCCAAACCGAATCAGAAAAACCTCAGTACAGGATGTATGTGCCCCAGTTCACACAATAGATAAAAAGAATAATAGACTTCAGATCCGTTGGATTCCCTGAGTCCACCCCTTATTAAGTTTCTACAAAGCAGGGAGAGGACATGAAGATACAGCAAAAGACAATGAAAGACTCATGAGAAGGAAGGGTAATCAGAGAAGGAGAAGAGAGTTTCTGAGCCTGACTTTAAAAGAGGGAAGAAAATAGAACAAGTAGGAAAGGCGTATACAGTCACTTAAAGAGAAATAAACAAATGGGAAATGAGTATTTCCTAAATAGACTTCCATACTTGGGAAGGAGCATCTATGTAGGGAATAATGAGAAAGAAATGCTAAAGTAGGAAACAGATGGTGATTCCCCAAAATCCTTGAAGCGGAGAAGTTTGATTTAAAAGTGGAAACTCAATGGAAAGGAAAATCTGAATAAAAGAAGTGTTTAAAATGTTTCAGTGTATGACTGTAAAATGGATATTTGGGTCAAAATTATACAGAAAGACACTGAAAAAAAAAAAACAATCTAAATTGACTTTGGTCCTTCCCACTCTAAAACAGTGTACCATTACATTCCCGTACTCTTTCAAAATGGAGGCAAGCTTGTGCTCTGCGTTTGTGGATATGAGATGCCATATACTTTTCTTTTCTTCCTACAGGATATGCTTTCCTTTATTAATCAAAAAGGGCCACTCACAGAAGGCGTCTTCAGCAAATCAGTCAATATAAAATCCTGCAGAGTCCTAAAGAAAAAACTAAATTCTGGGGTCAAACTGAACCCGTATAGCGAATCTGTTCATGTGGTCGCATCCGTCTTAAAGGTAGGGAAGGTTCTAGCATTATCCACATATGTGTAACTGAAGCTATGAATGGTGTCCTTCATCATGACTGCTCAAGAACCGTAATGGGCATAATAGATTAAGAACCTGACAAGCTGAAAAATGCTTGACAAAATCAATATTTAAGGAAGCTCCTTTAGGAGTTAAAAGCCCCATGTGTTAGAAATACTTTCTGTTTTCACTACACACCGCCCTCCCCACCTTCACTCCTGAAGACTCCATGCAAAATACTAATAATGAAATGACTACTAGTCATGACAATAAATTTCAAAATTTGCACCGATACGTACACACTGTTTACCCATGCAAACATCCTCACCACCCTCCTAATGAAGGCAAACTTTCCAAAAGAAATAGAACAGGGAAAGAATTTAATCCATCCACCTTGGCACTTATGAACAGCTCTGAACAACCCTATGTTAACGTAGTAATGACTACAGTCTTAGACTCTCAGTCACATTTGGTCTTCCCTTGTCCCCCGTTAATGTTCGAAGATGTGATGAATAGCAAAGTCCAGAAATGACTTCGGTAACCACTTCTACACTGGGGCCATAGTGATATCCAGTAGTAATATACATATAGGCATCAGGAGACAGGAGAAGAATGATGATACACGAGGTAGCAAGATGAGTGTTGCCCTCTGTAAGGTGCACACATGGAATCAATTTTCTAGCAAGACTTAGGAGGTTCTTTCCTGATTCCGTGTTATAAGGACCGACTAGGAAGAGGGTGAGCACTTGGGGGAGAGTGCTTAGACATTTCTAAAGTTTTCTCTTCCTGAAGTTGACGGATCTTGGTGGAGAATCAGACTCTGCAACCTTGGCCTTGATAATATCATGGCAAAATACCTGGACAATTGGCCTAAACTAGAAATGGATCTATCCTCAGGACCACAGTGAGTCTGCCATTAGACTCTCGACTTTTAGACAGTTAAGAAAAGGAAGAATGAAGCAATTTGAGAGTAGCTTTCTTCCAGGGAGCACACATACCCCGAGTGAGAAGACCTAGTTCTTTCCTAATATGTGTGCAAGAGCACACCTGTTTGTGTTTTGATTCTTTCAGCCCTTTTCTTGCTAGAATGAAGAGCTAGCACTGTGTCTAAAACAAGCAACATGGGTATGTGTATTTCTGTCCAAGAAGCTAATAGGATTTAGGATGGTCTATAGCCAGACCCTGTCAGTTTGTGGTACTTTGCAAAAAAAGCACACACAAAAAATAAGTTCCAGATGATAGAAGGGAGCTTTATCTTCATTTCCACCACAGCGTAAGCTCTGCTTTTATGCCTCTAAGTTTTAGCGGGAGAAAATCCAAGCACCTGCTCCTGCGTGTGCAAGTCAATGGAGAGTCAGAGCCGAGCTCCGTGTGGGTCTCAGTTTGGGTATCTGTAAAGGAAGTGGGGGCTGAACTGATTTTTTTAACTACATATTTTCTCTGGAATATTTCCAATACATATTTTCTATAATATATACACATATTTTTTTATCTCCCTAAGGACTTTCTTGAAAATATCCCGGGAAGTATATTTTTATCTGATCTCTATGACGAATGGCTCGGTGTTATTGATGAAGGCAACAAAGAGGCGATGATAACTGCAGCCCAGAGGTAACGATCCAATAATTACTCTACTCTGGTCACATCTCCAAAATACACCCAACATACTATCAGGAAAACATTGGCTTACGTTTTGCAGCTTTGCACACTATAATCATGACCAACGCCAAAGAGTTTCAATTCTTCACGCCCATGGGGGCCAGCTTCACAATAGAAGCACACTTTAGGGCTATGATTGTTCTTCTCCTGATCTTATTAGTGTGGAGTCCTTGGCCGTTTTACACCTTCTGGATCCTTGAAACTGGTAGACAAAATTCCCTGGTCCAAGACAGATCAAGAGCAACAACTGCCAGGGCTATGACCTTAAAAGTCTGTCAGATATTTAACTAACCAGAGAAGTGTTTATCTGGCTCAGGAACTGAATTCAGTGCACCAATTTTGTCTACATTCATGCCTGGAACTCTGCTACAGCGGGTTGTGTGCTAGATATACAAGGATGTATCCTGTTCCCTGTCTCTGTTTTTCCAACCTCCTAAGTGGAATCACTTGCCTAACTTAAAAGTGTGTTTTTCTGACCTTAGGCTTTTAGCCCAGCTGCCAAGAGCAAATGTTGTTCTCTTGCGATACCTTTTTGGAGTGCTATACAACATTGAGCAACATTCCTCATCCAATCAGATGAAAGCTTATAATTTATCCGTTTGTATAGCCCCAAGTGTTCTTTACCCACCTGATTCCGACAGCTTGGAATTGGAAGACAACTTGATAAAAAAGGTAATGAGAGCTCTCATTTTTGTCCCCGGGGGGTAGAATCCCTACTTTGACCCGGACATGTGCAGTAGTAACTCTGACAGATGGAACTTTGTGAACTGCACGTTTTCATTAGGCCCCTGTGGAGTGGCAGAGTTCTTTATCCTACTCTGGTGGGGTCTGGGAAGGGGTGTTGTTAAACGGAAAACTCAGAGCGGTCGAGTCACTTCTTCCCGCTCCAGGAGACTAAACCTAGACTGACTAAACAAGAGAGAGAAGAGTCATGTGATACGATAGAAAAGAACCTGGGCTTTGGAGCTTCACCAGTCAAGGTTTAACTCTCAGCCTAATCCCTGAGGGACTCATATCTTTGGGCAAAGCCATGGTTTCCTCACTACACAATGGCGACAACAGGCAGCTCCTCTGGTCATCACTGGCACATCCTAGGTGGCTTGGGCAATATGAGCACCCATGTCTCCAAACACATTGGCCGTCCTCTGCCAATTGTGGCTCATCTAGAAAAGTACTCGGCTACTATTTCACTTCTGCTACATCATACGGAAAGTAGCAAGAGATTCCAGAATATCCTAATAAGATGACAGGTCTTCCCCAAGCTCACACAGAGAGAGCCAGTATGAAGCAAAGCCATGCGTGAGAAGGGACTGAAGTTAGACAGACAGATACGTTTTCTCTCCAGCTCTGTGGGTTTTCCCTCACAACCCCACCAAAATCTCTGCTTCCCAACTTTAAGATACTTCCTCATTTAAGAAATGGTTTTCTTAAGTTTTTGTTCATACTTTATTAAGTTTCATAAGATGGTATACATCAGTTACAACTCAATAAAACTGGAAACAAAATTTAAAAACAAAAAATAAGTAAACTTTAATAAGGTAGGCTACTTTGAATATTATCCTAGTTTTATTTATTTTTTGATACGTATTTTTTGAGAATGGGAAAGAGAGAGCGTGAGCGCGGCAGGGGCAGAAGAAGAGGGAGAGGGAGAGGGAGAGGGAGAGGGAGAAGCCCAAGCCGATTCCCCGCTGAGCACGGAGCCCAAAGTTGGCTCCATGTGGGGCTGGATCTCACCACCATGACATCGTGATCTGCGCCGAAACCAAGAGTCAGACGCCCAACTGTGGAGCCCCGAAATTTATCCTAGGCTTAAAGACGTAACCGCTGATCCCAAACTGTTAGCTCTTAAACTACGCCACGCATTATAACTTTAGCCCACGGATGAGCAGTATTTTAAAATGTGTACCCAAAGTACACGGGAAAGTATCACTCTTTCTAAGTTATTTCTGAGAGAATTCTGGTTTCTATGTGTTTTTGGGTTTTTTTGGGTTTTTTTTAAGCTTTTATTTACTTGACCTAGAGAGACACAGCGAGAGAGAAAACACAAGCAGGGGGAGTGGGAGAGGGAGAAGCAGGCTTCCCACTGTGCAGGGAGCCCGATGTATGGCTGATCCCAGCACCCTGGAATTACGACCTGAGCCGAGTGCAGATGCTTAACCGACTGAGCCACCCAGGCGCCCCTGGTTTCTACATATTTTTATCAACTCTGAATTTTTCTGAGAAGTCCTTCCCATTTTTTCTTAGATCCAAGGTCTGTATACAAAATATGATTTATAACTATGCCCTATGGAAAAGAGCACCCCATTCCTGTCTTTTTGTGTTACAGATTTGTCTTGTACAATTTCTCATTGAAAATTGCCTCAGGATATTTGGAGAAGACATCACTTCCCTCTTGGGTGAGAACTCAATGAGTCATGGCAACAGCGAGAAGGCCGCAGGTACCGGGAGCAATTTAATTGGCTTTAGTGAGGAGCAGACAGCAAGGTTGCTAGGGGTCATGGGAGATGCTTAGACAGCGCTGTTCTGGAGCCCAGAGCATCGCCAGGGCAAGGATTTCCATGTGCTCCTTCTTCCGAAGGCTGGCTCACAGGTCAAGGGAGGTTCCACACTGTTGTGAGACCAAAGAAAGAATAAGATGATGTCTCTGACTTCAAGAAGTTTCTAGTGTAGATCATAAGGGCATTAGGACTCATCATGGTATTCTACAGTGTTTGGGAATTTTTTCTAACAAAATTCCAAATGGGTATAACATCATACATATATATGTAGTTATATACATAATATATATAATTAGATACTTATACTATATAAATATATAATCATAATATATATATTTATGTATACAAAATGTGCTCGGGTTGAAGCCAGAGCAAGGGGCCTTTCTTCCACTCCCTCCTCTTTTGGCTCAGGGGCTCTTGCGGCACCACAGGATTCCAGTGCCCTTTGAAACGGGTTCAAAAGAACTGGCATCATTGAGAAAAAAGGACTTGACTTGATGTCAAACTACCTCTCCAGAGTGTAAATTCCTCTGCCCCAATTTACCAGCTATATTATCTTTGGCCAGTTATTCCACCTCAGCATCAGTTTATTCATCTCTAAAATGTGGATAAAAATGATGTCTCAATCTTAGAATTGTGGTAAAGACTAAATAAGATGATGGATGTAATCCAAAAAAAGCCATTAATAGGACTAGGAGAAGTGCTCCTGAGACCAGAGTTAGTATGATTTGAGCCTAGCTAATCACAGCTACCTGGCAGCAGTCCACCTTAGAAGGTAGACTTTCGATTCAGAAGCTGGAGACACGTATCATCAATCCCTCCATATTTCTGACATCTCCTGGCTTTATGATGCTTACCACATTGCTTTGAGGAAATCTTTAGGAAAATACAAGTCATCAGGAATTAAGATGAGTCTGGGGCACATGAGTGGCTCAGTCGTGAAGCGTCCGGCTTCAGCTCAGGTCATGATGCCGGGGTCCTGGGATCAAGCCTCGCATCGGGCTCCCTGCTCCGAGGGAAGCCTGCTTCTCCCTCTCCCCCTCCCCCTGCTAGTGTTCCCTCTCTCGCTGTCTCTCTCTCTCTGTCAAAATATAAATAAAATTTGTAAAAAAAAAAAAAAAAAAAGGAAAAAGAAGGTTCAGCGTATTAAACAACAACTACTACTACTATCCTCACTTCTTCCTTAGATTACGGGCAGAAGACTGTGACACGCCATTATTTCAGAGCCAGGGCCTTTTGGTGGGGCTCCAGAACTTACCAGCACAACCAGTGCACAGCCCCACCTTCCGCAAAGCCAGCACAGCTCTTTGGAGTTTCCCTCATGGATATGTGTGATAAAGACAAGCTGCCCTTTCCAATTCTGGTAGGTCATCTCCTTTTGGTCTTCTATAGCCCTCCTGAGGAGGGGAAACTCTGAGAGGCCACGTGTCCTCATCCAAATCTATCCCCAAATGGAGAAGTCATTAGACAGCCCCTGGCTTTGGCTGAGAAGCTCTGTTACTGTTATTTCAACGAACAGATTCTGACTTAGGTCCAGCAGAGTCATGAGGCAAATACAAAAGGAAAAGACATTCTTGTCCATTCCACTTGTATCTTGTTTCCACAAAGACCCACCGAGCCCTGTTCAGATCAGTCAAAATGGACTCTGTGTATGTGAGTCTCTGAGAGTCCACCTCATCTTTACACTCTCCCTTCATTGCCTTCCTGCACTCACATGAGTCTCAAGTCTCCTTCAGCGGAGCCTACTCAGTCCAACAACTGCAAACATCTGACACGAGCATAGACTCATCCTCTGGTAAATAGGAATCTGTTAATCCTAACAGAGTATGTCAAATGAAAGCCACAGAGTTTGGCCTGTGTTATCTCAAACTGCTGTAGTGAATTGTCAGTGTGGACCTTCACTGAGTATTCTGTGTCTCTGCAAGCATTGTACGGGATGTAGGGAACATTCTGCTAGCTATGAAGAAAAGTAGCATCTTAGCTAGCATGTTACCTGCTAGCTACTACCCCAGGTCCTTGCATCACAGCAAATTTAGGGGCTAGCTAGGATTATCATCCTCCGCACTGCCTAACCGAATCAGAAAAGCCTCAGTACAGGATGTATGTGCCCCAGTTCACACAATAGATAAATAGCATAATAGACTTCAGATCCGTTGGATTCCCTGAGTCCAGCCCTTATTAAGTTTCTACACAGCAGGGAGAGGACATGAAGATACAGCAAAAGACAATGAAAGACTCATGAGAAGGGAGGGTAATCAGAGAAGGAGAAGAGAGTTCCTGAGCCTGACTTTAAAAGAGGGAAGGAAATAGAACAAGTAGGAAAGGAGTATACAGTCACTTAAAGAGAAATAAACAAATGGGAAATGAGTATTTCCTAAATAGACTTCCATTCTTGGGAAGGAGCATCTATGTAGGGAATAATGAGACAGAAATGCTAAAGTAGGAAACAGATGGTGATTCCCCAAAATCCTTGAAGCGGAGAAGTTTGATTTAAAAGTGGAAACTCAATGGAAAGGAAAATCTGAATAAAAGAAGTGTTTAAAATGTTTCAGTGTATGACTGTAAAATGGATATTTGGGTCGAAATTATATAGAAAGACACTGAAAAAAAAAAAAACAATCTAAATTGACTTTGGTCCTTCCCACTCTAAAACAGTGTACCATTACATTCCCGTGCTCTGTCAAAATGGAGGCAAGCTTGTGCTCTGCTTTTGTGGATATGAGATGCCATATACTTTTCTTTTCTTCCTACAGGATATGCTTTCCTTTATTAATCAAAAAGGGCCACTCACAGAAGGCGTCTTCAGCAAATCAGTCAATATAAAATCCTGCAGAGTCCTAAAGAAAAAACTAAATTCTGGGGTCAAACTGAACCCGTACAGCGAATCTGTTCATGTGGTCGCATCCGTCTTAAAGGTAGGGAAGATTCTAGCATTATCCACATATGTGTAACTGAAGCTATGAATGGTGTCCTTCATCATGACTGCTCAAGTACCGTAATGGGCATAATAGATTAAGAACCTGACAAGCTGAAAAATGCTTGACAAAATCAAAATTTAAGGAAGCTCCTTTAGGAGTTAAAAGCCCCATGTGTTAGAAATACTTTCTGTTTTCACTACACACCGCCCTCCCCACCTTCACTCCTGAAGACTCCATGCAAAATACTAATAATGAAATGACTACTAGTCATGACAATAAATTTCAAAATTTGCACCGATACGTACACACTGTTTACCCATGCAAACATCCTCACCACCCTCCTAATGAAGGCAAACTTTCCAAAAGAAATAGAACAGGGAAAGAATTTAATCCATCCACCTTGGCACTTATGAACAGCTCTGAACAACCCTATGTTAACGTAGTAATGACTACAGTCTTAGACTCTCAGTCACATTTGGTCTTCCCTTGTCCCCCGTTAATGTTCGAAGATGTGATGAATAGCAAAGTCCAGAAATGACTTCGGTAACCACTCCTACACTGGGGCCATAGTGATATCCAGTAGTAATATACATATAGGCCTCAGGAGACAGGAGAAGAATGATGATACACGAGGTAGCAAGATGAGTGTTGCCCTCTGTAAGGTGCACACATGGAATCGATTTTCTAGCAAGATTTAGGAGGTTCTTTCCTGATTCCGTGTTATAAGCACCGACTAGGAAGAGGGTGAGCACTTGGGGGAGAGTGCTTAGACATTTCTAAAGTTTTCTCTTCCTGAAGTTGACGGATCTTGGTGGAGAATCAGACTCTGCAACCTTGGCCTTGATAATATCATGGCAAACTAACTGGACAATTGGCCTAAACTAGAAATGGAACTATCCTCAGGACCACAGTGAGTCTGCCATTAGACTCTCGACTTTTAGACAGTTAAGAAAAGGAAGAATGAAGCAATTTGAGAGTAGCTTTCTTCCAGGGAGCACACATACCCCGAGTGAGAAGACCTAGTTCTTTCCTAATATGTGTGCAAGAGCACACCTGTTTGTGTTTTGATTGTTTCAGGCCTTTTCTTGCTAGAATGAAGAGCTACCACTGTGTCTAAAACAAGCAACATGGTATGTGTATTTCTGTCCAAGAAGCTAATAGGATTTACGATGGTCTATATATAGCCAGAGCCTGTCAGTTTGTGGTACTTTGCAAAAAAAGCACACACAAAAAATAAGTTCCAGATGATAGAAGGGAGCTTTATCTTCATTTCCACCACAGCCTACGCTCTGCTTTTATGCCTCTAAGTTTTAGCGGGAGAAAATCCAAGCACCTGCTCCTGCGTGTGCAAGTCAATGGAGAGTCAGAGCCGAGCTCCGTGTGGGTCGCAGTTTGGGTATCTGTGAAGGAAGTGGGGGCTGAACTGAATTTTTTAACTACATATTTTCTCTGGAATATTTCCAATACATATTTTCTATAATATATACACATATTTTTTTATCTCCCTAAGGACTTTCTTGAAAATATCCCGGGAAGTATATTTTTATCTGATCTCTATGATGAATGGCTCGGTGTTATTGATGAAGGCAACAAAGAGGCGATGATAACTGCAGCCCAGAGGTAACGATGCACTAATTACTCTACTCTGGTCACATCTCCAAAATACACCCAACATACTATCAGGAAAACATTGGCTTACGTTTTGCAGCTTTGCACACTATAATCATGACCAACGCCAAAGAGTTTCAATTCTTCACACCCATGGGGGCCAGCTTCAGAATAGAGGCACGCTTTAGGGCTATGATTGTTCTTCTCCTGATCTTATTAGTGTGGAGTCCTTGGCCGTTTTACACCTTCTGGATCCTTGAAACTGGTAGACAAAATTCCCTGGTCCAAGACAGATCAAGAGCAACAGCTGCCAGGGCTATGACCTTAAAAGTCTGTCAGACATTTAACTAACCAGAGAAGTGTTTATCTGGCTCAGGAACTGAATTCAGTGCACCAGTTTTGTCTACATTCATGCCTGGAACTCTGCTACAGCGGGTTGTGTGCTAGATATACAAGGATATATCCTGTTCCCTGTCTCTGTTTTTCCAACCTCCTAAGTGGAATCACTTGCCTAATTTAAAAGTGTGTTTTTCTGACCTTAGGCTTTTAGCCCAGCTGCCAAGAGCAAATGTTGTTCTCTTGCGATACCTTTTTGGAGTGCTATACAACATTGAGCAACATTCCTCATCCAATCAGATGAAAGCTTATAATTTATCCGTTTGTATAGCCCCAAGCGTTCTTTACCCACCTTATTCCGGCAGCTTGGAATTGGAAGACAACTTGATAAAAAAGGTAATGAGAGCTCTCATTTTTGTCCCCCAGGGGGTAGAATCCCTACTTTGACCCGGACATGTGCAGTAGTAACTCTGACAGATGGAACTTTGTGAAGTGCACATTTTCATTAGGCCCCTGTGGAGTGGCAGAGTTCTTTATCCTACTCTGGTGGGGTCTGGGAAGGGGTGTTGTTAAACGGAAAACTGAGCGGTCGAGTCACTTCTTCCCGCTCCAGGAGACTAAACCTATACTGACTAAATGAGAGAGAGAAGAGTCGTGTGATATGCTACAAAAGAACCTGGGCTTTGGAGCTTCACCAGTCAAGGTTTAACTCTCAGCCTAAACCCTGAGGGACTCATATCTTTGGGCAAAGCCATGATTTCCTCACTACACAATGGCGACAACAGGCAGCTCCTCTGGTCATCACTGGCACATCTTAGGTGGCTTGGGCAGTATGAGCACCCATGCCTCCAAACACATTGGCCTTCCTCTGCCAATTGTGGCTCATCTGGAAAAGTACTCGGCTACTATTACACTTCTGCTACAGCATACGGAAACTAGCAAGAGATTCCAGAATATCCTAATAAGATGACAGGTCTTCCCCAAGCTCACACAGAGAGAGCCAGTATGAGGCAAAGCCATGCGTGACAAGGGACTGAAGTTAGACAGACAGATACGTTTTCTCTCCAGCTCTGTGGGTTTTCCCTCACAACCCCACCAAAATCTCTGCTTCCCAACTTTAAGATACTTCCTCATTTAAGAAATGGTTTTCTTAGGTTTTGTTCATACTTTATTAAGTTTCATAAGATGGTATACATCAGTTACAACTCAATAAAACTGGAAATAAAATTTAAAAACAAAAATAAGTAAACTTTAATAAGGTAGGCTACTTTGAATATTATCCTCGTCTTATTTATTTTTTGATATGTATTTATTTGAGAAAGGGAAAGAGAGAGCGTGAGCGGGGCAGGGGCAGAAGAAGAGGGAGAGGGAGAGGGAGAAGCCCAAGGCGATTCCCCGCTGAACACGGAGCCCAATGTTAGCTCCATGTGGGGTTGGATCTCACTACCATGACATCGTGATCTGCGCCGAAACCAGGAGTCAGACGCCCAACTGTGGAGCCCCGAAATTTATCCTAGGCTTAAAGACGTAACCACTGATCCCAAAATGTTAGCTCTTAAACTACGCCATGCATTATAACTTTAGCCCACGGATGAGCAGTATTTTAAAATGTGTACCCAAAGTACACGGGAAAGTATCACTCTAAGTTATTTCTGAGAGAACTCTGGTTTCTATGTGTTTCTGTTTTTTTTTTTTTTTAAGCTTTTATTTATTTACTTGACTGAGAGAGACACAGCGAGAGAGGGACCACAAGCAGGGGGAGTGGGAGAGGGAGAAGCAGGCTTCCCGCTGAGCTGGGAGCCCGATGTAGGGCTGATCCCAGCACCCTGGGATTATGACCTGAGCCGAACGCAGACGCTTAACCGACTGACCCTCCCAGGCGCCCCTGGTTTCTACATATTTTTATCAACTCTGAATTTTTCTGAGAAGTCCTTCACATTTTTTCTTAGATCCATGGTTTGTATACAAAATCTGATTTATAACTATACCCTATGGAAAAGAGCACCCCATTCCTGTCTTTTTGTGTTACAGATTTGTCTTGTACAATTTCTCATTGAAAATTGCCTCAGGATATTTGGAGAAGACATCACTTCCCTCTTGGGCGAGAACTCAATGAGTCTTGGTAACAGCGAGAAGGCTGCAGGTACCGGGAGTAATTTAATTGGCTTTAGTGAGAAACAGACAGCAAGGTTGCCAGGGGTCATGGGAGATGCTTAGACAGAGCTGTTCTGGAGCCCAGAGCATCGCCAGGGCAAGGATTTCCATGGGCTCCTTCTCCCGAAGGCTGGCTCACAGGTCAAGGGAGGTTCCACACTGTTGTGAGACCAAAGAAAGGATAAGATGCGGTCTCTGACTTCAAGAAGTTTCTAGTGTAGATTATAAGGGCATTAGGACTCATCATGGTATGCTACAGTGTTTGGGAATTTTTTCTGACAAAATTCTAAATCGGTGCTCTCTCTCTCTCTATATATATATATAACATCATGCATATGTATGTAGTTATATATATATAATATATAATTAGATACTTACACTATATAAATATATAATCATAATATATATATTTATGTATATAAGATGGGCTCTGGTTGAAGCCAGAGCAAGGGGCCTTTCTTCCCCTCCCTCCTCTTTTGGCTCAGGGGCTCTTGAGGCACCACAGGATTCCAGTGCCCTTTGAAACGGGTTGAAAAGAACTGTCATCATTGAGAAAAAAGGACTTGACTTGATGTCAAACAACCTCTCCAGAGTGTAAATTCCTGTGCCCCCAATTTACCAGCTATATTATCTTTGGCCAGTTATTCCAGCTCAGCATCAGTTTATTCATCTCTAAAATGTGGATAAAAATAATGTCTAAATCTTAGAATTGTGGTAAAGACTAAATAAGATGATGGATGGAATCCAAAAAAAAAGCCTTTAATGGGACTAGGAGAAGTGCCCCTGAGACTAGAGCTAGTATGATTTGAGCCTAGCTAATCACAGCAACCTGGCAGCAGTCCACCTTGGAAGGTAGACTTTCGATTCAGAACCTGGAGACACGTATCATCAATCCCTCCATATTTCTGACATTTCTTGGTTTTATGATGCTTACCACATTGCTTTGAGGAAATCTTTAGAAAATACAAGTCATCAGGAATTAAGATGAGTCTGTGGCGCCTGGGTGGCTCAGTCATTAAGCGTCTGCCTTCAGCTCAGGTCATGATCCTGGGGTCCTGGGATCGAGCCCCGTATCGGGCTCCCTGCTCCAAGGGAAACCTGCTTCTCCCTCTCCCCCTCCCCCTGCTTGTGTTCCCTCTCTCGCTGTCTCTCTCCCTCTGTCAAAATATAAATAAAATTTGTAAAAAAAAAAAAAAAAAAAAAGGGAAAAGAAGGTTCAGCGTATTAAACAACAACTACTACTACTAATCTCACTTCTTCCTTAGATTACAGGCAGAAGACTGTGATACGCCGTTCTTTCAGAGCCAGGGCCTTTTGTCGGGGTTGCCGCACTTGCCAGCAGAACCAGTGCACAGCCCCACCTTCCGCAAAGCCAGGACAGCTCTTTGGAGTTTCCCTCATGGATATGTGTTATAAAGACAAGCTGCCCTTCCCAATTCTCGTAGGTCATCTCCTTTTGGTCTTCTATAGCCCTCCTGAGGAGGGGAAACTCTGAGAGGCCACGTGTCCTCATCCAAATCTATCCCCAAATGGAGAAATCACTAGACAGCCCCTGGCTTTGGCTGAGAAGCTCTGTTAGTGTTATTTCAAGGAACAGAATCTGACTTATGTCCAGCAGAGTCATGAGGCAAATACAACAGGAAAAGTCATTCTGCATTCCACTTGTATCTTGTTTCCACAAAGACCCACCGAGGCCTGTTCAGAACAGTCAAAATGGACTCTGTGTATGTGAGTCTCTCAAGGTCAACCTCATCTTCACACTGTCCCTTCATTGCCTTCCTGCACTCACATGAGTCTCAAGTCTCCTTCAGCGGAGTCTACTCTGTCTAACAACTGCAAACATCTGACACGAGCATAGAGTCATCCTCTGGCAAATAGGAATCTGTTAATCCTAACAGAATATGTCAAACGAAAGCCACAGAGTTTGGCCTATGTTATCTGAAACTGCTGTAGTGAATTGTCAGTGTGGACATTCACTGAGTATTCGGTGTCTCTGCAAGCACTGCATGGGATGTGGGGAACGTTCTGCTAGCTATGAAGAAATGAATCATATTAGCTAGCATGTTACCTGCTAGCTACTACCCCAGGTCCTTGCATCACAGCAAATTTAGGGGCTAGCTAATTTTATCATCCTCCGCACTGCCTAACCGAATCAGAAAAGCCTCAGTACAGGATGTATGTGCCCCAGCTCCCACAATAGATAAGTAGCATAATAGACTTCAGATCCATTTTATTCTCTGAGTCCAGCCCTTATTAAGATTCTACACAGCAGAGAGAGGACATGAAGATAGAGCAAAAGGCAATGAAAGACTCATGAGAAGGAAGGGTAATCAGAGAAGGAGAAGAGAGTTTCTGAGCCTGACTTTAAAAGAGGGAAGGAAATAGAACAAGTAGGAATGGAGTATACAGTCACTTAAAGAGAAATAAACAAATGGGAAATGAGTATTTCCTAAATAGACTTCCATACTTGGGATAGAGCATCTATGTAGGGAATAATGAGAAAGAAATTCTAAAGTAGGAAACAGATGGTGATTCCCCAAAGGCCTTAAAGCAGAGAAGTTTGATTTAAAAGTGTAAACACAATGGAAAGGAAAATCTGAATAAAAGAAGTGTTTAAAATGTTTCAGTGTATAACTGTAAAATGGATATATGGGTCGAAAGTATATAGAAAGACACTGAAAAAAAAAAAAAACAATCTAAATTGACTTTGGTCCTTCCCACTCTAAACAGTGTACCATTACATTCCCGTGCTCTTTCAAAATGGAGGCAAGCTTGTGCTCTGCCTTTGTGGATACGAGATGCCATATACTTGTCTTTTCTTCCTACAGGATATGCTTTCCTTTATTAATCAAAAAGGGCCTCTCACAGAAGGCATATTCAGCAAATCAGGCAATATAAAATCCTGCATGGTCCTAAAGGAGAAACTAAATTCAGGGGTCAAGGTGAACCCATACAGCGAATCTGTTCATGTGGTCACATGCGTCTTAAAGGTAGGGAAGGTTCTAGCATTATCCACACACGAGTAACTGAGGCTATGAGTGGTGTCCTTCGTCATGACTGTTCAAGAACCATAATGGGCATAATAGATAAAGAACCTGACAAGCTGAAAAACGCTTGACAAAATCAAAATTTACGGAACTTACTTTAGGAGTTAAAAGCCCCATATGTTAGAAATACTTTCTGTTTTCACTACACACCACCCTCCCCACCTTGACTCCTGAAGACTCCATGCAAAATACTAATACTGAAATGACTACTAGTCATGTTAATAAATTTCAAAATTCGCACTGATACATACACACTCTTTACCCATGCAAACATCCTCACCACCCTCCTAATGAAGGCAAACTTTCCAAAAGAAATAGAACAGGGAAAAAATTTAATCCATCCACCTTGGCACTTATGAACAGCTCTGAACAACCCTATGTTAACGTAGTAATGACTACAGTCGTAGAATCTCAGTCACATTTGGTCTTCCCTTTTCCCCCGTTAATGTTTGAAGATGTGATAAATAGCAAAGTCCAGAAATGACTTCGGTAACCACTCCTACACTGGGGCCATAGTGATATCCAGTAGTAATATACATAGAGGCCTCAGGAGACAGGAGAAGAATGATGATACACGAGGTAGCAAGATGAGTGTTGCCCTCTGTAAGGTGCACACATGGAATCGATTTTCTAGCAAGAGTTAGGAGGTTCTTTCCTGATTCCGTGTTATAAGCACCGACTAGGAAGAGGGTGAGCACTTGTGGGGAGAGTGCTTAGACATTTCTAAAGTTTTCTCTTCCTGAAGTTGACGGATCTTGGTGGAGAATCAGACTCTGCAACCTTGGCCTTGATAATATCATGGCAAACTAACTGGACAATTGGCCTAAACTAGAAATGGATCTATCCTCAGGACCACAGTGAGTCTGCCATTAGACTCTCTACTTTTAGACAGTTAAGAAAAGGAAGAATGAAGCAATTGTGAGAGTAGCTTTCTTCCAGGGAGCATACATACCCCGAGTGAGAAGACTTAGTTCTCTCCTAATATGTGTGCAAGAGCCCACCTGTTTGTGTTTTGATTGTTTCAGGCCTTTTCTTGCTAGAATGAAGAGCTAGCACTGTGTCTAAAACAAGCAACATGGGTATGTGTATTTCTGTCCAAGAAGCTAATAGGATTTCGGATGGTCTATAGCCAGACCCTGTCAGTTTGTGGTACTTTGCAAATAAGCACACACAAAAAATAAGCTCCAGATGATAGAAGGGAGCTTTATCTTCATTTCCACCACAGCCTAAGCTCTGCTTTTATGCCTCTAAGTTTTAGCGGGAGAAAATCCAAGCACCTGCCCCTGCGTGTGCAAGTCAATGGAGAGTCAGAGCCAAGCTCCGTGTGGGTCGCAGTTTGGGTATCTGTGAAGGAAGTGGGGGCTGAACTGAATTTTTTAACTACATATTTTCTTTGGAAAATTTCCAATACATATTTTCTATAATATATACACATATTTTTTTATCTCCCTAAGGACTTTCTTGAAAATATCCCGGGAAGTATATTTTTATCTGATCTCTATGACAAATGGCTTGGTGTTACTGATCAAGGCAACAAAGAGGCGATGATAACTGCAGCCCGGAGGTAACGATGCACTAATTACTCTACTCTGGTCACATCTCCAAAATACACCCAACATACTATCAGGAAAACATTGGCTTACGTTTTGCAGCTTTGCACACTATAATCATGACCAACGCCAAAGAGTTTCAATTCTTCACGCCCATGGGGGCCAGCTTCAGAATAGAGGCACACTTTAGGGCTATGATTGTTCTTCTCCTGATCTTATTAGTGTGGAGTCCTTGGCCGTTGTACACCTTGTGGATCCTTGAAACTGGTAGACAAAATTCCCTGGTCCAAGCAGATCAAGAGCAACAACTGCCAGGGCTATGACCTTAAAAGTCTGTCAGACATTTAACTAACCAGAGAAGTGTTTATCTGGCTCAGGAACTGAATTCAGTGCACCAGTTTTGTCTACATTCATGCCTGGAACTCTGCTACAGCGGGTTGTGTGCTAGATATACAAGGATGTATCCTTTTCCCTGTCTCAGTTTTTCCAACCTCCTAAGTGGAATCACTTGCCTAATTTAAAAGTGTGTTTTTCTGACCTTAGGCTTTTAGCCCAGCTGCCAAGAGCAAATGTTGTTCTCTTGCGATACCTTTTTGGAGTGCTATACAACATTGAGCAACATTCCTCATCCAATCAGATGACAGCTTATAATTTATCCGTTTGTATAGCCCCAAGCATTCTTTACCCACCTGATTCCAACAGCTTGGAATTGGAAGACAGCTTGATAAAAAAGGTAATGAGAGCTCTCATTTTTGTCCCCCAGGGGTAGAATCCCTACTTTGAACTGGACATGTGCAGTAGTAACTCTGATGGATGGAACTTGGTGAAGTGCACATTTTCATTAGGCCCCTGTGGAGTGTCAGAGTTCTTTATCCTGCTCTGGTGGGGTCTGGGAGGGGGTGTTATAAAACGGGAAACTCAGAGTGGTCGAGTCACTTCTTCCCGCTCCAGGAGACTAAACCTAGACTGACTAAACGAGAGAGAGAAGAGTCATGTGATACGATAGAAAAGAACCTGGGCTTTGGAGCTTCACCAGTCAAGGTTTAACTCTCAGCCTAATCCCTGAGGGACTCATATCTTTGGGCAAAGCCATGGTTTCCTCACTACACAATGGCGACAACAGCCAGCTGCTCCGGTCATCACTGGCACATCCTAGGTGGATTGGGCAATATGAGCACCCATGTCTCCAAACACATTGGCCTTCCTCTGCCAATTGTGGCTCATCTTAGAAAAGTACTCGGCTACTATTTCACCTGTGTGACGTCATACGGAAACTAGGAAGAGATTCCAGAATATCCTTTTTTTTTTTTTTAAGGTTTTTTTTTTTATTTATTTGTAAGAGAGAGAACACATGCAGAGGGAGAAGCAGGCCCCTTTCTGAGCAAGGAGCCCAATACGGGACTCGATCCAGGGACTCCAGGATCATGGCCTGAGCTGAAGGCAGTCGCTTAACCAACTGAGCCACCCAGGCGCCCAGATTCCAGAATATCCTAATAAGATGACAGGTCTTCCCCAAGCTCACCCAGAGAGAGCCAGTATGAGGCAAAGCAATGCATGAGAAGGGACTGAAGTTAGTCAGACAGATACGTTTTCTCTCCAGCTGTGTGGGTTTTCCCTCACAACTGCACCAAAATCTCTGCTTCGAACTTTAAGAGACTTCCTCATTTAAGAAATGGTTTTCTTAAGTTTTTGTTCATACTTTATTAAGTTCCATAAGATGGTATACATCAGTTACAGCTCAATAAAACTGGAAACAAAATTTAAAAACAAAAAATAAGTAAACTTTAATAAGGTAGGCTACTTTGAAAATTATCCTATTTTTATTTATTTTTTGATACGTATTTATTTGAGAAAGGGAAAGAGAGAGCGTGAGCGGGGCAGGGGTAGAAGAAGAGGGAGAGGGAGAGGGAGAAGCCCAAGCCGATTCCCCGCTGAGCACGGAGCCCAAAGTTGGCTCCATGTGGGGCTGGATCTCACCACCATGACATCGTGATCTGCGCCAAAATCAAGAGTCAGACTCCCAACTGAGGGGCCCCGAAATTTATCCTAGGCTTAAAGACGTAACCATTGATCCCAAAATGTTAGCTCTTGAACTAGGCCACGCATTATAACTTTAGCCCACAGATGAGCAGTATTTTAAAATGTGTACCCAAAGTACACGGGAAAGTATCACTCTTTCTAAGTTATTTCTGAGAGAACTCTGGTTTCTATGTGTTTTGGGGGGTTTTTTTTGTTTTTTTTTTTTTAATTTTTATTTATTTACTTGACAGAGAGAGACACAGCGAGAGAGGGAACACAAGCAGGCGGAGTGGGAGAGGGAGAAGCAGGCTTCCCGCTGAGCAGGGAGCGCGATGTAGGGCTGATCCCAGCACCCTGGGATTATGACCTGAGCCGAACGCAGACGCTTAACCGACTGAGCCACCCAGGCGCCCCTGGTTTCTACATACTTTTATCAACTCTGAATTTTTCTGAGAAGTCCTTCACATTTTTTCTTAGATCCAAGGTCTATATACAAAATGTGATTTATAACTATACCCTATGGAAAAGAGCACCCCATTCTTGTCTTTTTGTGTTACAGATTTGTCTTGTACACTTTCTCATTGAAAATTGCCTCAGGATATTTGGAAAAGACATCACTTCCCTCTTGGGCGAGAACTCAATGAGTCGTGGTAAAAGCGAGAAGGCTGCAGGTACCGGGAGTAATTTAATTGACTTTAGTGAGAAGCAGACAGCAAGGTTGCCAGGGGTCATGGGAGATGTTTAGACAGAGCTGTTCTGGAGGCCAGCGCATCGCCAGGGCAAGGATTTCCATGGGCTCCTTCTTCCGAAGGCTGGCTCACAGGTCAAGGGAGGTTCCACACTGTTGTGACACCAAAGAAAGGATAAGATGAGGTCTCTGACTTTAAGAAGTTTCTAGTGTAGATCATAAGGGCATTAGGACTCATCATGGTATGCTACAGTGTTTGGGAATTTTTTCTAACAAAATTCTAAATGGGTGCTCTCTCTCTCTATATATATGTATATATATATAACATCATACATATATATGTATTTATATATATATAATATATAATTAGATACTTATACTATATAAATATATAATCATAATATATATATTTATATATATAAGATGTGCTCGGTTTGAAGCCAGAGCAAGTGGCCTTTCTTCCCCTCCCTCCTCTTTTGGCTCAGGGGCTCTTGAGGCACCACAGGATTCTAGTGCCCTTTGAAACGGGTTGAAAAGAACTGGCATCATTGAGAGAAAAGGACTTGACTTGATGTCAAACTACCTCTACAGAGTGTAAATTCCTGTGCCCCCATTTACCGGCTATATTACCTTGGCCAGTTATTCCAGCTCAGCATCAGTTTATTCATCTCTAAAATGTGGATAAAAGTAATGTCTAAATCTTAGAATTGTGGTAAAGACTAAATAAGATGATGGATGGAATCCAAAAAAAAGCCATTAATAGGACTAGGAGAAGTGCCCTTGAGACTAGAGCTAGTACGATTTGAGCCTAGCTAATCACAGCTACCTGGCAGCAGTCCACCTTAGAAGGTAGACTTTCGATTCAGAACCTGGAGACACGTATCATCAATCCCTCCATATTTCTGACATTTCTTGGTTTTATGATGCTTACCACATTGCTTTGAGGAAATCCTTAGGAAAATACAAGTTATCAGGAATTAAGATGAGCCTGGGGCACATGGGTAGCTCAGTCATTAAGCGTCTGCCTTCAGCTCAGGTCATGATCCCGGGGTCCTGGGATCGAACCCCGCATCGAGCTCTCTGCTCCGAGGGAAGCCTACTTCTCCCTCTCCCCCTCCCCCTGCTTGTGTTCCCTCTCTCGCTGTCTCTCTCCCTCTGTCAAAATATAAATAAAATCTGAAAAAAAAAAGGAAAAAGAAGTTTCAGCATATTAAACAACTACTACTACTACTAGTACTCTCTCTTCTTCCTTAGACTCCGATTGCAAGACTGTGACAAGCCGTTCTTTCAGAGACAGGGCCTTTTGGTGGGGCTTCAGCACTTGCCAGCACAACCGGTGCACAGCCCCACCTTCCGCAAAGCCAGGACAGCTCTTTGGAGTTTCCCTCATGGATGTGTGTGATAAAGACCACCTGCCCTTCCCAATTCTGGTAGGTCATCTCCTTTTGGTCTTCTGTAGCCCTCCTGAGAGGGGAAACTCTGAAAGGCCAAGCGTCCTCATCCAAATCTATCCCCAAATGGAGAAGTCATTACATAGTCCCTGGCTTTGGCAGAGAAGCTCTGTTACTGTTATTTCAACGAACAGAATCTGACTTAGGTCCAGCAGAGTCATGAGGCAAATACAACAGGAAAAGACATTCTTGTCCATTCCACTTGTGTCTTGTTTCCACAAAGACCCACCGAGGCCTGTTCAGATCAGTCAAAATGGACTCTGTGTCTGTGAGTCTCTGAGAGTCCACCTCATCTGCACACTCTCCCTTCATTGCGTTGCTGAACTCACATGAGTCTCAAGTCTCCTTCAGCGGAGTCTACTCAGTCTAACAATTGTAAACATCTGACACGAGCATAGACTCATCCTCTGGCAAATAGGAATCTGTTAATCCTAACAGAGTATGTCAAATGAAAGCCACAGAGTTTGGCCTGTGTTATCTCAAACCGCTGTAGTGAATTGTCAGTGTGGACATTCACTGAGTATTCGGTATCTCTGCAAGCACTGTACGGTATGTAGGGAACGTTCTGCTAGCTATGAAGAAATGTATCATATTAGGTACTTTGTTACCTGCTAGCTAGTACCCCAGTTCCTTGCATCACAGCAAATTTAGGGGCTAGCTAGGATTATCATCCTCCGCACTGCCAAACCGAATCAGAAAAGCCTCAGTACAGGATGTATGTGCCCCAGCTCACACAATAGATAAGTGGCATAATAGACTTCAGATCCATTGGATTCCCTGAGTCCAGCCCTTATTAAGACTCTACACAGCAGAGAGAGGACATGAAGATAGAGCAAAAGACAATGAAAGAGTCATGAGAAGGGAGGGTAATCAGAGAAAGAGAAGAGAGTTTCTGAGCCTGACTTTAAAAGAGGGATGGAAATAGAACAAGTAGGAATGGAGTATACAGTCACTTAAAGAGAAATAAACAAATGGGAAATGAGTATTCCCTAAATAGCCTTCCAGACTTGGGGAAGAGCATCTATGTAAGGGAATAATGAGAAAAGAATGGTAAAGTAGGAAACAGACGGTGATTCCGCAAAGGCCTTGAAGCGGAGAAGTTTGATTTAAAAGTGGAAACTCAATGGAAAGGAAAATCTGATTAAAAGAAGTATTTAAAATGTTTCAGTGTATGACTGTAAAATGGATATTTGGGTAGAAAGTATATAGAGACACTGAAAAAAAAAAACAATCTAAATTGACTTTAGTCCTTCCCACTCTAAAACAGTGTACCATTACATTCCCCTCCGCTTTCAAAACGGAGGCAAGCTTGTGCTCTGCGTTTGTGTATATGAGATGCCATATACGTTTCTTTTCTTCCTACAGGTTATGCTTTCCTTTATTAATCAAAAAGGGCCCCTCACAGAAGGCATATTCAGAAACTCAGCCAATATAAAATCCTGCCATGTCCTAAAGGAGAAACTAAATTCTGGGGTCAAAGTGAACCCGTACAGCGAATCTGTTCATGTGGTCGCATCCGTCTTAAAGGTAGGGAAGGTTCTACCATCATCCACACACAAGTAACTGAACCTATGATTGGTGTCCTTCATCATGACTGCTCAAGAACCATAACGGGCATAATAGTTTAAGAACCTGACAAGCTGAAAAACGCTTGACAAAATAAAAATTTAAGGAAGCTACTAGAGGAGTTAAAAGCCCCATGTGTTAGAAATACTTTCTGTTTTCACTACACACCGCCCTCCCCACCTTGACTCCTGAAGACTCCATGCAAAATACTAATACTGAAATGACTACCAGTCATGATAATAAATTTCAAAATACACACCAATACATACAGACTGTTTACTCATGCAAACATCCTCACCACCCTCCTAATGAAGGCAAACTTTCCAAAAGAAATAGAACAGGGAAATAATTTAATCCATCCACCTTGGCACTTATGAACAGCTCTGAACAAACCTATGTTAACGTAGTAATGACTACAGTCTTAGAATCTCAGTCACATTTGGTCTTCCCTTGTCCCCCGTTAATGTTCGAAGATGTGATAAATAGCAAGGTCCAGAAATGACTTAGGTAACCACTCCTACGTGGGGCCATAGTGATATCCCGTAGTAATACACATATAGGCATCAGGAGACAGGAGAGAAGAATGATGATACACGAGGTAGCAAGATGAGTGTTGCCCTCTGTAAGGTGCACACATGGAATCGATTTTCTAGCAAGAGTTAGGAGGTTCTTTCCTGATTCCGTGTTATAAGCACTGACTAGGAAGAGGGTGAGCACTTGTGGGGAGAGTGCTTAGACATTTCTAAAGTTTTCTCTTCCTGAAGTTGACGGATCTTGGTGGAGAATCAGACTCTGCAACCTTGGCCTTGATAATATCATGGCAAACTAACTGGACATTTGTCCTAAACTAGAAATGAATCTATCCTCAGGACCACAGTGAGTCTGCCATTAGACTCTCAACTTTTAGACAGTTAAGAAAAGGAAGAATGAAGCAATTGTGAGAGTAGCTTTCTTTTAGGGAGCACACATACCCCGAGTGAGAAGACCTAGTTCTTTCCTAATATGTTTGCAAGAGCCCACCTGTTCGTGTTTTGATTCTTTCAGGCCTTTTCTTGCTAGAATGAAGAGCTAGCACTGTGTCTAAAACAAGCAACATGGGTATGTGTATTTCTGTCCAAGAAGCTAATAGGATTTAGGATGGTCTATAGCCAGACCCTGTCAGTTTGTGGTACTTTGCAAAAAAAGCACACACAAAAAATAAGTTCCAGATGATAGAAGGGAGCTTTATCTTCATTTCCACCACAGCCTAAGCTCTGCTTTTATGCCTCTAAGTTTTAGCGGGAGAAAATCCAAGCACCTGCTCCTGCGTGTGCAAGTCAATGGAGAATCAGAGCCGAGCTCCGTGTGGGTCGCAGTTTGGGTATCTTTGAAGGAAGTGGGGGCTGAACTGAATTTTTTAACTACATATTTTCTCTGGAATATTTCCACTACATATTTTCTATTATATATATATATTTTTTTTTATCTCCCTAAGGATTTTCTTAGAAATATCAAAGGAAGCATATTTTTATCTGATCTCTATGACAAATGGCTCGGTGTTATTGATCAAGGCAACAAAGAGGAGAAGATAACTGCAGCCCAGAGGTAATGATGCACTAATTACACTACTCTGATCACATCTCCAAAATACAGCCAACATACTATCAGGAAAACATTGGCTTACGTTTTGCAGCTTTGCACACTATAATCATGACCAACGCCAAAGAGTTTCAATTCTTCACGCCCATGGGGCCCAGCTTCAGAATAGAGGCATGCTTTAGGGCTATTATTGTTCTTCTCCTGATCTTATTAATGTGGACTCCTTGGCCGTTTGACCCCTTCTGGATCCATGCAACTTGTAGACGAAATTCCCTGGTTCAAGACACATGCAAGAGCATCAACTGCCAGGGCTATGACCTTAAAAGTCTGTCAAACATTTAACTAATCAGAGAAGTGTTTATCTGGCTCAGGAACTGAATTCAGTGCACCAATTTTGTCTACATTCATGCCTGGAACTCTGCTACAGCGGGTTGTGTGCTAGATATACAAGGATATACCCTTTTCCCTGTCTCAGTTTTGCCAGCCTCCTAAGTGGAATCACTTGCCTAATTTAAAAGTGTGTTTTTCTGACCTTAGGCTTTTAGCCCAGCTGCCAAGAGCAAATGTTGTTCTCTTGCGATACCTTTTTGGAGTGCTATACAACATTGAGCAACATTCCTCATCCAATCAGATGACAGCTTATAATTTATCCGTTTGTATAGCCCCAAGCGTTCTTTACCCACCTGATTCCAACAGCTTGCAATTGGAAGACAACTTGATAAAAAAGGTAATGAGAGCTCTCATTTTTGTCCCCCAGGGGGTAGAATCCCTACTTTGAACCGGACATGTGCAGTAGTAACTCTGACAGAAGGAACTTTTTGAAGTGCACATTTTCATTAGGCCCCTGTGGAGTGGCAGATTTCTTTATCCTACTCTGTTGGGGTCTGGGAAGGGGTGTTGTTAAACGGAAAACTCAGAGCGGTCGAGTCACTTCTTCCCGCTCCAGGAGACTAAATCTAGACTGACTAAACGGGAGAGAGAAGAGTCGTGTGATACGATAGAAAAGAACCTGGGCTTTGGTGCTTCACTAGTCAAGGTTCAACTCTCAGTCTAATCCCTGAGGGACTCATAACCTTGGGCAAAGCCATGGTTTCCTCACTACACAATGGGGACAACAGCCAGCTCCTCTGGTCATCACTGGCACATCCTGGGTGGCTTGGGCAATATGAGCACCCATGGCTGCAAACACATTGGCCTTCCTCTGCCAATTATGGCTCATCTAGAAAAGTACTCGGCTACTATTTCACCTCTGCTACGTCTTATGGAAACTAGCAAGAGATTCCAGAATATCCCAATAAGATGACAGGTCTTCCCCAAACTCACACAGAGAGAGCCAGCATGAGGCAAAGCAAGGCATGAGAAGGGACTGGAGTTAGACAGACAGATATGTTTTCTCTCCACCTGTGTGGGTTTTCCTTCACAACCCCACCAAAATCTCTGCTTCCCAACTTTAAGATGCTTCTTCATTTAAGAAATGGTTTTCTTAAGTTTTTGTTCATACTTTATAAAGTTTCATAAGATGGTATACATCAGTTACATCTCAATGAAACTGGAAACAAAATTTAAAAGCAAAAAATAAGTAAACTTTAATAAGGTAGGCTACTTTGAAAATTATCCTTGTTTTATTTATTTTTTGATACGTATTTATTTGAGAGAGGGAAAGAGAGAGCGTGAGCGGGGCAGGGGCAGAAGAAGAGGGAGAGGGAGAGGGAGAAGCCCAAGCCCATTCCCCGCTGAGCACGGAGCCCAAAGTTGGCTCCATGTGGGGCTGGATCTCACCACCATGAGATTGTGATCTGCGCTGAAATCAAGAGTCAGACGCCCAACTGAGGTGCCCCGAAATTTATCCTAGGCTTAAAGACGTAACCACTGATCCCAAAATGTTAGCTCTTAAACTAGGCCACGCATTATAACTTAGCCCACGGATGAGCAGTATTTTAAAATGTGTACCCAAAGTACACGGGAAAGTATCACTCTTTCTAAGTTATTTCTGAGAGAACTCTGGTTTCTATGTGTTTTGGGGGTTTTTTTGTTTTCTTTTTTTAACTTTTATTTATTAACTTGACTGTGAGAGACACAGCGAGAGAGGGAACACAAGCAGGGGGAGTGGGAGAAGGAGAAGCAGGCTTCCCGCTCTGCAGGGAGCCCGATGTATGGCTGATCCTAGCACCCTGGGATTATGACCTGAGCCAAACGCAGACGCTTAACCGACTGAGCCACCCAGGCGCCCCTGGTTTCTACATAGTTTTATCAACTCTGAATTTTTCTGAGAAATCCTTCACATTTTTTCTTAGATCCAAGGTCTGTATCCAAAATGTGATTTATAACTATGCCCTATGGAAAAGAGCACCCCATTCCTGTCTTTTTGTGTTACAGATTTGTCTTGTACAATTTCTTATTGAAAATTGCCTCAGAATATTTGGAGAAGACATCACTTCCCTCTTGGGAGAGAACTCAATGAGTCGTGGTAACAGCGAGAAGGCTGCAGGTACCGGGAGTAATTTAATTGACTTTAGTGAGAAGCAGACAGCAAGGTTGCCAGGGGTCATGGGAGATGCTTAGACAGAGCTGTTCTGGAGCCCAGAGCATCGCCAGGGCAAGGATTTCCATGTGCTCCTTCTTCCGAAGGCTGCCTCACAGGTCAACGGAGGTTCCACACTGTTGTGAGACCAAAGGATAAGATGAGGTCTCTGACTTCAAGAAGTTTCTAGTGTAGATCATAAGGGCATTAGGACTCATCATGGTATGCTACAGTGTTTGGGAATTTTTTCTAACAAAATTCTAACAAAATTCTAAGTGGGTGCTATATATATATATATACCTCATACATATATATGTAGTTATATATATATATATATAATTAGATACTTATACTATATAAATATATAATCATAATATATATATTTATGTATATAAGATGTGCTTTGGTTGAAGCCAAAGCAAGGGGCCTTTCTTCCCCTCCCTCGTCTTTGGCTCAGGGGCTCTTGAGGCACCACAGGATTCCAGTGCCCTTTGAAACGGGTTGAAAAGAACTGGCATCATTGAGAAAAAAGGACTTGACTTGATGTCATACTACCTCTCCAGAGTGTAATTTCCTGTGCCCCCATTTACCAGCTATATTATCTTGGCCAGTTATTCCAGCTCAGCATCAGTTTATTCATCTCTAAAATGTGGATATAAATAATGTCTAAATCTTAGAATTGTGGTAAACACTAAATAAGATGATGGATGGAATCCAAAAAAAAGCCATTAATATGACTAGGAGAAGTGCCCCTGAGACTAGAGCTAGTATGATTTGAGCCTAGCTAATCACAGCTACCTGTCAGCAGTCCACCTTAGAAGGTCGACTTTCGATTCAGAACCTGGAGACACGTATCATCAATCCCTCCATATTTCTGACATTTCTTGGTTTTATGATGCTTACCACATTGCTTTGAGGAAATCTTTAGAAAATACAAGTCATCAGGAACTAAGATGAGCCTGGGGCACATGAGTGGCTCAGTCGTTAAGCATCCGGTTTCAGCTCAGGTCATGATCCTGGGGTCCTTGGATCAAACCCCGCATCAGGCTCCCTGCTCCGAGGGAAGCCTGCTTCTCTCTCTCCCCTTCCCCCTACTTGTGTTCCCTCTCTCGCTGTCTCTCTCTCTCTGTCAAAATATAAATAAAATCTGGGAAAAAAAAGAAAAGAAAAAAGAAGGTTCAGCGTATTAAACTACAACTACTACTACTAATCTCACTTCTTCCTTAGATTACGGCCAGAAGACTGTGACACACCGTTCTTTCAGAGCCAGGGCCTTTTGTCGGGGTTGCAGCACTTGCCAGCACTACCAGTGCATAGCCCCACCTTCCGCAAAGCCAGGGCAGCTCTTTGGAGTTTCCCTCATGGATATGTGTTATAAAGACAAGCTACCCTTCCCAATTCTGGTAGGTCATCTCATTTTGGTCTTCTATAGCCCTCCTGAGGAGGGGAAACTCTGAGAGGCCACGTGTCCTCATCCAAATCTATCCCCAAATGGAGATGTCATTAGACAGCCCCTGGCTTTGGCTGAGAAGCTCTGTTACTATTATTTCAAGGTACAGAATCTGACTTAGGTCCAGCAGAATCATGAGGCACATACAACAGGAAAAGTCATTCTTCTCCATTCCACTTGTATCTTGTTTCCACAAAGACCCACCGAGACCTGTTCAGATCAGTCAAAATGGACTCTGTGTATGTGAGTCTCTGAGAGTCCACCTCATCTGCACACTCTCCCTTCATTGCCTTGCTGAACTGACATGAGTCTCAAGTCTCCTTCAGCGGAGTCTACTCAGTCTAACAACTGCAAACATCTGACACGAGCATAGACTCATCCTCTGGCAAATAGGAATCTGTTAATCCTAACAGAGTATGTCAAATGAAAGCCACAGAGTTTGGCCTGTGTTATCTGAAACTGCTGTAGTGAATTGTCAGTGTGGACATTCACTGAGTATTCGGTGTCTGTGCAAGCACTGTACGAGATGTAGGGAACGTTCTGCTAGCTATGAAGAAATGTACCATCTTAGCTAGCATGTTACCTGCTAGTTACAACCCCAGGTCCGTGCATCACAGCAAATTTAGGGGCTAGCTAGGATTATCATCCTTCACACTGCCTAACCGAATCAGAAAAGCCTCAGTACAGGATGTATGTGCCCCAGCTCACACAATAGATAAGTAGCATAATAGACTTCAGATCCGTTGGATTCCCTGAGTCCAGCCCTTATTAAGTTTCTACACAGCAGGGAGAGGACATGAAGATACAGCAAAAGACAATGAAAGACTCATGAGAAGGGAGGGTAATCAGAGAAGGAGAAGAGAGTTTCTGAGCCTGACTTTAAAAGAGGGAAGGAAATAGAACAAGTAGGAATGGAGTATACAGTCACTTAAAGAGAAATAAACAAATGGGAAATGAGTATTTCCTAAATAGACTTCCATACTTGGGGAAGAGCATCTATGTAGGGAATAATGAGAAAAAAATGCTAAAGTAGGAAACAGATGCTGATTCCCCAAAGCCCTTGAAGCGCAGAAGTTTGATTTAAAAGTGGAAACTCAATGGAAAGGAAAATCTGATTAAAAGAAGTGTTTAAAATGTTTCAGTGTATGACTGTAAAATGGATATTTAGGTCTAAACTATATAGAAAGACACTGAAAAAAAAAAAAATCTAAAATGACTTTAGTCCTTCCCACTCTAAAACAGTGTACCATTACATTCCCCTCCTCTTTCAAAATGGTGGCAAGCTTGTGCTCTGCGTTTGTGGATATGAGATGCCATATACTTTTCTTTTCTTCCTACAGGATATGCTTTCCTTTATTAATCAAAAAGGGCCACTCACAGAAGGCGTCTTCAGCAAATCAGCCAATATAAAATCCTGCTATGTCCTAAAGGAGAAACTAAATTCTGGAGTCAAACTGAACCCGAACAGCGAATCTGTTCATGTGGTCGCATCCGTCTTTAAGGTAGGGAAGGTTCTAGCATTATCCACACACGAATAACTGAAACTATGATTGGTGTCCTTCATCATGACTACTCAAGAACCATAACGGGCATAATGGATTAAGACCCTGACAAGCTGAAAAACGCTTGACAAAATCAAAATTTAAGGAAGCTACTTTAGAAGTTAAAAGCCCCATGTGTTAGAAATACTTTCTGTTTTCACTACACACCGCCCTCCCCACCTTGACTCCTGAAGACTCCATGCAAAATACTAATACTGAAATGACTCCTAGTCATGATAATAAATTTCAAAATTCGCACCAATACATACACACTGTTTACGCATGCAAACATCCTCACCACCCTCCTAATGAAGGCAAACTTTCCAAAAGAAATAGAACAGGGAAATAATTTAATCCATCCACCTTGGCACTTATGAACAGCTCTGAACAACACTATGTTAACGTAGTAATGACTAGAGTCTTAGAATCTCAGTCACATTTGGTCTTCCCTTGTCCCCCGTTAATGTTCGAAGATGTGATAAATAGCAAAGTCCAGAAATGACTTAGGTAACCACTCCTACACTGGGGCCATAGTGATATCCAGTAGTAATATACATAGAGGCATCAGGAGACAGGAGAAGAATGATGATACACTAGGTAGCGAGATGAGTGTTGCCCTCTGTAAGGTGCACACATGGAATCGATTTTCTAGCAAGAGTTCGGAGGTTCTTCCCTGATTCCGTGTTATAAGCACCGACTAGGAAGAGGTTGAGCACTTGTGGGGAGAGTGCTTAGACATTTCTAAAGTTTTCTCTTCCTGAAGTTGACGGATCTTGGTGGAGAATCAGACTCTGCAACCTTGGCCTTGATAATATCATGGCAAACTAACTGGACAATTGGCCTAAACTAGAAATGGATCTATCCTCAGGACCACAGTGAGTCTGCCATTAGACTCTCGACTTTTAGACAGTTAAGAAAAGGAAGAATGAAGCAATTGTGAGAGTAGCTTTATTCCAGGGAGCACACATACCCCGAGTGAGAAGACTTAGTTCTTTCCTAATATGTGTGCAAGAGCCCACCTGTTTGTGTTTTGATTGTTTCAGGCCTTTTCTTGCTTGAATGAAGAGCTAGCACTGTGTCTAAAACAAGCAACATGGGTATGTGTATTTCTGACCAAGAAGCTAATAGGATTTAGGATGGTCTATAGCCAGACGCTGTCAGTTTGTGGTACTTTGCAAAAAAAGCACTCACAAAAAATAAGTTCCAGATGATAGTAGGGACCTTTATCTTCATTTCCACCACAGGCTAAGCTCTGCTTTTATGCCTCTAAGTTTTAGCGGGAGAAAATCCAAGCACCTGCTCCTGCGTGTGCAAGTCAATGGAGAGTCAGAGCCGAGCTCCGTGTGGGTCGCAGTTTGGGTATCTGTGAAGGAAGTGGGGGCTGAACTGAATTTTTTAACTACATATTTTCTCTGGAATATTTCCAATACATATTTTCTATTATATATATATTTTTTTATGTCCCTAAGGATTTTCTTAGAAATATCAAAGGAAGCATATTTTTATCTGATCTCTATGACAAATGGCTCGGTGTTATTGATCAAGGCAACAAAGAGGAGAAGATAACTGCAGCCCAGAGGTAATGATGCAATAATTACTCTACTCTGGTCACATCTCCAAAATACACCCAACATACTATCAGGAAAACATTGGCTTACGTTTTGCAGCTTTGCGCACTATAATCATGACCAACGCCAAAGAGTTTCCATTCTTTATGCCCACGGGGCCCAGCTTCAGAATAGAGGCATGCTTTAGGGCTATTATTGTTCTTCTCTGATCTTATTAATGTGGACTCCTTGGCCGTTTGACCCCTTCTGGATCCATGCAACTTGTAGACGAAATTCCCTGGTTCAAGACACATGCAAGAGCATCAACTGCCAGGGCTATGACCTTAAAAGTCTGTCAAACATTTAACTAACCAGAGAAGTGTTTATCTGGCTCAGGAACTGAATTCAGTGCACCAATTTTGTCTACATTCATGCCTGGAACTCTGCTACAGCGGGTTGTGTGCTAGATATACAAGGATGTATCCTTTTCCCTGTCTCTGTTTTTCCAACCTCCTAAGTAGAATCACTTGCCTAATTTAAAAGTGTGTTTTTCTGACCTTAGGCTTTTAGCCCAGCTGCCAAGAGCAAATGTTGTTCTCTTGCGATACCTTTTTGGAGTGCTATACAACATCGAGCAACATTCCTCATCCAATCAGATGACAGCTTATAATTTATCCATTTGTATAGCCCCAAGCGTTCTTTACCCACCTGATTCCGACAGCATGGAATTGGAAGACAACTTGATAAAAAAGGTAATGAGAGCTCTCATTTTTGTCCCCCAGGGGGTACAATCCCTACTTTGACCCGGACATGTGCAGTAGTAACTCTGACAGATGGAACTTTGTGAAGTGCACATTTTCATTAGGCCCCTGTGGAGTGGCAGAGTTCTTTATGCTACTCTGGCAGGGTCTGGGAAGGGGTGTCATTAAATGGGAAACTCGGAGCAGTCGAGTCACTTCTTCCCCCTCCAGGAGACTAAACACTAGACTGACTAAACGAGAGAGAGAAGAGTCATGTGATACGATAGAAAAGAACCTGGGCTTTGGAGCTTCACTAGTCAAGGTTCAACTCTCAGCCTAATCCCTGAGGGACTCGTAACCTTGGGCAAAGCCATGGTTTCCTCACTACACAATTGCGACAACAGCCAGCTCCTCCGGTCATCACTGGCACATCCTGGGTGGCTTGGGCAATATGAGCCCCCATGGCTGCAAACACACTGGCCTTCCTCTGCCAATTGTGGCTCATCTAGAAAAGTACTCGGCTACTATTTCACCTCTGCTATGTCAACAGAAACCAGCAAGAGATTCCAGAATATCCTAATAAGATGACAGGTCTTCCCCAAGCTCACCCAGAGAGAGCCAGCATGAGGCAGCGCAAGGCGTGAGAAGGGACTGAAGTTAGACAGACAGATACGTTTTCTCTCCAGCTGTGTGGGTTTTCCCTCACAACCCCACCAAATTCTCTGCTTCCCAACTTTAAGATACTTCTTCATTTAAGAAATGGTTTTCTTAAGTTTTTGTTCATACTTTATTAAGTTTCATAAGATGGTATACATCAGTTACAGCTCAATAAAACTGGAAACAAAATTTAAAAGCAAAAAATAAGTAAACTTTAATAAGGTAGGCTACTTTGAAAATTATCCTAGTTTTATTTATTTTTTGATACGTATTTATTTGAGAGAGGGAAAGAGAGAGCGTGAGCGGGGCAGGGGCAGAAGAAGAGGGAGAGGGAGAGGGAGAAGCCCAAGCCAATTCCCCGCTGAGCACGGAGCCCAAAGTTGGCTCAATGTGGGGCTGGATCTCACCACCATGAGATTGTGATCTGCGCCGAAATCAAGAGTCAGACGCCCAACTGAGGGGCCCCGAAATTTATCCTAGGCTTAAAGACGTAACCACTGATCCCAAAATGTTAGCTCTTAAACTAGGCCACGCATCATAACTTTAGCCCACGGATGAGCAGTATTTTAAAATGTGTACCCAAAGTACACGGGAAAGTATCACTCTTTCTAAGTTTTTTCTGAGAGAACTCTGGTTTCTATGTGTTTTTGGGGGTTTTTTGGTTTTTTTTTTAAACTTTTATTTATTTACTTGACTGAGAGGGACACAGCGAGAGAGGGAACATAAGCAGGCGGAGTGGGAGAGGGAGAAGCAGGCTTCCCGCTGAGCAGGGAGCCCGATGTAGGGCTGATCCCAGCACCCTGGGATTATGACCTGAGCCGAACGCAGACGCTTAACCGACTGAGCCACCCAGGCGCCCCTGGTTTCTACATATTTTTATCAACTCTAAATTTTTCTGAGAAGTCCTTCACATTTTTTCTTAGATCCAAGGTCTGTATCCAAAATGTGATTTATAACTATGCCCTATGGAAAAGAGCACACCATTCTTGTCTTTTTGTGTTACAGATTTGTCTTGTACAATTTCTCATTGAAAATTGCCTCAGGATATTTGGAGAAGACATCACTTCCCTCTTGGGCGAGAACTCAATGAGTCGTGGTAACAGCGAGAAGGCTGCAGGTACCGGGAGTAATTTAATTCGCTTTAGTGAGAAGCAGACAGCAAGGTTGCCAGGGGTCATGGGAGATGCTTAGACAGAGCTGTTCTGGAGCCCAGAGCATCGCCAGGGCAAGGATTTCCATGTGCTCCTTCTCCCGAAGGCTGGCTCACAGGTCAAGGGAGGTTCCACACTGTTGTGAGACCAAAGAAAGGATAAGATGAGGTGTCTGACTTCAAGAAGTTTCTAGTGTAGATCATAAGGGCATTAGGACTCATCATGGTATGCTACAGTGTTTGGGAATTTTTTCTAACAAGCCTAGTTCTCCCTGTCCCCCTCCCCCTTCTTGTGTTCCCTCTCTTGCTGTCTCTCTCCCTCTGTCAAAATATAAATTAAATCTGTAAAAAAAAAAAAAAAAAGGAAAAAGAAGTTTCAGCGTATTAAACAACAACTACTACTACTAGTACTCTCTCTTCTTCCTTAGACTCCAGCCGGAAGACTGTGACAAGCCATTCTTTCAGTGACAGGGCCTTTTGGTGGGGCTCCAGAACTTGCCAGCACAACCAGTGCACAGCCCCACCTTCCGCAAAGCCAGGACAGCTCTTTGGAGTTTCCCTCATGGATGTGTGTGATAAAGACAACTTGCCCTTTCCAATTCTGGTAGGTCATCTCCTTTTGGTCTTTTAAAGCCCTCCTGAGGAGGGGAAACTCTGAAAGGCCAAGTGTCCTCATCCAAATCTATCCCTAAATGGAGAAGTCATTACATAGTCCCTGGCTTTGGCAGAGAAGCTCTGTTACTGTTATTTCAAGGAACAGAATCTTAGTTCCAGCAGACTCATGAGGCAAATACAAAAGGAAAAGACATTCTTGTCCATTCCACTTGTGTCTTGTTTCCACAAAGACCCACCGAGGCCTGTTCAGATCAGTCAAAATGGACTCTGTGTCTGTGAGTCTCTGAGAGTCCACCTCATCTTCACACTCTCCCTTCATTGCCTTCCTGCACTCACATGAGTCTCAAGTCTCCTTCAGCGGAGTCTACTCTGTCTAACAACTGCAAACATCTGACACGAGCATAGACTCATCCTCTGGCAAATAGGATTCTGTTAATCCTAACAGAGTATATCAAATGAAAGCCACAGAGTTTGGCCTGTGTTATCTGGAACTGCTGTAGTGAATTGTCAGTGTGGACATTCACTGAGTATTCGGTGTCTCTGCAAGCACTGTACGGTATGTAGGGAACGTTCTGCTAGACATGAAGAAATGTATCATCTTAGCTAGCATGTTACCTGCTAGCTACTACCCCAGGTCCTTGCATCACAGCAAATTTAGGGGCTAGCTAGGATTATCATCCTCCGCACTGCCTAAATGAATCAGAAAAGCCTCAGTACAGGATGTATGTGCCCCAGCTCACACAATAGATAAGTAGTATAATAGACTTCAGATCCGTTGGATTCCCTGAGTCCAGCCCTTATTAAGATTCTACACAGCAGGGAGAAGTCATGAAGATACAGCAAAAGACAATGAAAGACTCATGAGAAGTGAGGGTAATCAGAGAAGGAGAAGAGAGTTTCTGAGCCTGACTTTAAAAGAGGGAAGGAAATAGAACAAGTGGGAAAGGAGTATACAGTCACTTAAAGAGAAATAAACAAATGGGAAATGAGTATTTCCTAAATAGACTTCCATACTTGGGGAAGAGCATCTATGTAGGGAATAATGAGAAAAAAATGCTAAAGTAGGAAACAGATGCTGATTCCCCAAAGGCCTTGAAGTGGAGAAGTTTAATTTAAAAGTGGAAACTCAATGGAAAGGAAAATCTGATTAAAAGAAGTGTTTAAAATGTTTCAGTGTATGACTGTAAAATGGATATTTCGGTTGAAAGTATATAGAAAAACACTGAAAAAAAAAAAAACAATCTAAATTGACTTTAGTCCTTCCAGCTCAAAAACAGTGTACCATCACATTCCCGTGCTCTTTCAAAATGGAGGCAAGCTTGTGCTCTGCGTTTGTGGATAAGAGATGCCGTATACTTTTCTTTTCTTCCTACAGGATATGCTTTCCTTTATTAATCAAAAAGGGCCACTCACAGAAGGCGTCTTCAGCAAATCAGCCAATATAAAATCATGCAGAGTCCTAAAGGAAAAACTAAATTCTGGGGTCAAAGTGAACCCGTACAGCGAATCTGTTCATGTGGTCGCATCCGTCTTCAAGGTAGGGAAGGTTCTAGCATTATCCACATATGAGTAACTGAAGCTATGAATGGTGTCCTTCATCATGACTGCTTAAGAATCGTATTGGGCTTAATAGATTAAGAACCAAACAAGCTGAAAAACGCTTGACAAAATCAAAATTTAAGGAAGCTACTTTAGGAGTTAAAAGCCCCATATGTTAGAAATACTTTCTGTTTTCACTACACACCGCCCTCCCCACCTTCACTCCTGAAGACTCCATGCAAAATACTAATACTGAAATGACTACTAGTCATGATAATAAATTTCAAAATACACACTGACACAAACACACTGTTTAACGAAGCAGACATCCTCACCACCCTCCTAATGAAGGCAAACTTTCCAAAAGAAATAGAGCAGGGAAAAAATTTAATCCATCCACCTTGGCACTAATTAACAGCTCTGAACAACCCTATGTTAATGTAGTAATGACTACAGTCTTAGAATCTCAGTCACATTTGGTCTTCCCTTGTCCCCCGTTAATGTTCGAAGATGTGATAAATAGCAAAGTCCAGAAATGACTTAGGTAACCACTCCTACACTGGGGTGATAGTGATATCCACTAGTAATATACATTTAGGCATTAGGAGACAGGAGAAGAATGATGATACACTAGGTAGCAAGATGAGCGTTGCCCTCTGTAAGGTGCACACATAGAATTGATTTTCTAGCAAGAGTTAGGAGGTTCCTTCCTCATTCTGTGTTATCAGCATCGACTAGGAAGAGGGTGAGCACTTGTGGGTATGGTGCTTAGACGTTTCTAAAGTTTTCTCTTCCTGAAGTTGACGGATCTTGGTGGAGAATCAGACTCTGCAACCTTGGCCTTGATAATATCATGGCAAACTAACTGGACAATTGGCCTAAACTAGAAATGAATCTATCCTCAGGACCACAGTGAGTCTGCCATTAGGCTCTCAACTTTTAGACAGTTAAGAAAAGGAAGAATGAAGCAATTGTGAGAGTAGCTTTCTTCCAGGGAGCACACATACCCTGAGTGAGAAGACCTAGTTCTTTCCTAATATGTGTGCAAGAGCCCACCTGTTTGTGTTTTGATTGTTTCAGGCCTTTTCTTGCTAGAATGAAGAGCTAGCACTGTGTCTAAAACAAGCAACATGGGTATGTGTATTTCTGGCCAAGAAGCTAATAGGATTTAGGATGGTCTATAGCCAGACGCTGTCAGTTTGTGGTACTTTGCAAAAAAAGCACTCACAAAAAATAAGTTCCAGATGATAGAAGGGAGCTTTATCTTCATTTCCACCACAGCGTAAGCTCTGCTTTTATGCCTCTAAGTTTTAGTGGGAGAAAATCCAAGCACCTGCTCCTGCGTGTGCAAGTCAATGGAGAGTCAGAGCCGAGCTCCGTGTGGGTCGCAGTTTGGGTATCTGTGAAGGAAGTGGGGGCTGAACTGAATTTTTAAACTACATATTTTCTCTGGAATATTTCCAATAAATATTTTGTATAATATATATACATATTTTTTTTTATCTCCATAAGAACTTTCTTAGAAATATCCAAGGAAGTATATTTTTGTCTGATCTCTATGACAAATGGCTCGGTGTTATTGATCAAGGCAACAAAGAGGAGAAGATAACTGCAGCCCAGAGGTAATGATGCAATAATTACTCTACTCTTGTCACATCTCCAAAATACAGCCAACATACTATCAGGAAAACATTGGCTTACGTTTTGCAGCTTTGCCCACTAAAATCATGACCAACGCCAAAGAATTTCAATTCTTCACACCCATGAGTTCCAGCTTCAGAATAGAGGCACGCTTTAGAGCTATGATTGTTCTTCTCCTGATCTTATTAATGTGGACTCATTGGCCATTTTACACCTTCTGGATCCATGAACTGGTAGACGAAATCCACTGGTCCAAGACAGATGGTAGAGCACTGCCTACCAGGGCTATGACCTTAAAAGTCTGTCAGACATTTAACTAACCAGAGAAGTGTTTATCTGGCTCAGGAACTGAATTCAGTGCACCAATTTTGTCTACATTCATGCCTGGAACTCTGCTACAGCGGGTTGTGTGCTAGATATACAAGGATGTATCCTGTTCCCTGTCTCTGTTTTTCCAACCTCCTAAGTGGAATCACTTGCCTAATTTAAAAGTGTGTTTTTCTGACCTTAGGCTTTTAGCCCAGCTGCCAAGAGCAAATGTTGTTCTCTTGCGATACCTTTTTGGAGTGCTATACAACATCGAGCAACATTCCTCATCCAATCAGATGACAGCTTATAATTTATCCGTTTGTATAGCCCCAAGCGTTCTTTACCCACCTGATTCCGACAGCATGGAATTGGAAGACAACTTGATAAAAAAGGTAATGAGAGCTCTCATTTTTGTCCCCCAGGGGGTAGAATCCCTACTTTGAACCGGACATGTGCAGTAGTAACTCTGACGGATGGAACTTTGTGAAGTGCACATTTTCATTAGGCCCCTGTGGAGTGGCAGAGTTCTTTATCCTACTCTGGCGGGGTTTGCGAAGGGTTGTTGTTAAACGGGAATCACGGAGCAGTCGAGTCACTTCTTCCCCCTCCAGGAGACTAAACACTAGACTGACTAACCGAGAGAGAGAAGAGTCATGTGATACGATAGAAAAGAACCTGGGCTTTGGAGCTTCACTAGTCAAGGTTCAACTCTCAGCCTAATCCCTGAGGGACTCTTAACCTTGGGCAAAGCCATGGTTTCCTCACTACACAATGGCGACAACAGCCAGCTCCTCTGGTCATCACTGGCACATCCTGGGTGGCTTGGGCAATATGAGCACCCATGGCTGCAAACACATTGGCCTTCTTCTGCCAATTGTGGCTCATCTAGAAAAGTACTCGGCTACTATTTCACCTCTGCTACGTCTTATGGAAACTAGCAAGAGATTCCAGAATATCCTAATAAGATGACAGGTCTTCCCCAAGCTCACACAGAGAGAGCCAGTATGAGGCAAAGCAATGCGTGAGAAGGGACTGAAGTTAGACAGACAGATACGTTTTCTCTTCAGCTGTCTGGGTTTTCCTTCACAACCCCACCAAAATCTCTGCTTCCCAACTTTAAGATACTTCTTCATTTAAGAAATGGTTTTCTTAAGTTTTTGTTCATACTTTATAAAGTTTCATAAGATGGTATACATCAGTTACAACTCAATAAAACTGGAAACAAAATTTAAAAGCAAAAAATAAGTAAACTTTAATAAGGTAGGCTACTTTGAAAATTATCCTAGTTTTATTTATTTTTTGATACGTATTTATTTGAGAGAGAGAAAGAGAGAGCGTGAGCGGTGCAGGGGCAGAAGAAGAGGGAGAGGGAGAGGGAGAAGCCCAAGCCGATTCCCTGCTGAGCACAGAGCTCAAAGTTGGCTCCATGTGGGGCTGGATCTCACCACCATGAGATTGTGATCTGAGCCGAAATCAAGAGTCAGACGCTCAACTGAGGGGCCCCGAAATTTATCCTAGGCTTAAAGACGTTACCACTGATCCCAAAATGTTAGCTATTAAACTAGGCCACGCATTATAACTTTAGCGCACGGATGAGCAGTATTTTAAAATGTGTACCCAAAGTACACGGGAAAGTATCACTCTTTCTAAGTTATTTCTGAGAGAACTCTGGTTTCTATGTGTTTTTGTTTTTTTGGTTTTTTCTTAAGCTTTTATTTATGTACTTGACAGAGAGAGACACAGCGAGAGAGGGAACACAAGCTGGGGGAGTGGGAGAGGGAGAAGCAGGCTTCCCGCTGAGCAGGGAGCCTGATGTAAGGCTGATCCCAGCACCCTGGTATCATGACCTGAGCCAAAGGCAGATGCTTTACTGACGGAGCCACCCAGGTGCCCCTGGTTTCTACGTATTTTTATCAAGTCTGAATTTTACTGGGAAGTCCTTCACATTTTTTCTTAGATCCAAGGTGTATATACAAAATGTGATTTATAACTATGCCCTATGGAAAAGAGCACACCATTTTTGTCTTTTTGTGTTATAGATTTGTCTTGTACAATTTCTCATTGAAAATTGCCTCAGGATATTTGGAGAAGACATCACTTCCCTCTTCGGGGAGAACTCAATGAGTCGTGGTAACAGCGAGAAGGCTGCAGGTACTGGGAGTAATTTAATTGGCTTTAGTGAGAAGCAGACAGCAAGGTTGCCAGGGGTCATGGGAGATGCTTAGACAGAGCTGTTCTGGAGCCCAGAGCATCGCCACGGCAAGGATTTCCATGTGCTCCTTCTCCCGAAGGCTGGCTCACAGGTCAAGGGAGGTTCCACACTGTTGTAGACCAAAGAAAGGATAAGATGAGGTCTCTGACTTCAAGAAGTTTCTAGTGTAGATCATAAGGGCATTAGGACTCATCATGGTATGCTACAGTGTTTGGGAATTTCTCTATCAAAATTTGAATTGGTGCCATATATATATGTCATATCATACATATATGTTTAGTTTTATATAATATATAATTAGAAATTTAGAATATCTAATTATTAAACACAATATATATACTTATGTATATTAGATGTGCTCTGGTTGAAGCCAGAGCAAGTGGCCTTTCTTCCCCTCCCTCCTCTTTTGGCTCAGAGTCTCTTGAGGCACCACAGGATTCCAGTGCCCTTTGAACTGGGTTGAAAAGAACTGGCATCAGTTCTTTCTCTCTAAAATTGTTGGTTAAAAATATTGTCTAAATCTTAGAATTGTTGTAAAGATTAAATAAGGTGATGGAAAAAAATAAATTTCAAAAAAGCCATTAATAAGACTAGGAGAAGTGCCCCTGAGACTAGAGCTAGTATATTTGAGCCTAGCTAATCACAGCTAACTCGTAGCAGTCCACCTTATAATAGACTTTCGATTCAGAACTTGGAGACACATCTCATCAATCCCTCTATATTTTTGACATTTCTTGGTTTTATGACGTTTTTCTCATTGCTTTGAGGAAATCTTTAGGATAATACATGTCATCAGGAATTAAGATAAATCTAGTGTAGTGTCTGAGAATATGCTTATATAAGACAACTGTTTATTTTTCATTTCAGTAGTGTCAGGAAATCCACCTCTTGAATCCAAGCCAGTGAGAGTGAGAGTGATTTACAAAAAGGCACAACTGCAGAATGATACGAAGACCCCATCTGGCATGGTTCCACCCAGCTACCTGTCTACAGTTTTCTAAGTCACTGAAGGCTACCATCCCCATAATGACACTTGACTCTTCCGTTTTCTTTAGTTCCTATAAAATAGAAAATAAAATGAACTGTTTTTCCAATGAATGAAAAATGAGCCCCTTCCAAGGAACTTGCTCATCCCATTTGAATTTTTCTTGCCTCATCTCATATTATCCATATTGAGGAAATCTTCCCACAAAGTATCTCCTCTGTCTTTGATACCTACCATCTCATATTATGTACTTTGTTGCATTTAAGTGTATTGCATATTTTTATACTGATGCAATAAAAATAATTCCATCACTCAGTGGGTTAGACAACCATTTTACTTGTTTATGATTCATATCAACACTTCAGTGGAGGCTCATCTGAGCAGTTCTGGTCTCAGCTGAGGTCACTTGAGCACCTGCAGTCAGCTGGCAGCTCATCTGGAGCTAACCTAGGAGTCTGTTTATTGGTGTTGGCTCTCAGCTGGTCCCCATGTCTTCAACGAGCTAGCCTGTCCTTCTGTATGTGGTGGAGGAAGAGTTGCCAGAAGCAAGAAAGGCTTTTCAAGAGTTAATGTGGGAGAGGACTGTGCAAAGCACCATGCCAAAGACAGTGATTTACAAGACAAGGAGGCATTCATTATTTATTAAGACCACACATGATAATCAAAACTCAAGGCAGCACCACTACTACACATATCCTTTTTTTTTTTTTTTTAAAGATTTTTTATTTATTTATCTGAGAGAGAGAATGGGAGACAGAGAGCATGAGAGGGGGAGGATCAGAGGGAGAAGCAGACTCCCCGCTGAGCAGGGAGTCCGATGCCGGACTTGATCCCGGGACTCCAGGATCATGGCCTGAGCCGAAGGCAGTTGCTTAACCAACTGAGCCACCCAGGCGCCCCTACACATATCCTTTTATTCATCGGCTTTTAATCCTCAGTGGATTATAATCAGCATTTCCTAAAAGGCATTCAAAGTGTGGTAGGAAGTATCTTTGAAATAATAACTGATTTTTTACCTCAGGTATTCTTTGCCTCTATCCTTGTTCCGGTCTTAAGCTGTCTTACGGACAACTAAATCACTTCCTCAGGGAATAGAAGCTATAGGAGAACATGAGGAAAAGGGAGCCCTTTGTTGCTTATGAGTTTTAAAAATTTAGCTTTCTAGGAAACAAAACTCACTCGTGGCATAGAGTAGATTTAGGTGGAAATCTCATGGGAAAAGCCCAAAATCATTAGGTACATGGGACATCTGCCCCTTTTCCTGGATAGAAGCCAAAAGAAAGCAGGAAGGCCTCACAGAATAGCGAACTGACTTGTCTAAGAAAGACGGGGCCCCTGTGGGTCCACATAGAGTTTCTTATACCTCAGCATGGAACAGATCAGTAAGAAAAGTATTCCCATCAATTCCAGAATAGTATGGAAGAAATACAGAGAGCCACCAGGTTTGAAAGACATGTCTCAACAACAGTAGTACTGACCAATTCCCCAGGACCAGAGAACAGTGAGGACATCTCAGCAGATGCTAGTATACATCAATGACCCAAAGCAGCAGATAAGTGCCACCTCGCCATTTCATAGCCTTCTAACTCCCTGGCACTAGAAGACTCCGGAACATAGACACACTCCTGGGGGAAATTAAGAGATCCTGAATTTCTACCAATCTGGGAACAGAGAATCAAACTAGACACCAAGCGAGCTATTTAAAAACACAGAATTGGACATTTATTACATATGTCAATGTATAGATTGAGGTTGGTATCAATATATATAGAATATATGATCCAAGCAGTTTTCCTAGAAAGGGTTCCCTGGTCAAATAGGTTAGGGAAATTCTATATTTTCCTTTTGAAGTCAAATGCTCCAGTTTTTTCCACATTTATTTGACATTACTTGGCCCTTTTGGAGTAACCCCATTAATTAATGATCCTGGGAACATACATTAATAAACATTGCTCTGAATTTATTTCTTCTTAACTCACAGATTTTACCATTTCACTCACCTGCTAAGAAGCCATCAATAGATCTTTGAATTTTTTTTTTTTCAGAAAAAAATGTCCTTTTTTAGATCCTCCACAATGCAACCTGCTCTACTAATCGATTTTGTCTTCACTCTTTCCCATTGTAGATCCTTTGCTTTAGCTAGGTCAGAAATGTTACTGGTCCCTGAATAAGTCACACTCACTTTTCTAACTATAATTCTCACCTCTCCTTGGTCTCTACGTTTCCACCCACTAACTAGGTAGCCATCTGGGTTCTCCACTCCCAGAATTTCACAAAGCCTTCCTGATCTCAAATTAATTGTTCTTTACATGAGCACTTGCCCCTACTAGCCATTGGCTCCTATGCTGCTTTGCACCGTCGGGAATTATGCCAGTGTGTTCATACATTATTCAGCAAATCCAAATTCCTGTGGTAAACAACTGTATCTTGTGTTAGTTTTATATTACTTTTAATGCCTGGCTAAATTTCTACTCAAAAAAATATGAATGAATATGTTCAATTTTCGAAGGGTGTAGAGATTTTATACATATTGGTAGCAACTGCAAGTTTTTAAAACTGAAGAGGTAGAATACAGCACATATGGAATTTCAATGGGTGGCAATAAGACATCATCAGTTTGACCAATTTTTTTAGATATGACTTCACAGCCTTATTCACAAGTTCTGGGATATACTATTTTTATTCATTATGTAAAAAATCTGATATCGGTGTGATGCATTTGGGAATAATTGCATTTTTGTATTAAATTTCTTCTAAATATCAACAATCCAGAATAAAAGGGGCAAAAAAAACATGGCTGGGCAATGCATCTGTGAGTTTTTAAGCCAAGGAAGATATTAAAAAAAAAAAAATTGAAAAGAAGAGGAGCTAGAAATACCAGAAGGTAAAGAAAAGCTGAAATTGAACTTATTTGTCAATGGCAACTCAAGAGTTTCCTGACCTAGGAAAATGGTTAATAAATGTTAGTATTTCCTTCAGGAGACTCAAGCATAATGTCTCCTTGAGAATAACAATTTATTTCTTAAATTTGAGGAAAAGATCCTAGGAACTCTGATAAACTGTAAAAGAACTTAATTGCCTAATCTAGAATGAATAAAAGACAATTAGACATTCTGATATTGGCCTTTACCGTACCTGGGAGTAAGATGTGTGTAGTCATCAGTCAATCTGCACTTAGTGATGTAGTTAAGGTTAAACATCTCCAGAAGTAAAATAAAGGTACTTAGAATGACTCTCCTATTTTATTCCAGAAAGAAAGCGACTCACAGGCTACCAATATCAGCAAATTAATATCATGGATGGTTGGGATTAATTACCATGATAAATTAAGTGGGATATATATATAATCACTCAATGTTTATTCCACAAAAGCAACATGTAAGAATTTGGTGAATGGAATATATATTAGTACAAGAAGCCACTTCTTTTCAGAGAGCACTGAACGATACCTTTTATATTTTTCTGTAATTCTTTCTATGCTAGCCGAATGGGCCAGTAATACTCTGAAGATTTATAGTGGATGGTGACTCTATTTTCCAGTTTTGTTTTGTTTTACTTACCCACAACATAACTGGTGCTAAGAAAAAATTGGCTTCCTTATGGTCCTGGGCCTAAATGTCAGTATTAATTTAGTTGGCTTAATCTTTAAAAAATGGTATCATTCCTTTGTCAAATAAACAACTAGAAAACCAAACTGTCAAAGGAAAGTTATAATTTCCTAAAATGGAAAAAGAGAAACTGCTTTGTAAGAATGGGAGTTTTTCCAAAATGTAAAAATATAAAACTAGTTGGGAAAGAAAAAACAAAACAACACCGTCTTCAGGATAGTGATTACCTCTGTGGAAGGAAAGAATGGGATTGAGTAAAGGGGGAAAAAAGAAACCTCAAGCACACATATATTAATTTAATTTCTTGAAAGATTTAAAAATGCTAACATTTCACCATGTGCTTCACACTTCTTAAGAAAATGTTAGAGGTGACTTTATTACATAAATATCCACAACATACCCATGTATACACACACACACACAATTTGTATATATAAACATACAAAACATTGTTAAATGAATAAGTAAACTACAGAAATTCTTATCATTCAGCAATTTTATCTTTTTACCATAGGTTTTGTGATTCCTCTGTATGGATGACCTGGTTCACTCCGTCTAGTATTCCATTATATGATAATGCATTTATGTGTGTACACATCTACCTTGATCAAACTTTCTAGAGGCTTGCCTAGTTTATTAGCTTTCAAAGAAATAGATTTTAAAAATCATCTCCATTAATGTTTTTTCCTAGGTTATTAATTTGTGTTTTGCTTTTACCATTCTATTGCTTCAACTTTCTTACTGTTTTCACTTCTTCATCTAGCTTCTTGGATTAAATGCTAGCTCATTTAAATTTAGTAAATATATTTAATAAGACTATTCATAACTTCTAAGTACTGCTTTATCTATATCTCACAAATTTTTCATATTTTAGTTTGTTGATAAAACCATTACAGTTTATGATTCTCTTTGTGAAGTATTTTTTCACTTACTCATTGTTTAAGCTTTTGTTTTTTTCAGATTTTCTAACCTATAGGATTTTAATTACTAGTGGTAGTAGTTAATTTCTAAATAAATTACATAGTAATTAGATAATATGGTTTGAATAACTATGACTTTTTGTGACTGAGAGTATACAGTTAATTTTATACATATCTAATGTGTTGCATGCATACTTTAGGAGAATGTGTATCCTCTGTTGTGTTGTCTTTTGGGTGCAGGCATATGTAAATTCACAATTATGTCCTATGCGTTCCTCAGATTCTCTGTATATTCTCCAAATATGTGGTTTCTGAAAGAGGTGTTAAATTTTGCCATTATGCTTACATGAGCTTTTCAATTTTATTTTGTAATTCTGAATTTTTGTAGTTGTTGGCTTTTGGTGTTTTATTGTTTAACTCTATATTGTTAGGCAAATACAAATTTATAACTTCTATAGCCTTTTCATGAAGTATAGCTTATTTGCTTTATTCACATTAATGTGTTGACTTCATATTCTATTTTGACAGATATTGTTGCACCAGCTCTTTTTTGGTTCATATATGCTTAGTGTATTTCTTTTTTTTCCTTTTTATATTTTCTGTTTCAGAGTGTGTTTGTGTGCATGTGTGTATAGCAGTGTGCCTTATAAGCAGCATATAACTGATTTTTTTTATATCCATGCTGATAATTTCTGATTTTTAATAGAGTGATTTAATCTATTTACATTTATTGTCGTTACAATGTACTTTGAGTTACACTGACCACCTTATTTTGTATTTTTCTTTCATCAGAGATTTCTCCTGGTTTCTTTTTTCTTCCTTTCCTAATTTTTATGTGTGTACACATCTACCTTGATCAAACTTTCTAGAGGCTTGCCTAGTTTATTCATGCAGGCTAATTTTTGTTGGATTGATAATTAAAGTTTAGTATTTTCTCTATCAATTTTTATTTATATATATTAAAATTTCTCAGCTATTATATCTTTGACTAATTTGCTGCACTATCCCTCTATTATCTTTTACTAGAATCCACTAAAATTTTATGAAACGGTGATTCTCAAAGAACACTCCATATAAACAACTCTTTCAATTTTTCTCTTTATACTGCATCCTGAGTAAAATTCTCAGTTCATTCTTCCAGTTTATTAATTCTTTAACTTTGGACATTCTAGAGTTAATTCTTTTAGTTTCATGTCTTTTTTTCACGCCTATATGTTTTCTGGGATTACTAATCAGATCTTTTTCCTATTCATATAATTTTATATTTTTTCAATAAAGATCATTTCAGGGGCGCCTGGGTGGCTCACCGGGCTGAGGATACAATTCTTGATTTTGGCTCAGGTCATGATCTCAGGATCCTGAGATGTATCCCCGACTGAGGCTCCCCGCTCAGCAGGTAGTCTGCTTGAGATTCTCTCTCTCTCCCTCTGCTCCTCCCTGGCTCTCTCTCACTCGTGGGCTCTCTCTCTCAAATAAATAAATAAATAAATAAATAAATAAATAAATAAATAAATAAATAAATAAATAAATAATCTTTAAAAAAAAACCAACACATCATTTCATTCATTTTCCTCTCTGATTTTGGTACCAAGAAGTAGGATGCTGCTGTGACAAATACCTAAAAATGTCAAAGCAGCTTTAGAATTGGGGAAGGGGTAGAGGTTGGAGGAGTTTTGAGGGGCATGCTGGGAAAAGCCCACATTGCTGTGAAGGGACTGTTGGTAGAAATAATAGATGTTGAAGGTGATTCTGGTAAGTGTTCAGAAATAAAAGCGAGAGCTTCAGGGATAGACTCTATCTTCTTAGAGAGTATGTAACTAATCAGAAACAGAATGTTAGAAATATGGATGTTGAACATCTTTCTGGTGAGATCTCAGATGGAAATGAAGAACATGCTGTTGGAAACTGTAAGAAAGGAGATCCTTGTTATGAAATAGCAAAGAACTTGGCTAAACTAGTGTTCTAGTGTTTTCTGGAAGGTTGAACTTGCAAGCTATAAGATTGGGTATTTACCTGAGGAGATTTCTCAGGGAAGTTTTAAAGGAGTTTGTTTCTTCCTGATTGCTCATAGTAAAATGCAAGAAGAGAGAAATGAGTTGAGGCAGGTATTAAGCAAAAGGAAATCAGGACTTGAAGATGTGGAAAATTCTCAAGTTTTCCAAAATCAGTTTGTCATTTCTACTCTAACACATGTGCTCATGCTGTTGCTGCCCCTAGATGGTTCCTCCTGTTCTCTTCCTGTCCAAATCCAACCTATAGAGTGTCAGCTTCCCAACAAAGTCTGTCTTGATTTGTTCAGTCATGTTGGCATTTTCTCTTGTGAATTTCTATAGCCTTGTAATCATTTTCGTGTAATGTTTGTGACAGGTAGTCTTTAAGGCACATCTTTTTTTTTTTTTTAATTTTACATTTTCTGAAACTGAAGTACCCCCCTGTCTGTGTATATATGTTGTTTTTTTTTTTTCCAGCAATTCTCTGTCCACCCTCAAATGCTTTTAAATGGATAACACATGCATAATCCATGAGTTCTAGAAAATGAGGAAGTAGGAAACTTGACTTCGCAATTGTTCTCAGGTGGTCCTCCATGGCACCTTCCGGAGCCACCAAGAGCAGGGCTAACCCAGTGGGAAAGTTAAGTAAACCAGTGGAGCCCTGCTCTGGTCACTCTTACAGCCTTGAACAAGCAGCTCACCTCTTTATTTATTTATTTATTTATTTTGTACTTTTTGGCTTTATTATTTTATTTATGGGTCTGAGGCAAAAGGTTTTGTGAACCTGAAAATATTGGTATAAATAGGTAGTAGGTTTTAGATTTGTCTCTCTCATTAGAACACAGGCTTCTGCACCCAAAGGGACTAGCGCAGTTATAGCTAGATAATTGGGTCAGCTTGCTCTTGATTGGTTTGTGTGCAAACATCAGACTACATCCACAGTGAGCATTCCTCTTAATCTTTTCAAACAACTGTGTGCCAATCTCCTAAATGTTAGTTTCTTTCTGTGTCTTAATTTTCTTTAAAAAGTGGTGTCTTAGGCCTCCCAGAATTAACATGAATTATTGCTCTAGTATTTATACACAGCAAGTTTTAGATTGCTTTCCAAAACACATGCATGGATTTTAAGGAAATCTGTAAATGGCTATAATTTAAGATCAGAAAGTATTACCCTTAAGATAATATTAGAATTTGGAAGGAAAAAAACACACCTTTTATTTAGGAACTTGTTATCTCGAACATAGAATTCTGTTCCTGCAGAATTTCAAGTTATATACTTAGTTTGGATGCAAGAAGCAAATGTTGGAAAACTAGAAGTAGGTGAAGTTTGAAAAGACTACACAGGGAATGAATTTACATTATCTACTTTCCCCCTTTTATTTGGGGGGGGTGAGAGAGAAAACAAGCATACACTTTATTGTAAGAAACTGGCTCACATGGGGTGCCTGGATGGCTCAGTCAGTTTAGCATCCAACTCTTGATTTCGGTGCAGGTCATGAGATTGAGCCCCACATCAGGCTCCATGCTCAGTGTTGAGTCTGCTTGAGATTCTCTCCCTTCCCCCTGCTTGCATGTTCTATAAATTAATTAATTAATTAAAATCTTAAAAAAAAAAAGTAATGGGCTCACACAATTGTGGAGGCTGGCAAGTCTGAAATCTGTAGGGCACGCTGGCAGGCTTGAAATTCAGGTAAGAGTTGATGTTACAATCTTGAGCCCAAATTCCAGGCTGGTCAGATAAATGAGAAATTTAGGCAAGGTTTCTATTTTGCAGTCTTTTTTTTTTTTTTTAAAGATTTTATTTATTTATTTGAGAGAGAGAGAATGAGAGAGAGCACATGAGAGGGGGGAGGGTCAGAGGGAGAAGCAGACTCCCTGCGGAGCAGGGAGCCCGATGCGGGACTCGATCCCAGGACTCCAGGATCATGACCTGAGCCGAAGGCAGTCGCTTAACCAACTGAGCCACCCAGGCACCCTATTTTGCAGTCTTGAGGCTGTATTTCTTCTCCTATGGAAAACTGGTCTTTGCTCTTAAAGCCTTCAACTGATTAGATGGGGCCCCCACACACTAAGGAATGTAATCTGCTTTACTCAAAGCCTACTAATTTAAATGTTAATCACACCTAAAAAATACATTCACAGCAACATCTAGACTAGTGTTTGGCCAAACTATTGGGCACCATAGCATAGCCAAGTTAACATATAAAATTAACCATCACAGTGACTCATTACCTATTAGGCTCTGTTTTCTGACATCTTTTCTTCACTCAGCTCTACTTAGTTTCACCTTAATCCACCAAATAAAATGCAACATGATTTCAGCCTTGTAAGGGTCTCCAATTTGCTAAAGACCTGAAATCCCCGAACTAATCAAGATTTCAGAGAGCTGTCTAGATGACACAGCCACAAAGACCAAATCTCCAGGAGCTTTGTGTGTCAGAGGTTTTCCCGCATGGTAGGTTTGGTGGAAGAGACAATGAGTGAAAGAAGTGGATTATGTGAGGCAGGTTGAGCTCAAAATGTTAACACAGATTTGTCCCTGAATTGACCTTATGGATGGTGTATCACTTGTGTCATTATTTCTAGAAGTAAATTTTCATGAAGTCTTTAAAGGAGTACCTTGGTACATATGTCAAGACTGATGAAGTGTGGGTAAGTAAAGGTGGATCTGAACTGCTCTTTCCTGCTGCATTTGGAATCTCAGTGGTCATCTCCTGGATTTGTTTAGAGCAGAACTGATACAGCACATTTCGAGCTCTCAAAATGACATTTGAATGCATTCAAATGAATGCAAGTAGCTGTATAAAGTAAGCACTAAAAAATGAGATTAACCACTGCTAGGCTTTATGAGCCCTAGCATGTTTTTCT